TATAACAAATCACTTATAACCCATACGAGAAGTGGAAAATCAGATATTTTGTGTGCAAATACTGCTACTCTAAAAAGGTCTATGAAATATTGAGGGAAAAGGTAATCATTCAAATAACTCAACTCGCTTTTGCTTTTCTTCACTACGCCCATGGTTTGTTTATCATTTTGTTGTTGAAAATAGCTATTGGAGCGTTTTTTTGTGGCAAAAAGTTATTTATTGAAGAAAGATAAGGAAATATCTCGTACTTATTTTAAATAGGAATTTAGTACATTGTTTTGGGATTGATTTGACCAAACTTTGTTGCTAAAATAACTTGTAACGCTTTATTACATAAATTAACCATGGTATAATTCCACAGCAGAAAGAGTTGTCATTATCGAAATATTTTTCGGAAATAATCAGTGCGCTAAGAAAACAGCAGAAATATTTAATGAGCGACACGAGAACAGTAACGTGCATCGAAAATATGTTCTAGAACTCGTAGCTAAATTTCGGGTAACTGGGTCAGTCGCCAATAAAAAACGCAACATTGAAAATCCCATAAGGAACGAAGCAACAGAAGTGGGGGTTTTAGGGCAAGTTTATGTAGATCCTACGTTAAGTACCCGCAAATTGGAGACTGTGTGTGGAGTTAGTCGACGTACTGTCCAACGGATTGTAAAGGCCCATAGTTTTCATCCGTATAAAATTCACCTGGTACAAGAACTTAATGAAGATCATTTTAATCGGCGATTACAATTTTGTGAAAATATGAGTGAACGAATTATAAACGACGAACATTTTCTATTCAACACTTGCTTTTCCGACGAATGTTCCTTTTTCTTAAATGGCGTAGTAAATCGTCATAACTGCCGATATTGGTCCGATTCTAATCCCAGAATGTATCATGAGGTTCATACACAGCAGCCAAAAAAATTAAATGTTTGGGCTGGTATTTTTGGCGATCATTTAGTTGGTCCTTTTTTCTTACCTGGAAACTTGACCCGTGAAATGTATTTGGAATTACTGGGAGACGCCATAGATCCTGCATTAACAGCCATAATTGAAAATCAGAATGATCGGCGGTACATTACGTGTTCGACAATATTTAGATCAGACGTTTCTAGATCGATGGATTGGTAGAAGAGGTGCTATTGAATAATATAATAATAATATTTATTCACTCAATGTACAAAGATAACAAACAATATGAGTAAATAAATATAAAATCAAAACAGGCCCAATAGAAGGCATCGCCTGTACATGGACCAATAATTTAAGTTGAAACTGTAGAATGCAAATGACAAAAAAGGACAAAAATTAGCTACAGTAGATTATGTATTTAGTTGATGTTCGTATTTATGAGTTTATGAATTTCAGTCCTAGATATAGAATGTAGCCACTTTTTTAAATTTCTTTTGAAACAATTTCCGAAACGTAAATCTTTTAAGTCTTTAGGTATAATTTCATAAAATTTAGGCGCTAAATAGAGATATGATCGCTGCATTATAGATTTATGAGGTTGAGGAACTACTGTGCCACGAATTTTGTACCTGGTATAATGATTATGTTTAATTTTTTGGTCGGTGTTTACAAATTTATGGTAGTGAGTGATACTGTGTAAGAAATAAACCTGTCTTATATCATACATTCGAACATCTGCGTATAATTTTTCAGTGGGATAAAGTTTCGGTTTTTTAAATATCATTTTTAGAATACTTTTTTGAAAAACATCTAAATTATAGATATGTGAGGAACATGCAGCTCCCCATGCTAATATACCATATGTGAGATGAGGCTCAATCAGTGCATGGTATAATGTTCGAAGATATTTTTCTGTCAATATATTCCCAAGGTATTTAATTTTGTAGGATACAAATCTAACTTTCTTTAAAATATAATTGACATGGATGTCCCATCGTAAGTGAGGATCCAAGACCACTCCAAGGTATTTTATGTTGGGCACTCTATTAATTTGCATTTTTTGATCATTAATATTGAAGGAGAAATTTGTGTAATTTGGCAGATGTCTAGCATAAGATCCAAATGGTAAAAAATGTGTTTTAGAGTAGTTAATGCTTAATTTTCTACTGTTAAACCACTGAATAATTTTGGTAAAATCATTTTCAATTACGTTTTTCAGATCAGACCAGTCAGTGCCTTCATATAATATTGCAGTATCATCTGCAAAACTAGTTATTTTGCCAACACAATTAATTTGGAAAATATCATTAAAATATATATTGAATAACAGCGGACCTAAGACAGTTCCTTGTGGGACACCACACTTAATATACATTTCTTTACTAAATGATCCTGATATCTGCACAGATTGTGGGCGATTTGACAAATAACTTTCGATCAGTGAGTACGCGTTTCCTCTGAAACCAGTTCTCTCCAATGCTTCTAATAATAATTTGTGATTAACTGTGTCGAAAGCTTTCTTTAAATCAACAAAAATGCAGATTGAAGGGATTGTGTTATCAATATTTTGATGTATTTGATTTACAATTTTAGTTATTGCGTCCGATCTAGCCTTCCCTTCTGTAAATCCATATTGATTTTCACTTAAAATTTTGAATTTTGTGAGGTATCGAATCATTCTAGTAGATAAAACTTTTTCAAAAACCTTTGCTACACTGGATATTATTGATATTGGTCTATAGTTGTTAACATCTGTTTTTGTTCCTGATTTATGTATCGGTATTATATTACCTTTTTTTAAAATTGAGGGATATATGCCAGATTCAAAGCATTTGTTGATTAGGTAAGTGAGTGGTTCTGTTATGTCCTCGGCTATAATTTTCAAATGCTCGCTTTTAATACCATCGAACCCAGGACTTTTCCGATTTTTTAAGGACATAACAGTGGTGTATACTTCACATTGCTCGACATTATCCAAAATAAATGAGTTCAAAGTTCTTTTTGGAGGCTGAGTATTTTGTACATTTATTTGTATATTACTTGCTAAATTTTCGCCTATGTCAGTAAAGAATTGTACAAATTCATCGCATATCTGTTGAGTATTTTTTAATATTGTTCCCGATGTTGAATTTAACTCAGTGACACACTCTTTAACTTTTGTTCTCCCAGTAATCTCATCAATAGTTGTCCAAAGCCGCTTAGGATCATTTAAGTTATTATTCAATTTATTTAGGTAATGTTTTCGTTTGGTTTGCCTTACAAGCTCTATAAATTTATTTTTATATTGGTTGTAACAGTCGGTATTCTCTGTAGTTGGCGTTAGCTTCATTACATTATATAGTCTTTCTTTTTCTATTGCCGATGTTATTAATCCTTTGGTAATCCAGGCATTTCTGCTTTTCTCTTTGTGACTAATTATTACTTTATTGGTACTAATATCTATTAGTTTTTTATTTTCTCTATGAACAGTCCCATTGCTTTGTCTATATTATTTATAGTGTATAATTGTTCCCAGGATTCTTGTTTGACATTTGATATTAGTTTTGAGTTGTCGACAAAAAATTTGTAATTTTTCTGGTTGTTATTAACGGTAGGGATGTTAGAATGTTTTTCATTTGAAGATATCAGTAAAATAGTGGAGAAGTGGTCAGTAATATCGCTTTCTAGGATTATTGGTATACAAGTAATTTTGTTGGATAGGTCTTTCACAAAGCAGAGATCTATACATGTGCCAAGATCGCCAGATTTATCACCTTTGGATTTCTTTATGTGGGTTCATTTAAAAAGCAAAATCTATGCTACTCAGCCAACATCATTAGAAGACCTGCGACAAAGAATTGTGAATGAGTGCCTTCAAATTACTCCTCAAATATTGCAAAGTGTGTGGCAACATTTTGAGCAAAATCTTTATTATTGCATGAAGACTCATGGTGGCCATTTTCAACATTTATTTGCCTAACGGATCAGTTCATTCTTAATTTTTAAATTACTTTGCTGCCAAATGTATTGATCTCCACTATAACTGTATTAGTTTTATTTAAACTTCAAATCAATAAATCTTCAAAACTACTGAACTGAAGTACATTAATTTTATATCATTATAAAGAGAATTGAAAGACCTTTAAAATAAGGTATCACTCGACCCCCCTTTCCATTTAAGATTTTGGGGGTGGTGTCACCCCCGCTTAGGGGGCTGCACGTGTTAACGTGATTTTTTGCCAAACTTGTGTCCCCCTCGAAAACAAAATCGACGGGTCTGAGCGTTTTTCAAAAAAAAACCTGAGCTGCCAGTAAATGCGTCTGTTTCGTTTTCGACGCGCCACCCTGCATATAATTCAAATGACTTTGAGAAGAACAAAAGTATCTGCTTTTACAGAGCCTGTAGGTATAAAAATCCACCGAATGTGAAATTGACAGAACGTGTAAAATGTTCCTAGATCAATCTAATTTTATCCATCGGTAAAAACGGCGTCAAGTAAGTTGACTCTCTTACCACGCAACGCCGACATTAGTTCATAAAGGATAAGTTTAGCACAAGTTAGATCTTTGGGAAAAAAAGATAGTTACAAACATGTGCCTCCCACCCTAATCATGTCGAGCTTCGTACATCCAGAACTGGTCGATACGACCGCTCCTTTGCCCCGAGGGTATCGGGCTTGTGGCACGAACTGCCCAAGGAGGCTTTTTACAGTCCCACTAATCTCAGGCAGTTCAAAAACCGTTTTAACAAAGTTTCTTTTGGATCCTCATAGCTGATATTTAGACTTTACTTTACAAGTTCAAAATGTAAAACTACTTGTTTCTTCTCTTTACATAATCATCCCAGTAACAAGTTTTCTGATAGCCTAGATATAAAATGACCGTACTATTAATCTATTGATTATCCGTGTCTGCATATGAGAACTTTGTAAAAAACAAAAGAATACACTTCCGTCAACCTTCCGCGACCACTAGATAAGCGTATTCCCATAACAATTAATAGACAAACAACGATTTTCCAAAACAGGATGAGAATTGTACTACTTGCGGTTTTTGGTTATGATAATATTTAATATAAATATGGGCTCCAAATGCATCGGAAATCAGTTTTGAGTGGTTGAGCCATTCAGAATATCCGCTGCTTTTGCTTCGAAAGGTGTGCAAGTTCCGTTCGGTTCAAATTGATTTTCTCAGGTAAGAATTTTTTCTGTTGGTACTCCAAAGCATGGAACTGAGTGAAAACAAGTGAGATTTTCAAAAAAAGTAGTGAGAAAAGAGTGAGAAATTGTTAATTAATATACAGATCAAGGTGACCTTAGTAAAAGTTTTCTAGTTTTCGAGATATTTCCAATTTTAAATTTTTTAAAAAAGTTTTGACTGTTATGGCTATAAAAAACTTCTAAGTTATGTTTTTTCCTGGGCGACCATTAATAGTTGGGTATTCATTTTATTGAGCATGCTAAAAAAAAATTATTACCTACATTTCGTTTCAATGCGAAAGCCTTTATTAAAATTTGTCTGATTACTGTGAAAAAAAAGTACCAGACCTTAGAAACTAGCTAATTAATGTTCCTTGAAAAATAGTATAACATTTGTACTACTTTTTACTAAAAACTGAATAATTCCAAGTTTTGTCATTGAAGTCGTAATATACTAAGTGACATATAAATCCGAACACCCAGTTTAAATGGTTTTATTTTAATAAAATTTTGTATAAGTACTTAATGAAGCATAATAAGTAAATGATAAAAATTTCAAAATGATTGCACTGCTTTAAAGCCCTTTGACCTTTAATAATGTGTCGATGCACCCTGATGTGCTACGCATTCTCCAACGCGCCTAGGGATGCTTCTGATCAGGTGATCAATGTCCTCCTGTGGTATCTCATTCCAGGCAACCACCAACTCCTCTCGAAGTGCTTCTAGAGTCTGAGGAGGACGTTGCAAATTAAGCAATCTCCTACCCATCATATCCCACACGTGCTCAATTGGGGATAAGTCGGGAGATCTTGGTGGCCATGGTAACAATCTGACATCATTATGTTGAAAGAAGTCTATTGTGACTCTTGCAACATGTGGTCGGGCATTATCTTGTTGGAAAGTTGGATCTGCCAGGGTGTCAAGATAGGGTAAAAGATGGGGTTCTAGAACTTCGTGGATATAACGCTGCGCGTTCATGTTACCTCTGATGAAGATTAAAGGTGACCTGGAACCATAAGCTATAGCACCCCAAACCATAACTCCAACAGTGTGATGAACATGTCCTTCAACAAAAAACTGTGGATTCCTCCTTTCACCACGTCGCCTTCTAACCCTGGCACGACCATCGTGCATGCCTAAACAAAATCTAGACTCGTCACTAAAGACAATACTGTTCCATTCCTGATCCCAGAGTGACCGCTGTCTGCACCACTCAAGGCGATTACGTCGGTGTTCTCGAGTTAAAGGGAGGACCCAGTGTGGCCGATATGAAAACAAGCCAAAACTTCTCATTCGTCGGTAAACACTTCGCATGCCAATAGGTCTTCCATGTTCTGCAAACCATTCATTTGCAATGGACCTGGTAGTGGCCAATAATCAACACCTAACCACAGTGTCTACACTTCTTTGCACTCTAACTGAAATTGCCCGAAAAGAAAGTCCAGCTTCCCGAAGTCCCACTATACGGCCCCTATCAAACTCACTAAGTTGACGAAATCGTACAGGTCTCCGTACTCTAGGCATCGTAACCGATCGTAAAGGATGTCAAGAACCAAAATCCGCCAACGTTGATTCTTTACTGCGGCTGAAATATTCATTTTTAGAGCGTTAGTGAATTAAAAAAAAGCAGTATAAAAACCGGAATGTCCAACTGATAAGGCTGAACATTTTTTCACTTGTTATTTACAGTAAGATAAATACATTCACCAACTTTTATTAAAATAAAACCATTTAAACTGGGTGTGCGGATTTGTATGTCACTTAGTATATAATTAATAATTTGTAAAAGAGCATTAAATAGGCTACTTTTTAAGATCATTTGCCGATTCAGTCTGGTACAAATTTTTTCACAGTAATTAGTCAAGGTTTAGTAAAAGTTTTCACATTGAAAAAAAAATGTAATATTTTGTTAGCGTATCTACCGTGCTAGCTTTTAATGAAATCAATACTGTGTTGTCTCAACCGACTATTAAAGTTCTTTATAGCTCTAACAGGCAAAAAAGGGGCAAAAAGTAGTGATTTTTTGAAAAAACTTAAAAGTGGCAATATCTCGAAAACTAGATGGCACGTTGATTTCATATGATTGATCTGGATTCAATCTACCTCCCGTATCACTCTGGCGTGTTATTTCTGGGACGCCCTGTATAAAAAAATGAATTAATTTTTTGAAAAATTGAATATCAAAATGCCAAATTTAAACGGATTATATAAATGAGAATGTGTGAAAAAAACTAGAATAACTCTTTTGACATAAATAATCTTAATTTTGTGTCAAAAAAAAAACGCCAAGAATTTTTGCATGTTTTGCATGTCGAAACTCCATAGACTTCGTCATAAACCCCCGCGTAAAGGTGATTTTGTATTCCAGGTTACTGAAAACTCTCATCAGGATGACTGACTCAAAGAGCAACCTTTTGAAACTGTTCGACAGGCCAAAAGAACCGGTGTTCATGCCGAAAGGAGATAACAATGCTGTTTTCGACGTACCCAACAACTATTTGGTAAGTCAGCACAAATCAGGGCTCTAGAAAGAATACTTCATAAAATATCGGATTTATTAAGTCATCAATCTCAATCACTTAGCCTCCCCTTGGATACGTCCTTGATTCTCCGAGTTTTTGGCTTGCACATTCACCATCTTTTGCAAATTTGGGCAAACATACGACTATTTCTCACAAGCTAAGCATAGGATAGTTTTACTGCCATAATACAGGGTGTTTCAGTTTATTGTTGCATAACTTTAAGATTCGATAGAACTTTTAAAATTAATGCATAAAGTATATATAAACATGGGTCGAAAAATGCGTGGCTTCCGAAGTACAGGGTGTTTAAATTTACTTTCTAAAATAGTTTTTTTTTAAATATTTCAAACAATATTTGATGTATAACAGTGAAAATTGGTTTACAAGGGTTTTTTGGTACGACAAAACGAACCATGGGCATAGTTTTACTATAGCCGCTAGAGGGCGCTCTCTACTGTACCTGTAGAGTATTAAAATGACCGAAAATTTTTTCTTAGTGCAATTTTTTGCTTTTTGAATAAAAAAACTGATTCTTCGCACTTTTCTGCATAAAAAAGCTCTCCTGTGAGTTTTCGTTATAGTTAGCCGTTTTTGAGATATTTCGATTTTTAAGGTTCGATGCATTTTTAATTATTTATGTACGTTAAAAAGTCAGTATCTCGATAATTTTTAGAAGTAGGCTGTGCCAGCAAATATTTTTGAAATTGAAAGCAGAATAAGGTTAAACGTCAATTGGTTGACAGTTAGTTTTGTTGTCTGTTGAAACCTGAAACGTTTTTTTGCAATTATGAATGCACGAAATTTATTTTATTTTACCTGTTTTTTTGTAAGTTTTATAAAAATGCCATTTTTATTCTCCAATCAAGAGTTAGCGGATATTCATTTTGTGTATGTCTTTGTAAATGGAAACGCAGCAGAAGCAGCCAGAGAATACGCACGAAGATTTCCAAACAGACGACGAAAATGTAAAAAAATATTATTTTATCATAAATAATTAAAAATGCATCGAACCTTAAAACTCGAAATATCTCAAAAACGGCTAACTATACCGAAAACTCACAGGACAGCTTTTTTATGCAGAAAAGTGCGAAGAAAGCGGTTTTTTATTCAAAAAAACAAAAAATTGCACTAAGAAAATTTTTTCTGTCATTTTAATACACTACAGGTACAGTAGAGAGCGCCCTCTAGCGGCTACAGTAAAACTATACCCATGGTTCGTTTTGTCGTACCAAAAAACCCTTGTATACCAATTTTCATTGTTATACATCAAATATTGTTCGAAATATTAAAAAAAAAACTATTTTAGAAAGTAAATTTAAACACCCTGTATTTCGGAAGCCACGCGTTTTTCGACCCATGTTTATATAGACTTTATGCATTAATTTTAAAACTTCTATCGAATCTTAAAGTTATGCAACCATAAACTAAAACACCCTGTATACTTTTGTTCGGGATGGCAAGAAATATATCATACCGAATTTTCAAACAAATCGACTGGGATCCATTTTCCATATGTATCGTGCCTGGTCCTTTCGCATTACGCTTCATCCGGCATTGTTTTTCCAGCCCGAGAACTACAAACCGCTGGGGATGCAGATAACAAGCCGGTTCGGAGAGAGCGCAACAGAGAAAATTCCAGTGACGCCGATAACAATCCCGCCACTTGGAGAAATCCTGGATCTGGCGAGAGACGAGAATTTCTCCCTCTTCATACCAAAGCACAGGAAAATTGCTGGAAGGCTCATTGACATCTATTTGGGTATGCTAATTATACGGATTATTCTTCGAAGTTGAGTCATTTATTTTAACAGTGAGTAGATCTGATCAAAAGAAATGTTTTTTCCTTTAACATTTTTCTGGTAAAATTAAAGTGACAAAGTTATAGCCCTTTAGAAGTTTGAGTACTGCCCTGTCTCAATAATAATATTATGTGCTCGTGTTCGGCAACAACGGATATAATCCGCCTTATCGGTTCATCGCATCGGAAACAAAAAAACGAAAGGATTTGAAACGCTTATCACGATGTTTTTACTACAATTTTATTCAGTTGTATTCAGTCAATGTGTCAGTCGGTAACGCGTGAGTGAATAGTGGTGTTTGTTGCGCGGCGCAAACGAAATAAAAAATGGCACATGTTTACGAAAATGCTGAACTTGTGGACATGATTCTTTACAAAATGCTGCCGCGGCATCACGGATTTATGCGGATCGGTTTCCCCATCGAGTGCAACCAACCCCTCGTGCCTTTGTTAATGTAGTACAAAGGGCTCGTGAATCAGGTGACTTAAGACCTCACAGGGGACGGCATGCCGGTGCTCCAAGACCTCACGATCAAATACAGGTCCGCACTTGTCGGGAGGATACTTTATAAAACAAGGTAACTTTTTTAATTTTTTTTTATTTTTACACACATATTTTGGTTTATCTTCCTTCTACAATCATTATCTGAAAATTAATGACTCAACTTCAAAGTCACCCTGTATAGGTTGCCCTCGAGGATATAAATAAATCTTGGGCAGTTTTCTTTCTAGTAACGTCTTAAGATTACCGAGATGTTAGACTCGCAAAATAAATCAAACCTAAACGAAACCTAACCCGGTCCTGCACCTCGATCAGATCAAATTTGAACACGTATGACGCGCGTCAGTACTCAATCCAGACGCTGTCCGGGTTTGCAAACAAAACCTGGTACTGCTGCATCTTGTAGAACTTCGGATTTCAGTTTTTTCGCCTGAAACTTATAAAGGGTAGCCTGATAAATTATTTTACAAGACACTGTATTTTTTAGCAGTTATTTCGCCCATTATTTCGACCGCCATCTACCATATGACGCTGACGTCTGTGGATATGTCATATACGAGAGCCGCTTGCCTGCGGCGTTGCCGGATTGGGCTCCGTATTTAGGGAAAAATATGAAAATTGGAAAATTTATATACATTTATATTAATGAAACACAAAAACAAAAAACTGAAACAAACAACAGTAGTAAAATTAAAAGTGATTCTTACTAAGTATAAAACAAAAAATAACAAACAGCAATAAAATAAAAAGCAATTCTAAGTGGTTATAAAAGACAAACAATTAAAACAGTAGTAAAACAAAAGAACAATTCCATTTAATTATGAAAAAACAAATAATAACAAACAGTAAATTAAAAAGCAATTTGGATGGAATGAAATTGTTCTTGATTTAACTACTGTTTTTACTTTTTGTTTTGTGTTGTCACTTAGAATTGCTTTTTATTCAACATGGAATTGTTTTTTTTGTTTTACTACTGTTTTTTAATTTTTGTTTTTTATAATCACTTAGAATTACTTTTTATTTTACTGCTGTTTGTTATTTTTTGATTTTTATAATTACGTATACATGGAATTAGTTTTTGTTTTACTACTGTTTTTATTTTTTGTTTTTTATAGTTATTTATAATTTATCATTTTTTAGCTTACTACTGTTATTTTTTGATTCAATAATTAATATAAATATGTATATAAATTTTCAACTTTTCATATTTTTCCCTAAATGCGGAGCCCAATCCGGCAACACCGCAGGCAAGCGCCTCTCATATATGACATATGCACATACGTCTACGTCATACAGCAGATAGATGGCGGTGGAAATAATGATGGAAGCAGCTAAAAATACAATGTTTTGAGAAAATTGTGCTTCATCCACACTTTTTTGTTTCTAAATAATAATAGACTACCCTCTAAAAGTTTTAAGAGAAAAAACAGTGAAATAGTGAAAACGCAACAGCACCCAAAACCTTTACACATCGGTTCTAAAAATATAAAACAAAAATGGCACACTCATACAGCAAAATCGGAGTTGTCGATGTATTTAAATGTACGCTGAGCGTCTTCGAAATGCTACCGAGGCTTCGCACTTGCATGTAGATCGTTTTTCAAGATCTAAGAAAAATACAACTAGAAGCCACCAACAAGTGCCGGCAAGCACATTTGTGGCATCAGTATAAAAATGCTCTGAAAACCTTTGTACTATACCTGCAAGAATTTAATCAACCCGAAACATCCAAAACCCGGCATAATTAAAACTGGATCCCCAGTTGGGTCATGGAAGCTCGCAACTCGCTTTAAAATATTAACATAGCACACATATTTTCCAGGATATTTCATATTTGACCTTTGAGATATAAAACGTGAATTCACTTGTGGGTATTCCGCAGTCCAGTTTCACAACTTTTGTTGTTAACTGCGTAATCAGCTTAGAGAGAAAAGTTGTACAAACACACAAATGATTTACGGATACTCCCTTCAAGTATAAAATGGTAAAATATTTCCACACTTTTATTGTGTAGAACTACTTGACCTCGATGTTTGTGTAACAACTGACGAATAGCATGGGTGTTCACTCTGGATGCTGCGCTTTGATTGGCTGGTTCAAGAGGTCCTGCATTCTGATTGGTTGCTCGACAGCGGGCTTAACTGCGGCGTTGCCGAGTGGTGCAAAAAGTCTTTGACAACTGATATCATCGGAAAAGTGATCGAAAATGTTCAACAGCTTAGGTGTGGAATGTTTTCATATAAGTTTGTGATGAATTTTAAACGAAATCGTGTTTTCTGATCTTAGTACATCAATACCCCGCTTATTATATTAGACATATTTTGACACATTATAGATTTCTCCGTACGTACGAATGTGTATCATGTAGAATGCTAACGTTGTGATCACGTGGTGATTTACGGATGCTCCCTTCTAGTATAGTAGACTCTATTTTTATTTTTTTGTAACAATTGACGAATAGCATCTAGCCTCCGCATGGGTGTTCACTCTGGGTGCTGCGCATTGATTGGCTGATTCAAGAGGTTCTGCATTCTGACTGGTTGCGGGCTTAAGTGCGGCGTTGCCGAGTTGTGCAAAAAGTCTTTGACTACTGATATAATTGGAAAAAGTGGTAGAAAATGTTCAACAGGAGAAGTGTAGGATGTTTTCTTACAGTTAGGGTTTATGATGGATTTTTAACGAAACGATGGTGTTTTTTCGGATCTTAGTATATTAATACACTTCCAATCCCGCTTATTATATTAGACATATTTTGACACATCATAGATTTCTCCGTACATTTGTTCTCAAAACTTAGATCGGCTGACGGGGTTGTAAGTATTGCATTTTTGGTGGGTTCGAAGGACTTATAAAAGCACGTAGCAGACGGCGCGGTAACGTGGTATGCACTTACGATATTGGAGGCTAATGGATAATTTAATGAGCTTACATGATTTCGAGCGATAATATGATATACATATAGTATGCCAGTAAAAGCTACTATAATCAGTTATCAAACATTGTTAACAAAGAGTTTTAGGAGGAGGTTCTCACTTCTGACAAAACCTCAATCTACTTGGCGCCATTTTTTGTTGCAGGAATGCGTACTGTGGACGACCTCCTCTCCGTGGCGGTCTATACAAGAGACCGCGTGAACCCGTACCTTTTCAACTATGCATTGTCCGTAGCACTGCTTCACAGGCCCGACACCCAAGACCTCGATCTTCCCAGCTTCATCAGGACTTTTCCTGACAAGTACCTCGACAGCAAAGTCTTCGGCAAGGCCAGGGAGAACGCGAACATCGTCCCTGAGAACGCTAGGGTATGACAACTTGTTACTAAACTCATACGAGGGTTGTCTCGAAAATAAGGTCTTCACTCAAATCAAATTTAGAAGGATTGCTTGAACGTTGTTCAAAAACTTTATACTGTAAATTTTCAGGTTTTATCTGGAAGTCAAATTTAGGTTATTTCAAGGTCAAAATTTGTGTTTCAATCTATTTGATAACCTCCGCCAAATTTTTTTTTTTTGGGTCTCTAAATCCAAATCTGGGGATTCTTATAGCCGCCGAGGTCATCTAAACGTTATTTCAAGGTCGCATAAAAAATTCAAGGGATTTCCGTTTAAAATTTTCTTTTTCCAATATATCGAGATGGGATTTTCGCGAGCTTGTTTAGACATCATTTAGCTACTTTTTCATGAAAAAATCATCCCAATGCTTTTAATTTCTTAGAGAAAATTACCCATTTCTGTTCGAATGTCGAAAAAAGCCCGCTAGCGGCCACATGTGAAACTAACAACAGTGTTGCCAAAAAGATACTATCAAAAAAATCACCCATTACAACCGAATTCATAGAAACATTACTTTTTTAGTTACGCCCACTAGCGGTCATTTCAGAAACTTGAAAGTATTTTCCAGGTTTTTCTCTTTTCTCACGTTCTTGGTTGGCCACCCTGTAGGTACAATAAGCCTTAAGGGTTGTAGTTCATATCTAGTTCCTTAAATGTATACTCACGGCAGCCGCGGTGCCCTGGTATCTAGACGCGGCTGCTTCGGTATAAAAAAACATAATTAACAATCTCTACGGTGACACAACTTTCAAGGTCATGTTTTTCTTATGGATAAATACCTTGACTAGAAAGTCTTCTGGAAGGACAGAGAAAACAATAATATTGTGCCTAAGGAGAGGTAAACACGCTATTAAAAGTTTGCGTATTTCTGCGTTGTTTTACTTGGAATATCACAAGAAAACAGACCTGACAGAAATTAGTTCCTAAAGTTTTATTTTGTTACTGATATTGAAATAAGCGTTCGAGACATTTTTCTTTAATGTACTTTATATTCCGTATGGAACAAGATTAATCAGCGAACATCACAATCTTTTCAAACAAGTTACAAATTCTGTTTTCATGTCCCTTAGTTGTTTTTTTTTCAAAGCCGATCGTTTTCGAGTTATACGTGATTTAATGACTGAAAACCACTTAAAAAAGTATTCTGATTCGGATTTTTTTGTGCAAAATCTAATTCAAAAAGGACTCCTTTTAACGAAACTGCATGTTGTTAGGACGAAATTTACGTCAAAAATCGTTTAAACAAATTCCAACTCCAAATTGTATTGCAGGAGCCCATAGAAATTCCGAAAGACTACACGGCGTCAGATCTAGAGGAAGAACATCGTTTGGCCTACTTTAGAGAAGATATTGGTATCAATCTGCATCACTGGCATTGGCATCTGGTTTATCCGTTTGAAGCTGACATTTCCGTTGTCAGGAAGGACAGACGAGGAGAACTGTTCTATTACATGCACCAGCAGATCATCGCGAGGTAAGCTTTTGCCTGTCCACTATCGATTAAACTTTGATTGGGTGCCACCAGTAGACCAGTACAGCGCCGAGCACCGCCCGCAGCACAGTGCTGCGGGGTGACTCCGTGAAGGTGGGGGAGGGGATTAGGCAGCGGCATGCGCATCGCGAGAAAGGTGTGCTAACCGTAGCAGCCGGCGAATAGAAATGACCCGGGAGCCGGTGGCATTGAGTATACGTTCATCGCGGATTCGACTAAATTTAGTAATAATATGTAGTTTTTAAGTATGGTGTATCTGAAGTCACTTGAAATAGCATAAAAACCGTTGGTCGGCGCGTCCTTTGTAATTTCATGACGTATCATAGGCGGTCGTTTATTTAGAACGATAATAATAATGTTTTTATATCACAATAAATGGATTTTACTATCTTCTTATTTTTTTGATTTGGGATAAAAAATACTTATATTGGCAGTTTAATTTATATTGACTGAAAGTTAAGAAATGGAAAAATTACAGAATTCCAACGTTTGACATAGGCAAATATTTACATAGCAGGTAGGTATATAAAAAGGTATATAAAGACTTACATTATAGGCATTTATATATCATCCTCGCCTTCGGAGCTGTCGCTAGAGTCATCTTGTAGAGGAATTACAACGGGATTTACAGGAGGCAAAACACAATATTCATTTTCTTTTTCAATAATATGCCTACAACACTGCTTCCATAGGTCTGTGACAGCAATATGAGATACTGCATCTCTTATTGTGGCCAATAGCGATTCACTTAATTGAGGGGTCTGATTATGTTTTCTTACTTTTTTTTAAAGCAGCCCAGACCAACTCAATCGGGTTAAAAATGCAGTAATAGGGAGGTAGACGTAATACTTCATGGCCATTTTGCTGAAGCAGATTGTCAACAACATACTCTTTTTCAAATTTTTGTCTTTTAATAAGATCCAATAATATGGCTTTGGTTGATTTTTGTGGTATTTCCATTCCCTTATCCTTCATAAAATCAATAATGTCTTGTTTTTTTGTGCCTGTATTCGGAATTTTGTTTTTCTGTCGGGAATGGTATGGCGCATTGTCTATAATAATCACTGAATTTGGGGAAATGTTTGGTATTAACTGCTGCTCTATCCACTCTTCAAATAAGTCGGAGGTCATGTCCTCATGATAGTCGGCACATGATTCTTTGATATTTTTGGCAGATAACAGCAAGGCATTAGGTATAAATCCATCTTCACTGCCAGCATGGAGAATAATGATTCGTTTTCCACGGTTGCATGGTGCATTTAAAATGCACTTGTTGCTGTCGTCAACCCAGCCGTACTGCACAACATCATGGGTATCATACCACGCTTCATCCAGGTAAATCAGATTTGTTTTCTGCTCTCTATAGATTTTAACTTTGTGCAAAAATTCTTGGCGCAATTCAACGATTCGAGACGACTCCATAATCACCATTCTTTTATCTAATTTTTGGTATTGAAAACCACACAGTTTTACAATACAGTGCAGTGAGTCTAAGCATTTGTAATTATAAAAATCTTCAGGATAATCTTTTAATTTATCCCGTATCATTTCCAACGTGGGCACCAAATTTTCTTTATAAAATCCGTATATTATACGACGAATATCTTCCTGAAAACCCACGTCTATTCTTTTTAATTTTTGCCCTATGCGCTTTCTGTGGAAGGAATGGTTGACTACATCTCCCCTTTTTATAACCCGATAAATGGTAGACCGACTGATTTTTGTCAGGATACAAATTCTGTTTAAAATTTGATTTTGCGAGGAATCTGGATTTTCGTTTTTCAGACAATCATACATATTTAGGATTACTCTTTGGGTCTGTTCCTCTAAATCTTTATGAAAGAATTCTGCCTGCACAGGTTCATCAACCATCTTCTCGTGGCTTGGAGCATTTTCCCAAGGTCTCCAAAGAGCCATATTTAGGACACACCAGAACAATCAACACAACAATTAAATCAACAAGTAAACTGAGTATTCAAAAGTCAAAAACACACAAACTAATAAAATCTATGAAAAAACACGGACAGACTAAAGAAACACGTTTGTTCACCGCTACACGGCACTGGCTAAACTGTTTCAATTTTCAGTAGCCACCTGCACTTGTTCGGAGCTCTGAAATACACGCTTTCTCATTGGCTATGTCCACGCATAGGCGTGCTTTACTTCACGTGGACCGGTGAAACTGCCTTTGATCTTATACGGGGGATATTTGCTGCGAAATTTGAGCGTGTTAAATATAGATACATAAAACGCACCCGGTATTTCACAGTGTTTCAAGTGACTTCAGATAAAGTATATATATGAATGCATCTGGCATTTAACCAATAAAAACAGTTGCAAAAGTTGGAAAACGAATAATATTGACGCATAAAAATTGACATATCGCTAGCAGCTGCTCGCGTTATCGGGCGATATGACGTTGCTGAAGGACAAAATCCTGTGTAATGTAAACTGGTGACGGAGGTATAGTACATCCAGTAAAGACGATTATGTAATTCAATCCGACTCTTCGCCGTCAAAACAATTTTTTTCTACTTCCGACGCTTCTCAGACGACTTGCTTCTTTGTGTAGGTATAATAGGTTTCGTCTTTCAGAGTTGTCGACTCATGAATATTCGGTTCTTGGCAACATGGGGACATGAACATACATACAGGGTGGCACATCGATAACGAAACAGACACGTTTACTAGCAGCTCAGTTTTTTTTTTGAATAACGCTCAGACCCGTCGATTTTGTTTTCGAGGGGGACACAAGTTTGGCAAAAATCACGTTAACACGTGCAGCCCCCTGGGCGGGGGTGACACCAACCCTAAAATCTTAAATGGAAAGGGGGGTCGAGTGATACCTTATTTTAAAGGTATTTCAATTCCCTTTATAATGATGAAAAATACATGAGCCTCAGTTCAGTAGTTTTGAAGATTTATTGATTTAAAGCTTAAAGTAGACTTTAATAGGTACATCAGATTAGTTTGTACTACTTTCAGAAGAAATTTCACTAAAAGAATTTACTTAATTTTTTTTAAAGGGGGATCATTTAAAAAGCAAAATCCAGGCTACTCAGCCAACATTATTAGAAGACCTGCGACAAAGAATTGTGAATGAGTGCCTTCAAATTACTCCTCAAATAATAATAAATAATAAATCTCCAGAACTGAACTGAAATACATTAATTTTATATCATTATAAAGGGAATTGAAAGACCTTTAAAATAAGGTATCACTCGACCCCCCCTTTCAATTTAAGATTTTGGGGGTGGTGTCACCCCCGCTTGATTTTTTGCCAAACTTGTGTCCCCCTCGAAAACAAAATCGACGGGTTTTTCCAGAAAAAAACTGAGCTGCGTCTGTTTCGTTTTCGATGCGCCACCCTGTATATTATATCACTGTGGTAGATATCGATTTTACCCTGAAATAAAATGATAATAGCACAGTAGGGCTTTGGCGCAAAAAATTAATATTTGCTGAATAGGGGGTAGAAAAATTGTCTGTAATCGCACAGAGTGATTGCGTTTATACAAGATGACCCATGTCATTATTTTTCTTTTCTAATAAAACTGATAAATATCACTGCTGAAAATTATTGCGATTTAACAAATCGTTCTCGAGTAAAAGAGCCAACGTCAAGGTTTTTTCTGTGGCTCGTCATTTTTTAAAAATCTCGTCGAATCCATACCTTTTCGAGAATCTTCTAATCGTTAAACTGCGGGAAAATGTAGAATTTAAACTATTTGTATTATTTTTGCTAATAAATATTGGTATAGCAGTTAAAACTAAAGATCAGAATTTATCAAATGTCCTTCCATTTCTGAACCGATTCCTTGACCAGCAAAAAGCTAATTCCCGAGTGACAGGCTATATTTGATTGCGATTAATAATACAGGGTGTGGGTACTGTTGCATCTTGTAGCACTTCGGATTTCACTGTTTTTTCCACTTGAAACATAGAGGGTAGTCTGATAAATTATTTTACATCATAAAAAGTGTGGATGAAGGACGCTTTCCATGATTTTTCCCCAAAACATGTTAGCAGTTATTTCCCCCATTATTTCCACCGCCATCTAGCATATGACGCTGACGTCTGTGGATATGTCATATACGAGAGGCGCTTGCCTGCGGTGTTGCCGGATTGGGCTCCGTATTTAGGGAAAAATATGAAAAGTGGACAATTTATATTCATTTATATTAATGAAACACAAAAACAAAAAACTGAAACAAACAACAGTAGTAAAATTAACAGTTAAAACTAAAGATCAGAATTTATCATATGTCCTTTCATTTCTGAACCGATTTAGAAAATTCCTTGACCACCAAAAAGCTAATTCCCGAGTGACATAGGCTATATTTGATTGCGATTAATAATACAGGGTGTGGGTACTGTTGCGTCTTGTAGAACTTCGGATTTCACTGTTTTTTCACTTGAAACTTATAGAGGGTAGTCTGATAAATTATTTTACATCATAAAAAGTGTGGATGATGGACGCTTTTCATGATTTTTTCCCCAAAACATTCTAGCAGTTATTTCCCCCATTATTTCCACCGCCATCTACCATATGACGCTGACGTCTGTGGATATGTCATATATGAGAGGCGCTTGCCTGCGGTGTTGCCGGATTGGGCTCCGTATTTAGGGAAAAATATGAAAAGTGGACAATTTATATACATTTATATTAATGAAACACAAAAACAAAAAACTGAAGCAAACAACAGTAGTAAAATTAACAGTTAAAACTAAAGATCAGAATTTATCATATGTCCTTTCATTTCTGAACCGATTTAGAAAATTCCTTGACCACCAAAAAGCTAATTCCCGAGTGACATAGGCTATATTTGATTGCGATTAATAATACAGGGTGTGGGTACTGTTGCGTCTTGTAGAACTTCGGATTTCACTGTTTTTTCACTTGAAACTTATAGAGGGTAGTCTGATAAATTATTTTACATCATAAAAAGTGTGGATGATGGACGCTTTTCATGATTTTTTCCCCAAAACATTCTAGCAGTTATTTCCCCCATTATTTCCACCGCCATCTACCATATGACGCTGACGTCTGTGGATATGTCATATATGAGAGGCGCTTGCCTGCGGTGTTGCCGGATTGGGCTCCGTATTTAGGGAAAAATATGAAAAGTGGACAATTTATATACATTTATATTAATGAAACACAAAAACAAAAAACTGAAGCAAACAACAGTAGTAAAATTAACAGTTAAAATTATAGATCAGAATTTATCATATGTCCTTTCATTTCTGAACCGATTTAGAAAATTCCTTGACCAGCAAAAAGCTAATTCCCGAGTGACATAGGCTATATTTGATTGCGATTAATAATACAGGGTGCGGGTATTGTTGCGTCTTGTATAACTTCGGATTTCACTGTTTTTTCACTTGAAACTTATAGAGGGTAGTCTGATAAATTATTTTACATCATAAAAAGTGTGGATGAAGGACGCTTTTCATGATTTTTCCCTAAAACATTTTAGCAATTATTTCCCCCATTATTTCCACCGCCATCTACCATATGACGCTGACGTCTGTGGATATGTCATATATGAGAGGCGCTTGCCTGCGGTGTTGCCGGATTGGGCTCCGTATTTAGGGAAAAATATGAAAAGTGGACAATTTATATACTTTTATATTAATGAAACACGAAAACAAAAAACTGAAACAAACAACAGTAGAAAAATTAAAAGTAATTCTTACTAAGTATAAAAAAAAAAATATCAAACAGCAGTAAAATAAAAAGCAATTTTCTCGTATTTCCACAACAAAAATGGTCTAAAGCTACTAGTTTTTGAGATATTTGTGTTTAAAGGTTCCAATGCATTATTTGTACCATGACGATAAAACATATTTATAACATAACTTTTTTTTAATCTGAGGTTTATGCAACTTTTTCCAAACGTATTTGAGTTATTTCTATCAGTTTCAAGAAAAACTAGATACATCTTGTATTTAAACATAAAATAAAATCTTCAAAAAATAGCTCTTATTAACAGACAAAAAATGATCTTACCCTTCGTTAATAAATTGTTGGAATATACAGGGTGTCCGCAAAGTTGGGGTTTTCCTTTTCAGAAACAACTACCCTTGAAATAACAAAGGTGATGTGTAGTGAAACGAGGGCGACCAAGTAAAAAAAAATAAAGGAAAAAGTACTCACTCTCCAGTTGACGAGAAGGGCTAAGTCCGTCTCTGCCCGATATCATACCGCTCCAACAGAAAATGAAATCAGCTGATGCGCTACCGAGCAAACTCAGGCAAACAAGGAAGGCAAAATGTTGCGTAAAAAGTCTAGGTATTGCATCCCGTCCAATCGATTTGGGAGAATAAATGGTCCAATGAGCATACCGTTCACCATGCCAGCCCAAACATTCACCGAAAATGTTTGTTGAAAATGTGCCCGACGGACTGCGTGCGGATTTTCTACTGACCAAACATGAGTGTTGCGAAAGTTATTCACCCCATTACGCGTGAACGTAGATTCGTCTGTCACCCATATGCACTTCAAAAAGTCCGGATTATTGTCATGTTGATGCAACAACCACTCACAAAACCGCACTCTTGCTGGAAAATCGTCAGGTTGAAGGGCTTGTACACGTTGGACGTGAATCGGATACAGCCCCTCTTCACGCAGCGTTTGCCACACTTTAGTTTTTGATACTTGCACGTCTCTAGTGCTTGTTGGATTCTTGTCTACGCGATTACCTCTAGACGCGTGACCGTAACCGTCGGTTGAAGGTTGCATACTGACCTGACACACTGACCCCGACCCAGTTCTGTCGTCGGGTTGAGCTAGTGTCCTAGTACCAGTCGGGGATGTCGCGGCTACAGGACCGTATTCAGATATTTTTGATGTTGCAGAGCCCTTTATCTCGGTTCCCTTAAGACATTGGTGTATATGGTACTAAGAAAAATTGCTTATGTTTTCAAGATCTACACGTCGTGTAAAGGAAAACCTCAACTTTGCGGACACCCTGTATATTACCTTGGTGCGAAGCACAAAGCCAGAAAGCTGTTCGAAAAAAGTGGTATAAACCTTTTGTCAAAAAATAAGTTCCCAAGGAAAGATATTTAATGATGTAGAAATATACAGGGTGTTCCATTTGAAATTTATGAGAAAATGCACCTTTTGCGTTTTGATATACCCCGTATAAATAAAAACAATATTTTAGCATTTATTTCAGCTTACTAACGATGATAATAAAATTTTAATGAACCAAAATTTATTTAAATATGTTCAAAAATGGCGGAGCTGCAAGACGTCAAAGTTGGTCATTCTTTCAGAAATTTCACTAAATATCTAAACAATTGACAATAAAAACCATATATTGTATGATGTCAGACTTCTCGTTTTTAGAGGCTCCATCCAAATATGCAATAAAGGATGGGGTATTCTATTTGAAAAAATACTTTGCTAAGGCTCAAAGTCTGGAAACACCCATTAAAAAAAATTAAAATAAGCACTAGTAACATATCAAGGTTGTCACGATAACAGATTCTTGATATTCCCCAGTTTGCTGTTAAAACTACATTCCACTTTTGTTGGGGTATGTTTCGATGTGGAAAAATAGTTATTTTCCTAACAAGTACGGAAAGTGATTTTCCCAACAATCACGGCGTTCCCGAGTCCGATCACGTGAAATATCCGCGTATGTGTTCGGGTTTGGTTTCTCTAGGTGGACAATCCAACATTTTCGTCGTTTTCAGATACAATTTCGAACGTTTGAGCCACAGACTGAAACGCGTAGAACGTTTCATCGAATGGCGTGCACCCATCAAGGAGGCCTACTTTCCGAAACTGGACAGTCTGGTGGCCAGCAGGCCGTGGCCCGCGAGAGTGGCCAATCAGAAGATCAGCAACTTGAAGAGGGAGTTGGACCAAGTGAAGTTGGACGTGGATGAGCTGGAAAGGTGGAGGGACAGGATTTTCGCTGCAATCAGCGCTGGCGAAGTTAGGGGGGTAGGTGCTGAGAAAACATTGCAGAATTTTGTATACCTCAAACGCATTCGTTACGATTTCTGATACAACTCTTTATGCGGAGCAGTCTTAAAAAACGAGTAACTCCTTTTACATGCATTTTTTGACTATGACAGGTAAATCGTTTATATAAAAAAAATTCCTTAAAAATTTAAACACATAAATGATTGTAATGATGTTTTTGCTTCACAGGCGGATGGTAAAATGGTAACACTGTCCGAATTCGAAGGTATCGACGTCTTAGGAAACATGATTGAATCCAGCATTCTGTCACCAAACCGAGCTTTCTATGGTGACATGCACAACATGGGACACGTCTTTATATCATACATCCATGACCCAGATCACAGACATCTGGTAAGTAGTCGATTAAAAACCGTAATTTACAAGTCATAACATGTTTGTACTGTTTGATTGCGAAAAGATTTGATACCAGCGACTTAACCGATCTGTTCGAATAATTCAATTTTTTCTGGTTCCGCCTCAGAGATCCGTCGGGTCGTACCTCCACGTTCGACAAAAACCGTCTACCATATATATATATATATATATTTTTTTTTTTGAGACGTGGTCATTGTCGTCTAGATCAGTTAGATGAAAAATTAAAGCTTCCGCCTTTTGTTGGGTACTTCGACAAAATTTAAGCAAAGAGGACTCTTTATACTTTTTTAATTCTCTCTAGCTTTCAATGGACTTTGCCATCATCATCAGGAGCTGCAATTACAATGATAACAGTAGCAACAATAGTGTAAAATGAATTTAAATTGACTCAACTTACAGTAGTATGTGAGGATGTTGCTAATTGTTGTTTACGTATAGGATCAGGGAAACGTCCAGTAACATGGTGAGAGCTGGATACATGGTACAATGGTCAAAATTCGGTTTAACAATTTCTTACATAACATTCTGAAAATCACATCATCTGAAGTGATTTGGCAACGTTGGCACACGCCCACAACACAGACATTGACAACCTTCGGCCTTCTGTCAAAGGGTTCATCGCACTCATTATTCCATGACCACCATTTTGTGCAATCATCAAGTGGCTTCACGATGTAATGCTTTAATGTTTTTAAATAATTTTTAATCTGTTTTTAACTTGTTCTTGTCATATTTTATATAATTTTGACCATTGTACCATCTATCTAGCTCTCACCATGTTACTGGACGTTTCCGTCATCCTATACGTAAACAACAATTAGCAACATCCTCACATACTACTGTAAGTTGAGTCAATTTAAATTCATTTTACACTATTGTTGCTACTGTTATTGCAGCTCCTGATGATGATGGCAAAGTCCATTGAAAGCTAGAGAGAATTGAAAAAGTATAAAGAGTCCTCTTTGCTTAAATATATATATATATATATATATATATATATGAAATATGACCATCCCAAGGCCTCCCACTCTGAGCGTGTCGAAATTCGTACATCCGGAGCTGACCGATACGACCACTCCTTTTACCGTAAGGCGTCGAGATTGCGGAACAATCTGCGTGAGTTCTGCGAATCTTATGGTTCAGAAATCAGATGCTTTTAAGCTCCGGGGCCCCGTTATTTAAAAAGGTTTCTGCCTCGTAGCTGCTTCAGTATAAAAAAAAATATTCAATAGACCGGTAAGGAATACCAATCTACTTGATGTGTCCGAGAAAGACGCAGAAATGTTAGAAATCGGATTATTTTCTCTAACGAAACGTAATGTCTCTTCATTCGAACTGTTTACTCAACAGGAATGGAAATTAAAATTACCTACACATTCGCATAGGTACATCTGAAACATGCGATTTGTCGATACAATTTTATAACCTTTATGTGAAATAATTATTGCGCGAAACATTTTCAAAATCATACCTTCCAAATGAAAGTCAGTTTGAGAAACAAAGTAACTATTGACAATTTGAGGATTATTTATGTGTTGATTATGTATTTGTTTTGTTGTATTCCTAGGCCTGCTTCTATTAATTGTCTTTTTCGTATAGTGAATATGTATTTAAAACAAGAAATATGCCTTTTGGGTACTGTTGCGTCTTGTAGAACTTCGGATTTCACTGTTTTTTCACTTAAAACTTATAGAGGGTAGTCTGATAAATTATTTTACATCAAAAACACTGTCTTTTTTGACAGTTACTTCTCCCATTATTACCACCGCCATCTACCATATGACGCTGACGTCTGTGGACATGTCATATATGAGAGGCGCTTGCCTGCGGCGTTGCCGGATTGGGCTCCGTATTTAGGGAAAATTGTGAAAAGTGGAAAAATTATATACACTTATATTAATGAAACACAACAACAAAAAACTTTAACAAACAACAGTAGTAAAATTAAAGTGATTATTACTAAGTATAAAACAAAAAATAACAAACAGCAGTAAAATTAAAAGCAATTCTAAGTTATTATAAAAGACAAAACATTAAAACAGTAGTAAAACAACAAAACAATTCCATTTAATCACAGAAAAATTGTTCTTCGTTTTACTACTGTTTTTACTTTTTGTTTTGTGTTGTCACTTAGAATTGCTTTTCCATCCAACATAGAATTGTTTTTTTTTTGTTTTACTACTGTTTTTATTTTATGTTATTTATAATCACTTATAGAATTGCTTTTTATTTTACTGCTGTTTGTTATTTTTTGATTTTTATAATTACATGGAATTAGTTTTTGTTCTACTACTGCTTTTATTTTTTGTTTTTTATAATTATTTATAATTTATAATTTTTTAGCTTACTACTGTTATTTTTTGATTTATACTTATTAGGAATCGCCTTTTATTTTGTTACTGCTTTTTGTTTCAGTTTTTCGTTTTTGTGATTCATTAATTAATATACATATGTATATAAATTTTCAACTTTTCATATTTTTCCCTAAATGCGGCAACACCGCAGGCAAGCGCCTCTCATATATGACATATGCACAGACGACTACGTCATATGGCAGATAGATGGCGGTGGAAATAATGATGGAAAAGGCTAAAAATACAATGTTTTGGGAAAATTTTTTCATGAAAAGCGTGCTTCATCCACACTTTTTTTGTTTCTAAATAATCTATCACACTACCCGCTAGAAGTTTCAAGTCAAAAAACAGTAAAATCCGAAGTTGTATAACACGCAACAGTACCGCCTTTTGAAATTAGCATTACTTACTTACCTTTCAGCGATATTTTGAATATTCCCGACCACTTTATTTTTACATATATAGCAAAAATTGTCAAACAAAAAAGTTCACATTATCCCCGACTTTAAAGATCAGGTTTTTGTTAGGTTAATATAGCGGAAGATTGCAGTCACGCCACCTAGCGGCCAGTTCAGAAACTTGAAAATATTTTCCAAGTTTCCCAGATACAGTACTTCACATTCTTGTCCACCCTGTACATCGCCTTATTTTATTTTCAACGCACAATTATAAGTGAATTTTGGTCAAAAAAAGTTCTGACAATGATTGTGAAACCAGTGATGATGATCCGTATTGCAGGAATCTTTCGGTGTCATGGGTGATTCTGCAACGGCCATGAGAGATCCAGTCTTCTACAGATGGCACGCCTATATTGACAGTATCTTCCAGCAATTCAAAGACACGCTTCCCAGATATCGTGAAAATCAGGTAAGATTTCTGTATGCCTGATACTTGAATGCAAGACGTGAATCGCTTTATCATTGTCTTAACCGTTTTTAAGTTGGTAACTTGCTATCGAACATCTCAAAAAAGTATTGCCTCGTATGCTCTCAATTGTTACATACTGGAATTTTCAATGAAACATTCTGAATATCTCGTTAATATAAGATTCTGTGAGTAAGGTTTTTTTCTAAAAATGTTTCAGCTTTTTGAAGAGTGTCATTGCCAAAAAAGAACCCCATCTACTTTGGTGAAAAGTCAGAAATTTTAGTCATAATTATTAGCTAACATTTTAATTGTAAAAAAAGTCTTATACACACTTTTCCGAGGTTATATGTATATTCCATAAAGTGTAGAATACTTAAGCTTTTTAAGATTGCCCAATAATTTTGGATCAAACAAACTTATATCCTTGGTCTAGCCAGCTACGCCAAAACAAACAAAATTATAGCAACATTACATACCTGGCACGAAATCGATCAATCCATTCGCGAAAAAGTACATTCAATACACAAGAGCACCACACGAAAATATAGAACAAAAATATGGTCAATTCAAAAACCACCATCGAACATTTCACCAGAATCAACACGATCCTTTCTTTACGCGTAATCTCTAACGCAAAATGCATTTCGGATCGGAAACGCGGCACTGTCGGTCCACCTAAAAAGTCACAGCCTACTAGACATAATCGCGGGAATTATTCGACGGCTGTTTTACCGCGAAACCAAAAACCAATCAAGACGCCAGAATAGAGACAGCTTATTATTGTCATGCTATTGAAATTTATTAAGGGCTTCAGAGAATCTGATAATATTGTATACAGGGCGTTGAGAGTGTTTACGTATGTCTAGTTGATAAAATTGGAATTACGGAAGATGAATGTGATAAAACTTCGTTTATGTAATTTACATGGTTTATAAACAGCACTTATAGCAAAAATTTATAATAATAACGACACGATGCATTCCTTATGAGGCTAAAACAAATTCTAGCAGCAATAATATTTTTTCAAATTGTTAAATGATGGACGATTTAAAATTATTCATTGATTCCACTAAGAAGGGCCACGCGGTTGATTTCGCGGCCGCGTAATATCAGTACCCGCCGGCGATAGAAGGCTTTTGATAAAATTTGGACAGCAGTGTGCTTTGAAACGATAGTGAATATTTTTTAGGATGTTAATATTGACATCGCGTAAACAAGGAATGGATTGTGACCGCAGAGAAACAAAAATAAATTGATTCTGATCCACACAACTCACCTACGTTTCAAAATCAAAATGCATTCCCAGAGTTAATTATCTCCTGGTGCAGATCGCGGAAGACCCGCTGGCGACTTTTTACAGAGAACTAGTATTTCCATAGTTGGCCTTGAAGCCGACAGTTTCTCGCAGCTTTCGAAATACATCCTATAAGAGAAAAATGGCGCACTTTTTCGGACAAATAGGTATGATGCCGCATTTTATAACAAAAGTTATTTAAGAGGCAATTAGAATATGGATTATGATGTAATATGTTTTATAAGTTGCTCAATTTTTGTAGGAAAACTTTTTGTTCGGTGATAAAGAATATGAAAATGCGTTTATTCCATAGTAAATCGAAGAATCTTTACTGTTAGAACAAATACTAATTTTGATAAAAGCAAACTATTCCACCCCCAAAACGGTATGTTTTGCTAATCCTTCATAATAAATGGTTAGAATATATATTGATCTAGTAGGTTTCTTTGTGTATCTTTTAAGATAACCGGATAGACGTCAAATCTAACATATTTTTAAGGTTCAGAATCCTACAGACTGCAGACAATTAAGTAATTGATTTTCTTGCAGCTTTCCAATTACATCAAGTCAATGCATTTATTTGCTGAGTCCTCTTCAACTCTTCGTTTCTTTTTTTGCGTTCAGGAACACCACACTTTACAGTGCTACGTCAAAATAACATTATCCCCCACTCTATCGTATTAGTCCAAGAAGTACGAGGGTTGTTGCAAAAATACGCTTCCCACATTTTTTTCAGACACTTTGAAAAAAAGAATTTACCATTGGAAACGTTGATCTTTGAGCGATTTTTCTAGCTAGTCGCCATTTTTTCCTACGTATCTTTGTATAGTAGAATTTTCCGTTCAGCTTAACTACCCAGGTATGACGGTGGAAGACATCTCCATAGAAGGTGGTTCCAAAAACCAGATCCAGACGTTCTGGCAACAATCTGACGTCGACCTTTCCAGAGGCATGGATTTCCAGCCTCGCGGCGCCGTCTTCATCAGGTTCACGCATCTGCAGCACCGTCCGTTCACCTACAAAATTGTTGTCAACAATACCGGCAACGGGAACAAAATGGGGACTTGCAGGTAAGCAGTAGTATATATAAATCGGACAACTGATCGGATTATACCTAGACAGAAGAAATGGGGAAGCAAATGATTAAGAATCCGATTTTTTTCAGAATTTTCTTGGCGCCCAAGTTTGACGAGAGGGGCAATCCATGGCTTTTCAGGGATCAAAAGAATCTATTTATTGAAATGGATAAATTCATGGTATCATGTAAGTACAGGGAAGAATACTACCATTATAATAAAAAGAGAATTTTGGCAATCGCACATACAACAAGATTTTTTATTAGTCGTTTATTAATAAGTATAATGCCTGCCAAGTTGCGTCTTTGAGGTGCTGAAAATCCACTTTCATTATCAACGGATATATGTGTATAAAAAGGTAATTTGGGGCCCTAAATATAAATATTATAGTGAAAAAATACTAAAGTGTCATCGGACCGGATTTGGGGTGAAGAATGGGCATCGAATTCGGAATCTACGCACCCGATTTACCTAGAAAACAAGCTTCCATCTAGATGATAGACGCGCAACAGTTTTTAGAGATTTTTATTAATATAACGCAACGCCTCATACTTACCGGGAAAAAATGAGGAAAGGGGAAAGAAGGAGATGCCACACTGTTTTTGTTTGAAAACTTGAATGTGCATTCTGTTCTTACAATAATGTTTATTATTTCCCTTAATTACTTTTTAATAGGCTTGAGAGTACCCCTTGAAAGTAGGCAACCCACACTGCTTGTCCCCCCAGACGTACCTTGGATCCGCGCCTGTTCTAAGGGGGCACGGGGTCCCCTCTGGCTTCTTCTCGCGAGCGCCCAGGACCATACGCATAATTAATAACTTCGCCCTGCAGTGTAGATGAGACAATAAAGGCATCGTTATTATTATCTTCTAGTGAAGCAAGGTCGTAACACCATAACCAGGTCGTCATCCCAGTCCTCAGTGACGATTCCATTCGAGAGGACTTTCCGTGATCTGGACGCCAATAGACCGACAGGCCGTGACTCGTTGGCGCAGTTCAACTTCTGCGGTTGCGGATGGCCAGCGCACATGCTGGTGCCGATGGGAAATGCGGAGGGCATGAAGTGCCAGCTCTTCGTCATGATCAGCGATTACCAGAACGATAGGGTGAGTATTGAGCTACCGGAGTGTAGGACCAGTAGAATCACTCTGGCTAATATTTGTCAGACGAGGGGATTATACGCGAACGCAGAGCAGAAAAATTGATGGTCACCTTTATGGCCTCTTTGATTTACGTAGTGTTTCCCGTTCTTCAGAAAGACAGAGGTTTTCTAGTCTTCTGCTGTTCCGTGTCAGCGCTTCACTTTGAGGTTATGTTACACATTTCTATTTGCATCAAATTGTTCATGCTTTTGATTTTTATCATTTGTTTTAACAGCCTAGAATTTCCTACATTTCAAAAAGACCACATAACCTCACAGTAGGAGAGCGCTGTTGCCAACTCGGAACAGTAAATTTCTAGAAATACCCCAGCCTTCATGAAGGAGAGAAAATACTATGAAAATCAAATCACTGTATTGGGGAAAATTGACTTTACATTTTTTATTGGGACTTTTTACTTTATTGAAATTTTAATTATTTAGTTTCATTAGTTTGAATGAAATAATCAAACCTTAAGGATAGTTTAATTCAAAAAAGGCAATTTAAAAAAAATTCACTTTTCAAGATATGTTTCGTGTGCTTTTTACTCCCCAAAACAGCCACACATATAAATAATTTTCTCTCTGACCGCTTTGGCAACCCTAATTCAAACTTGTTGATTGGACCTGTAAACCTAACCTAAAAAAATCGCTTTCTTTCAGGTTGACCAAAGCGTGGAAGGCATCTGCAACGACGCATACAGTTTCTGCGGTATCAAAGATCGCAAATACCCTGACGCCAGATCCATGGGGTACCCCTTCGACAGACAACCTCGCGACGGCGTCGACACCCTGCAACAGTTCCTCACTCCCAACATGAGAGTACAAGATTGCACCATCACTTTCAGCAACAGGGTCTTCCGAAGAGACCAACAGAAAACCCAGTAATGATGAACCTATAAGTGCTTTGATAGTGGAGATGATTTGTAACGTAAAGGCTTCGATGCAATGTATTCAATAAAAATGTTTCAATTTAAACGTTTTCTTTTTCGCAAGTCCCTCGTACCTCCTCTCCACCCATGCCACACGGCATAGATAGAAAACTAACACTCATCCCAAGTACCTACTACTTTTGACGTTACCATTACAATACAAATTTGAAGACAAAATTAACAATAATAATAATAATTTTAAAAAACTATAGCCCTTATTCACGCAAAGGTTTTTGACAAATTAGTTGAGATATTGATTAGCGATTGCCGTATTCAATCTGGTAGAATACGTGAATCAATGCTCAAGGCAACCGCAAAGTTTCTAGATACTAATATTCGGAATTCGATGATTTAGTACACATACAGCTAACAATATAATATATACTTCAATTAACGTCCAACATACAATTTCAACGTCTGTATTTCATGGAAAGTTAAGTTTTTAAAGGTCGCAATCAACAGTTTCGTATTACGTCATTAGGCAACCATAGATACACGTTGAGTCGTTAATTGTGGTATACATCTATGAGTCCGAGCGGAGCAAAAGCAAACGTGGCCACGCAGGACAACTGTTTAAATAAGCTCTACTAGGCCCAAAAAGACTGTCTACAGTGAAATTTTGCCCGAAATCGTTGCACGACACTTAAAAAAATGAATATTGCGAAATAGCTGTCATGTTATCCGAAATGACTCCGTAGGTACCCGGTTCTAGACACCAATCATTGACGATGAAAAAACTCAATTGTTTGGATTGCGATGTGCCAGTTCATCGGATGTTTTTGCTATCATTGCGAAACCTCACAAAAAATGCTTGGAATAAAATACGGACTGATATTAATGGAAATATATGAGATTTGAGGCTTTTTATCTAAATAATAAATAAATAATAAATAAACGTTCTGTCGATTTTGTTTAAAGTTAGCAGTAGTGGTATTAAAAGCAGTAAAGGGCCACTGACTTTTTTCAATGTTTTTTTCGATTTAAGCAGCTAAAAATATATTTTTTTGCCTCAAATTTCTTTCATACCTCGCTTCGTTTATACGAGATACAAAATAAAAAGCACTTTGTTACATGTTTTTGATAATTAAGTTACACGAAAGTCGTTTTTTGAATTTTTTTTCCTCAGATTATACCTGCTTTCAGTATAATATTACATAAAGGGTGACTTCGAAGTTGAGTCATTTATTTTAACAGTGAGTAGATCTGATCAAAAGAAATGTTTTTTTCTTTAACATTTTTGTGGTAAAATTAAAGTAACAAAGTTATAGCCCTTTAGAAGTTTGAGTACCGCCCTGTCTCAATAATAATATTATGTGCTCGTGTTTGGCAACAACGGATATAATCAGCCTTATCGGTTCATCGCATCGGAAACAAAAAAGCGAAAGAATTTGAAACGCTGATCACGATGTTTTTATTCAGTCTGTGTCAGTCGCTAACGCGTGAGTGAATAGTGGTGTTTGCTGCGTGGCTCAAACGAAATAAAAAATGGCATATGTTTATGCGGATTGGTTTCCCAATCGAGTGCAACCAACCCCTCGTGCCTTTGTTAATGTAGTGCAAAGGGCTCGTGAATCAGGTGACTTAAGACCTCACAGGGGAGGGCATGCCGGTGCTCCAAGACCTCACGATCAAATACAGGTCCGCACTGAAATACTTGTCGGGAGGATACTTTATAAAACAAGGTAAATTTTTTTTTTTAATTTTTTTTTTATTTTTACACACATATTTTGGTTTATCTTCCTTCTACAATCATTATCTGAAAATTAATGACTCAACTCCAAAGTCACCCTGTATATCGCATTCACTATTGAACCGATTTTGTTGAAATTTTGCACGACAACAAAGTTACTTAGAAATAACGAGACGGACGGTTAAAAAATCCAGGGCCGGACGCGATGTTTTCACTTTTTTGTCGTGTTTAACAAAATCAACACCTCTTAAGCTGACTATCGAAATGTTCCACAAAGTACAAAAGAATGGTGCTAGTTAAGTAGCGAAACAGATTAATTGCGCCTCTTTTACTTTTTTATTACAAATTTCTCGTTTATTTGAATATCTTAATTTTAGCAGTTTATGTTGACACATTTTTTGTGGGGTTTTAGGGAAATCTTAAAGGTAGCAAAAACCACAGCAAAAACATCTGATGAGCTGGCAACACCGCAATCCAGACGACAAGAATGACAAGGTTAGCTGTAAAGATTGATGTCTAGCCCGGCGTAACAATAGAGTCACTTCGGATGTCATGGCATCAATTTTGCAATTTTTTCAAGTGTTATAGAACGACTTTGGAAAAATGTCGCTGTAGAAAGTCTTATTGAACTAACAGTTGTCTTGCGTGGTCACGTTGAAAAATATTAATCACGCCGCTTTTCCAGAAATCATCTAATTATGGAAAATAGTCAGTATGTCGATTGATCACCGTAAATCAGTCAAAAGTCAAATTTGACGTTCACCAATACGTTTCAAAATGGCTGTTGTTTGTCATTAGCTATCTTATGGAACTAGTGCATTTAAAGAGAAAAGATCCTTCAAATATAGCCCGCTCAATCAAATTGAGATGAAAATATATTGAAAATCCTTTCGCGTAGTGAAACATGTGTGATGCATGCTCCGACTTTTTACAGCTTCTTGTTAATTGTAAGTTTTTACATTGTATTTTGCTCAATATATTTGTTCAGAACGTATTAGGTATCGAAATTCTAAGGTCTACAGAAAATTAGACTCAAGGCTATTTTATTATTATTTCAGATGAAAACCAGGTCTGTCGAGAAACCACTGACCAGCCTAATTTATCACAGCATGATGTCGATACAATCTTTGTATATGTTCAGACTTGGCCTACAAGGTATATAAAAGACAGTAATAACAAGATAGCACATTTTAAAGTTTATTCTAATATTTAAAATGAGACAGCTGATTAAATATGTTGAAAAATTACCTATTCTCTCAAAGTATTCGTTTTCTATGTTGCCATAAAAACATATTGTTACTTCATCTAGATCTAGAAAATATTTTCCTTTGTAAATTTATTTGTTTTTATAGTGTTTTGGTCAGATGAAAATCTATACTGCCTCTAGTTTTGTATTTATGACAATGACTATTTAATTTTGTGAAGTCTTCTAAATGCCATGGTAATAAATGATTTTTCAATTTGCATATTTGGAATACATACTAAGACTGTGGGAAACTCTATAGAAGGAATTTAAGTTTTTTGATATAATGTATTCTAATGCTTGTGAAACAGTATCAAACTGTAGCCTTCTTGAAGAATTTGGTAATAACTGATTCAGTTACAAAATATGTCTTCTAGGCAATGTATGTGCTGCTATCGAGAAGCAAAAAATTTGGAGAGGTTCAGTTATATCACTCAAAGCCTCATTTACATGGCAACAACCCAACTGAAGGCTCTAGCGGAGAAAGGCAAAGATCAGCAAGCGATCGAAGAGAAAAATGAGGAGAAAGATAAACAAGAGAAGAGTTCTGATGCTAAACAAGATGATAACGAAGTATTTGAAAGGGATAAATTGTTACTTTTAGTATCTAAGATTTTCCTATTGAATTTTCCACTTTACGTAGCATATAAGCATACTATTCAGGCTAAATTGGATGAATTGACCCAACAAGAGATGCAGAGCTTGAACATATTCTGTGATCTGCATGATTCAGAAATTCCGATATATCTGTTGAAAAATGTCAGTTGGTTCTGCAAAATGGGAGGTTTGCTGGCGATGACTACCTGTTTCACGCAATTGTCACCTGAGCTGTTGCCTGTTTCCACTGCCCATGCTATGCTGTCTATAGGTAAGTGACTATTTAAGTTTAGGGCTTATTATTAATCCTACCAAATGACTGATGCAAGGTATCTGTAAATTATGCTTTATTTACATTATGGTCTAAAAGGTAAGCTTGTCATTCTTTTAATGTCCCAATAGAAGTTTTGAAAATGTTCCTTATGGTTTAAACTTTGATGCTTCTCAATACAAAATACTGATTTCCATGTACCATTGTTGCAGTCTAAGTAAACTGGTAACCTGTGTGTTTATTTGTTATTATGATTTTTGCCAAGTCGGAATTTAGCATTTTTAAGGAAATGTCTTTATTTTCATCTGAAATGTATCATCTACAAATAACTGAATTTTACAATAATCTAAAGTATCACAAGTGTAATTAATGTATAAAGTATATACAGTCACACCACATCATATTAGGAGATATGAATATTAATATACTCCAACATACCAAATTAGTAAACAAATACCTCACTGTAATGCAGAGCAATGGATTCATATCAAATATAAATTTACCAACAAGAGTAGTCAATAATAGTTCCAGTTCTTGCATTGATCATTGTTTCATCAAAAATTTTTCAAATTTCTTTCGGTACATACTGTTAATTGTTGAAAACCATATTACCGATCATTTACCCACTGTAATACTTATATCATCACCAGAAGAAAATAAAAGTAGATCCATCTCCAATAATGAAACAGTGAAATTTAGGTGTTTTGTCGATAATAAAAAATTACTTGCAAATATCAAATTAGAATCGTGGACAGCAGTGTACTGTGCAACGAATGTTAATGATGCTGCAAACACACTCATTGAACGCATAAAATATTTAATTGAATGTAGTACAAACAGATTCAAAATTAAACATTTTGACAGAAGCAGGAATACCTGGATAACTAAAGGTTTGATAAAGTCTGCCAACAAAAAAGAGGAACTATACAAAATAATGAAAGCATCGCCATGTGCAGATACCTCCCATAAATATAAAGAATATAAAAATATTTTAATCAATCTAGTTAGAGAAGCAAAACGCCAATTCTATCTAAAAAAATTACAAGATGCCAAATCTGATCCAAGAAAACTGTGGTCAGTTGTCGATCACTTAACTAACAAAGACGTTCAAGAAAAGCCAAATATTGATGAAATTAAGAATCGTGATGGAACAATATTAACAGATAAACGACAAATATCCGATGCATTCTTAAATTTTTTCACTAATGTTGGAGAAAATTTAGCATCCAATATTAAAAAAATGGTTTCGAACGAAAAGTTCACAAAAACCCAACTTCCCAATTCATTCTTTTTAGAAAGCGTTAGTCCGATTGAAGTACAAGAAGCTGTCCTATCACTTAAAACCAAAAAAAGTCCTGGTGTGGATGGTATCAAAGCTGAGCATTTAAAAATAATAGCCTACGACTTAGCCGAACCACTTTCTTACGTCATTAATTGGTGTTTCCAATCTGGAATTTGTCCTGATGCATTTAAAACAACTGTTATTACTCCTGTTTATAAAAGCGGTGACAGAATGGAAACATCAAATTATAGACCCATATCAGTACTATCGAATATAGCCAAATTTTCGAAAAATTACTACAAAAAAGGATATTGCAATTTTTGGACAAAAACAAAATTATATGTTCTGACCAATAAGGATTTAGAAAAGAAAAATCTACTACAGATGCAATTTTGGCTGCAATGGATGAAATTAACTCTAATGTCAACAAAAAGATACCTACTATTGGTATCTTTGTTGATCTAAAAAATGCCTTTGATACGGTTAACCATGTCGAGCTTCTGAAAGTTATGGAAAGATTGGGATTTAGGGGAGCGTCACAAATCCTTTTAAAAAATTACCTTTCAAGTCGGGCACAGACTGTCAAAATCACTAACACTTACAGTAAAAAAATGTACATCAAGTGTGGTGTGCCTCAAGGAACAGTACTAGGCCCACTATTATTTAGTCTCTACTTAAATGACTTATTCAAAATTAACAGTTCTGGAAAGATTATATGTTTTGCAGATGACACCCTCGTATTATATAAAGCTGATGACTGGAGCACACTGAAGCAAATAGCTGAAAAGGATTTTATAAGGATCATTGACTGGTTTGATACCAAAATTTTAACAGTTAACTTCAAAAAAATAAAATTTATTGCATTTACATCCTATTCAAAATTTTTACCTACCTTCGAACAAATTTCCGTTAATTATCATGGCCAAAAGACCAAAATCGATAGAGTTAACACTTTGAAATATCTTGGAATATTTATAGACTCACATCTAAGGTGGGACAACCATATTAAATATGTTATCAAAAAAATTAGAAATGTTGCCTATAAACTCAAAATGCTTGCTAACATTCTTACAGAAAGTTATCTGCGAATCCTATACCATGCCTTAGTTGAAACCCATATAATATACGGCATCACAGCCTGGGGTGCCGCCTGCAAGACATATATTTCTGACCTGAATATAGCACAAAAAACTGTTTTGAAAGCCATTTTCCATAAGCCAAGATTATATCCAACGAACAACTTATATCAACAAACAGGGATACTTGATACAAGACAACTTTATTTCTTACATGCCACCACCTTATACCATAAGTATTGTAATAAAAAGAAAAATCCTATAAACACGAGCATAACACACGATTTCGAATAGGCTCATCTAATATCCAAAGACCACACAAAACATTATTCAAAAAATCATTTAAATTCTTAGCGGCTAAATTATATAATGTAGTACCAAACGAAATAAAGATACTTAATTTTGGAAAAAAATTTAGAAGAAAATTGAAAGACTGGGTTAGTAATGTGCAGCGAATGACTATACATAATTATATAGAAAACTAAAAGTACAAAATTCCAATTACATTAATACCTTTTAGATTTAACAATAATTGTTATACACATATATGATTGATTGTTAGTTATTAAGATATAAACCACACACAGGCGATGCCTTCTGTGGTTTTTTCATATTTATTTGCCCATTTTTTGTATTTTGGCGAATAAATATTATTATTATTATTATTAATAGTAGTGGACCTAGTTTACTACCTTGTGGTATACCAACAGAAATGTTTTTTGAGGTTGATATTGATCCAATTTTGGTTTTTTGACTTCTGTCAAATAGGTAGTTTGGCAGAATTTTGAATACAGATCTTTAAATTTATAGTGTTGCAATCTTGTAAGTAATTTATCTCTGTATGTTTCCTATTGTGCATACATCTCCTCCAGTCCTCTAAAACCACTTGTATTGCCGTTTTAGTTGATTGTTTCTTCCTGAATCCAGCATGAAATTTGGTTAACATTTCCTTTGATAAATTTGATGATCTGTTTGTAAATGATTTCTTTAAAGGCTTTTTCAACATCTGGCAGAATATTTATTGTCCGCATATTGGTTTACAATTCTTAAATTTCGAAACAGGAGTTATAGTAGGACACTTCAGTTTTGTTATCAGGATTAATATTCTTGCTCCAAGAAGATCAAAACATTCATCCCTTTTAGACAAAATCTCACTCTTATTTTGATTTAATAAAATCTTCTTGAGATGACTAATGTTATTGTTCTGAACTCACTGAATGATCTATTATAATTTGCTCTAATGGGGCATTGGTTGGGATCCCCATCAATAATTGATCTTACATATCTTTCATGTTTACTATGAAATAGGTATTCATTCGATCTGCAAATTTGAAGATCCGCAATACAAAAAGTTCCATTTTAGTCTTCCATTGGTACAGCCTACATTCATATGGAGTTTTATACTTGAAATGGTGTTAAAAATCGTCCCCTTAAATATTGACGTGCAATTAGGAAATACCCCGTAAATTATACTATATTTTGCTTTTCAGTTTGTAATCTAAAGTTATGGATGAATTATAAGAGCATGGTATCGATGTTGGTACCACTGAGATCATGTGTATTGAGGTACATGTGCAAACTGTCTGACCAGGACCTGAGGACACCTACTATAAAAAGCATGGCAGGTAAGTCTGCTGATATTTTAACTGATTTTTACTATAAGGTTATTCGGAAAGTTTATATTTTAAATGATGTATTTTACACTATAAATTGATTTATAATACTTTGGCATTGTATATCATGTTAAAGCGCGTTTTTCGCTCTATCTAGTCGTTGTGTTCGCTTTGTTTAAGGATAATATGTTTTTTTTCACTGAAATAATTGCGATTATGTAATGGAGAGTCTATAACAGTTCCGATTGTTGTGCCGCCAGATTTCATGTGGAATGCGATCAAGGACCCCCTGGATCCTCCGGCGGCCGCGTTTGATGCGGACGGTCTAGATTTGGCGTTCAAGTATTTCACCTCGTCTACATTGACCATGCGTCTGGCAGGCATAGCGCAGATCAACAGCCAAATTGGGGCGCTGGCTGACGCGTGCGTCGGCGAAGCTGCGGCGGCGGCAGCTGCCGCAGCAGCAGGTACTTCCTTTCAAATATATACAGGGTTGCCAATATATAACTGACTGATTTAAATTTTTGATACACGCATTTCAGCAGGTGGCGCCGTAGTAGTAGACAAATATTCAAGATACATACCGGTCAGCTACGTATCGGCCACCCTGTATTATCGTTGTAACATCTGAACTAATTCTGCGGTTTTTACGTGTATCGGACTCCATTGTCTATTTTGGAAATTAAATGCATTTTAATTTACTGTCTATTTCATTAATGTACTATAGATATGAATTTTGTGATGTTCTAAAATGTCAGAGATATCATTTATATAAATAATAAATAGTAACGGCCCTAATTTACTCCCTTGTGGCACCTCTACTGAAATAAAGGGTTGTCCAATAGGGACGCAGGAAAGTAAACGTCAATTTGACATAGACGCCATCTTTGTTTTCTGTCACCGACATGTCATTTTGTTAGTTGAATGTTTACCATTGATCGCTATGGAGTCGTATTCGATTGAAGACCGCATTAAAGTTATTCAAGAGCACTACAAAAATGGTGCAAAAATAAAAAACACGTTTCGCGCGCTTCGTGAACATTTCAGTCGCAACAACCGCCCAAACGAAACAACCATCGGTCGTCTGGTGCGTAAATTCGAGGCAACAGGTTCTGTGGCAAATCTGCCAGGCTCTGGCCGGCCAAGGAGCGTTCGCACACCGGAAAATATTGCTGTTGTGAAGGAGAGTGTGAGAGACGATCCGAAACAAACAACAACGCGTCGATCCCAAGAATTGGGCATTTCGAGAACCAGTTTGCTCCGCATTCTCCACAAGGATTTGAATGTACACGCCTACAAGATCCAATTGACGCAAGAGCTGCGTCGGCCCGACCATTTTTGATGCCAATTTTTCATCAAAAATCATGTTCAGCGACGAAACGCATTTCACTTTGAATGTGACGGTAAACAAGCAAAACTGCCGCATCTGGGCGAACGAAAATCCCCGTGAGTATCAAGAGCAGCCGATGCATCCTCAAAAAGTGACTGTGTGGTGTGCATTGTGGTCAAAAGGCATTATCGGACCTTACTTTTTCGAAAATGCGGCCGGGGACGCCGTTACCGTCAATTCTGAACGATATCACGTGATGATAGAGGACTATTTTTTGCCGCAACTTGAAGGAATGGATATGGACGATGTTTATTTCCAACAAGACGGTGCAACATGCCACACAACCAACGTCAATATCCATCGATTGCAGTCCTTCTTCGGTGATCGCGTGATTTCGCGCAGAGGAAATGAGCCATGGCCACCAAGATCGTGCGATTTGACTCCCTTGGACTTCTTTTTATGGGGATATTTGACAAGCAAAGTCTACGTCAACAAACCAGCCACCCTCCAAGAACTCAAAAACAACATCATTGCCGAGATAAATGCCATAGAACCGACCATGTTGCAAAATGTCATTGAAAATTTCGACCATCGCGTGGACGTCTGTAAATCCAGTCGTGGTGAACATTTGAGCGATATTATTTTTCATACATAAATGGTATAAATGAACCTTCAAAATAAATTACCCAACTTGATTTGAATATCAATCTTGTTTTAATATGCGTTTACTTTCCTGCGTCCGTTTTGGACAACCCTATATTTTGAACATAATATTTCCTACTTTAGTTTTTGACTTCTCTTTGATAAATAATTTTGTAAAATAAAACTATAGTGATGCAATTTCATTAACAATTTTTCTCATCTATAGTCTCAAATGCTCCTTTGAAGTCTAAAAAAACTGTTACAATACATTCTTTCTCATCTGTACTTCTCCAGTCTTCCATCACCATTTGGATTGCTGTTTCTGTAGAACATTTTTTTCTAAATCCTGTTTGATGTTTTGTCGAAATATCACGTGTATATTATTTATCAGCCGGTGCTGGTGGAGCTATAAGCGGACTAGCTGCGCTAGGAGGGAGTCCGGGTCAGACGGCAGAGGCTGGAGGAGGAGCCCCGGGCAGAATGGCTGATTGGCTCATACAAAACGGCATCATCTCGCACATATTCGGACCGAATCTCCACGTCGAGGCAAGTTAATTGTTCCCACACACTCACATTCTCCATTCATAGGATTTACCCTATACGAGCCCTAACACACAAATGTTTATACATTATCCAATTGTTTATTTTCGTAAGGTTTCAAGATAAAATTAGCATAATTTGTGTCAGGGCTAGTATTCATACATTAACCAAAACATCGTGGAACGTCAAAAGTTAAACTTCTATCTAGTCTGGATTAAGAAACGTACTTTTTCAATGTGTGATGTCTCTGCTTGTTAGGTGATAAAACAAAGCCACATCATCCTGAATTTCCTGGCGATGGAAGGCAGAATCACATGCGAGCACATGGACGTAATCTGGTCCGCAGCTCAGTTGAAGCACTGTTCGAAACCCGTCCACGATTTGCTGCCCGGACTGGTGAAACACCTTGCGGCCGCACCGACTCTCCACCTCTATAACTTACTCACCAAACTCGAACCCAAGGAACACACCGAACAAGTAAGTGCAAGACGTCGCAAAGCGCCATCTGTATAGCTGTATATACAGGGTGTCCCAGAAGTCGACGTCAAGCCGAAACCGGGTGATAGGCAAAGTCATAACAGCTATCAGAAAAATATTTAAAAAAATTTTATGTATGTGTTTTGAAAATTATAGGTCTTTGAAAAAGATATAGAAATTTCACACCCTACGGCAGTCTGTCAACTCCTGTTACTACAAATATTAACTTTTTTTGGATTTTATTTTTACAATGTAATGATGAATAATGCATCTTCAAACTGGTGTCTCAACCTTACTGCCAACTTTTCTCGTTCAGGAAAAATTGCCACTTATTTCCCAACCAAGTATTCCAAAGTAAAACTTTGCTCAACTTTAACTGGCTGTACTGGAAAAAATGTACTACGAGAGTTTGGCAAGTAACCTTAAAAGTTGGCGCATTTAATAACGATTCCAAAATGATATAACACTTAGAAGATTACTCGTTAACTTATGCACAATTTTTATTTGAAGAAAAACTGATGAAAATTTTTCAAAATTTCCTAATTAAACAGCGATTATGAAAACGCACAAGGACCCATAAGGATAACTGTTTGCACAACAATTGGCGTCAAAATGCTGCTGATGATGATTTACCTTTACAGCAAATGCTCAAACTGTTTTCCTTCAGCCGCAATACAAGCTCGACATCTTAAAAAAGATCGGGTTATTAAACGAGCGAATCCACTGTTATTAACAAACTCAGCTGCTTCCAATAGTCTTTGCCGTAGCTCAGCTACATTTTGAATCGGCTTGAAATACACTTTTTCTTTTACAGTTCCCCAGTAAAAAAATCTAAAGGATTCAAATCAGGTGATCGGGCTGGCCACGGTATTGTACCAGACCGCCTTATCCATCTGCCTGGAAAGTTTTGATCAAGATACTCTCTCACTGAGAGTGCATAGTGCGCTGGGCAGCCATCATGCTGAAGCCACATGTCCCTGTAAATACTCAGTGGCACGTCCACCAATAAATTTTGTACATGATTTTTCAAAAAATCCAAATAAACTTCAGCAGTCAAAGTCTCTGGGAACTCAAACGGACCGATTATTTTACCAGTTAAAATTCCTGTCCAATGGTTTATCTTGAAGCGATATTGAGATTTATCTTCTCTCATCAAATGTGGGTTTGCTACGTGCCACTCGTGTAAGTTATGCAGGTTCATGTTCCTATCTTTCTTAAATGTGGTCTCATCCGACCATAAAATTTCAAAGAACTGTGGATCTTTCCTGTGTCTTTCTAACATTGTGCGACAAAAAGCAACTCGGGGCTCATAATCCCGGGGCAGGAGAGGTTGAACACGCTGTATGTGGTATGGATGAAGCACTTGCTATTGCACACTTTGATACCTATCAGTACTCCTTCGTTTACTGCGCATCTTTACATGTTCGTGCTTGTTGATTTCGTACTGTTACTAATTTTGGATTCGTGAACTGGACTGTTGATCGCTTGTGATTTGGATTTGGACTGTTTAATTGCTCTTCAAAACAACATTTGCTTTCCTTAGACTATCTTTGATAGTGTGATTGTGCAGTGCCGCTATGTCCGTGTACACCGTACAAGAATATGCAAACATGCACCTCATTTATGGGGAATGCAGATGCAACGCTAGTGCTGCAGCGAGACTTTACTGTGAGAGGTACCCGAATGCAGCTCGTCATCCAGATCATCGAGTGTTCACAAATGTGCACCGCTTACTGTTCTCAGAGGGCCAACTACCAAACCAATCACACGGTGAGGGAAGATCTTTCCTTCCTTACGAAGACGTGGTGCTAGGAGCTGTCGAAGAAGACCCGAGTACTTCAGTGCTTGCAATAGAACTAAAAACAGGTGTGCCCAAAAGTACAGCCCATAGAATCTTGCAAAAAAACGTGCTCCATCCATACCACGTACAGCGTGTTCAAGCTCTTCTGCCCCGGGTTGCTTTTTGTCGCACAATGTTAGAAAGACACAGGGAAGATCCACGGTTCTTTGAAAAAATTTTATGGTCAGATGGGACCACATTTACGAAAGATGGGTACATGAACCTGCATAACTTACACGAGTGGCACGTAGCAAACCCACATTTGATGAGAGAAGATAAATCTCAATATCGCTTCAAGATAAACCATTGGACAGGAATTTTAAATGGTAAAATAATCGGTCCGTTTGAGTTCCCAGAGACTTTAACTGTTGAGGTTTATTTAGTTTTTTGCAAAATCATTTAGAAAATTTATTGGAGGACGTGCCACTGAGTATTTACAGGGACATGTGGTTTCAGCTTGATGGCTGCCCAGCGCACTATGCACTCTCAGTGCGAAAGTATCTCGATCAAAACTTTCCAGTACAGTTGAACAAAGTTTTACTTTGGAATACTTGGTTGGGAAATAAGTGGCAATTTTTCCTGAACGAGAAAAGTTGGCAGTAAGGTTGAGACACCAGTTTGAAGATGCATTATTCATCATTACATTGTAAAAATAAAATCCAAAAAAAGTTAATATTTGTAGTAACAGGTGTTGACAGACTGCCGTAGGGTGTGAAATTTCTATATCTTTTTCAAAGACCTATAATTTTCAAAACACATACATACAATTTTTTTAAATATTTTTCTGATAGCTGTTATGACTTTGCCTATCACCCGGTTTCGGCTTGACGTCGACTTCTGGGACACCCTGTATACAGAGTGTTATTTAAGTCCTTGGCCAAAATTCAGGAGGTGGTTATTTGAGTAATTTTAAGAAGAAAAGTTCGTATAAACGTATGTCCAGAGATGCTTCATTTTCAAGCTACAGGCTGTCAATTTTTTTTAAATCTGTTTTTTCCAAATATCTTAATACAGTTTTAGTCAAGTTTGTGCGCCACTGACTTTTTTCAATTTTTCTGTTGTTTTTTTTTTCGAATTAAGCAGCTAAAAATACAACTTTTTTGTTTGTTTGTTGCAGATTTATTTAGCATTAATATCCATAATATCCATATTACACCGTATATCACGAAATATATTATGTCTTCAAGGCTACATATTTTTATACAAAATTCCACTAGTATGATTTCTGGTTTTCCACGAGATATTTTTTCAATTTCTCTTTGAACATTTTCAAACTGACACACATCTTGATATCATTACTTAATTTATTAAATTCGTACAATCCTTTTTGAAATACTGACTTGCTCGTTATATTGCTACTGCAGTTTTGCAAATGAAAGTCTATACTTCCTCTAGTAGAAAATTGTGGCACTCATTGATCAATACAATAAAATTTTCCAAGTGATTTGGTAGAAGATGATTTTTTAACTTGAATAGGAAAATGAAAACCAAGTAGACTATTTAACCATTGTAGTTCTTTCAGCATAAAATATATTCTAGTATATTTATTTTTATTTAAGATGATTCTCATAGCTTTATTTTGTAATATTTGTAATTTTGAAAATACAGCTTCATTTGCAGTGAACAAAATAGTCGAACAATATAACAAATGAAGAAGAATGATAGTGTTGTACAGAATTTTCTTAGGATATGCGAAATTCTATAAAAGTAATTTATTTTCTTGGATATTTTTGAAATAATATATTCATAGTGCCCTTCAAATTTTAATTTACTGTCTACGTATATGTCCAAATATTTAAATGATTCGATTGACACAATTTTTTCATGATTAATTGTAAGATTTATCGCATTTTGATCTAAGTTATTAAAAAAAAATCGAACCGGAAAAAGGTGGTTTAAAAACAACACTTAAGGCTGCACGTCCCTTTTTTCGCTTTTTTCTCAACTACCTGTTCGCAACAGTATTCTAAATCCTTTTCATCTAATTACTTCGTGATGTGTATACAGGTGACTAAAAAACATCGATTTTAATTTTGTTTTGTGGATTCTTTCTTCGATCGTAACTCGTTAACAAAGATTGGTACAGATCTGAAATCGTATGTGAATATTCCACTTTTATGGATGAATGACACAAGTGATTACCTTCTTTCTTATCACTTTTTATTTTCGAAAAATCTTTGCTTTTCTCAAAAACCCAACTTGCTGCGGGACGAGGCTTCAAGAAAACCGAAGATTCTTCGAAAAGGAAAAGTGATCACTTGTTTCATTCTTCCATGAAATACGGTATAGAAACTTTTTCATTTCAGACGTTATACTTAGTTTCTGCCTTGATCAAAGCGATATGGTCACGAGGCTGTGGCGCACCCGGCATCGGAATCATCAACGTGGCTGCAGCGAACGCGGGCATCGTTCTGCATAAGTGTACGACGTCTTCGGAGAATAGCGTCAGTTTGGATCCCAGTAACTCGGAAGAAGAGCACGTACGTAAAAAAATACTCGGTCGTAAAATGATCCGTTGATTATTTTTTCTATCGAATCAGGGTGAAAGTTCTGCGCAATCGGAGAGTCACAAGAGCGACAGCGAAGACGTAGAAGCTGTCGAAATTTTCGAGGATGAAGGTGGACACGCCGTAGCGGATAATAACGGACCTCCGCCCTGTAAATTGCCGCGGAAGCAGGATATCAGCGGCGACGGCAGCAGCACAGACACGGAAATCGATGGTGAGATATTTAAATTTTAGTCTTGACGATTTTACTTTTCAGCCTCAAATAGAAAATCGACAGTGGCACTTTGTTGTCTGCATATTTTCACCACGCAAGACTTGATTCTTCGTACGTATTTTATGATTCTGTTACGTCCAAGTTCCCATTTTTTTAAGGTATTCCCCCAAAACCCTCAAACTACAAAGCGATCCAGAAAGCGAATAGAAGGGCGCAAGTAAAAAAGAAGCTGTTGGCCAGTTTGAACGTTTTGCCGGAGGGCGTCGAAGCTATAGCTTCTAGCACCTCACAGGATGAGGCCGATACTGAAGACACATCCGTGAAGCTAAAGAAAAGGCGAAAATTGCTTAGGAAAACTAGGATTGTTAAAAGGCAGAAAGGTAGGAATCCTTTTCGTTAGCGATGCTTCCAAAATCCAATAGATTTTTGTCTAGATGACTTTATAATTTACACCTTTAAGTTCTTTATATCTTACTAATTTTTATAATCTAATATAAAACGTTTTTAAATTTTGTAATTAACAAATAAATGGCATCAAGTTTTTCTAAGTTAAGCCAAAATTTGTAGTCAGTAAGTAAGTTTCATTAAATCAAATATTTAAAACACACATGACAATCAGTCATGGTTTTTGCACAAAAACATTGAAAATCCGCATTTTTTTAAAAACATTCTAGCGACTGACGAGATATTAAATTTCCATAATACTCGCACGTGGGCCCAAGAAAATCCTTATACCATTCGTGAAGGTCATTTCCAACAACGTTTTAAAATAAATATTTGGGCGGGTATTCTTGACTATCAGGTAATTGGCCTTTTTGAGTTACCCCCAAAGTTGTCAGGAGAACCTTAGCTTTCTAGCCAATAACCTACCAGAACTTTTGGAACACACCTTAGACAACATGCCATTACAACGGAGACAGAATTTGTGGGTTCTTCGTGACGGGGCACCCCCACACATTTTTAGAGGCGTCATTCAGTATTTGAATGAGCATTATCCAAATCGCTGGATCGGTCAAAATGCTACTGATCCTCGAAAATGGCCAGCAAGATCTCCTGACCTCAATCCGATCTTGACACAGACTTTACTCTTACTCACGAAGTTGCAGAAGTCTGGAATGGATATCGACCACGTTATCAGCACGATGTCCAGGCGTGCCAATGAGCGTATAAGAAATCGTGGATCCTCAACAAATTAAAGAACCAGCTTCTGCAGTCAGTTGACGAATCAAGCTGAAAATTGAATCATTTTGCTAGTAAGGGACACTGAACATACACCTTAGGAAAAACCATTGTTATACATGGGAAATCATTTCTTGGCAACAGCGCATCGGCTCGTCTACTTTCATCGCTATTCGTACATATTTCCTACTGTTAACGCGCGTGCCGTCGTCAAGTGCGATAAGGGATTCATGACTCACTCTGCGGTTGGGTTTTGTGTAGGAAAGGTGCGTCTTTATTTAATCCAAAATATCTTAAATGTACTCGCAAGAAGAAAAGTTTTAAATGATAGAATGGTGCATCCAGAATAATTCAGCACGCGCGGTTGTTGAATAATTTGGGATACGCTTCCCAGATCGGCCAATTCCGTCTCACGCAACGGTTATAAATACCTACGAAAAATTCAAGAGGGTGGGCTGCTTACATAAGTGCCATAGCTGCATGCACCCTGAAGGTTGGAAACCAAAAATTAGCGAGAAAAGGGAGGAGATCAAAACTGCTGTTCGTGCCGCTGCAGAAGTATCTGAGCCATGCGCTCAAGCAGAAAAATTGCTGAAATGGTACCAATAGCCGATCTCACACCCAGAACAACAAGAAATATTTTGCATCGCAACGGCTATCATAGCTTCAAGGTTGGAACGGTTCAAGAAATATTTCCTTTAGACAAATACCGTCGAATGGAGTTTTGTGAAACGGTCATGGAGAAGGCGAACAGGGATGGAAGTTTTATTGGTAACATTTTGTTTACTGATGAATCCACATTCCCTCTCCACGGTCATCACAATCCTTCAGTCGTTCGGTATTGGTCTCGGGAAAATAAACACCTCAGTATTCATGTCCGCATGCAGTATCCACAGAAACTGAATGTGTGGGCAGGCATTCTAGGTAATAACATTATCGGACCGTTCTTTATTGATGGAACTCTTACGGCTGCAAAATATTTGGCGTTACTACAGACGCAGATTGTTCCTGCAATTAGGCAGCTTGGCATTGATCTCGCTAATATTTGGTTCCAACAAGATGGATGCCCGGCGCATAATGCGGCGATCGTACACACTTACCTTGAAAGTGTGTTCGGCCACCGGATTATTGGCGGTAACGGAACAATAAAATGGCCTCCTAGATCACCCGATCTAGCGCCCAATGATTTTTTCTTGTGGGGTTATGTGAAAAGTACTGTTTACACTTTCAATGAGAGAGCAGACAATTTGCATAACCTACAGGTGAAAATCGTTGAAGCGCTCGGGCAAATACAGCGTTCTACCCTCTTGAGAGTTCGTCAGTAGTTTTATAACCGCCTGACATACTGTTCATTGCATGAAGGAGACGTTTTTGAGCCCCAGCTGTGAAGGACCATTTGAAACATTTGTGTTCATTATTGCGTTTTATTTTTGAGAACTTATTTTTTTGTTAGAATATCTTTTTATTTTCGTTACACATTTTTAACACTATACTCGTTCAATGGGTCATCAAGCCACAGTCTTTTCAACAAAGATATTATTTTACGAAAATGCGTTATATTTTTACGATTTTGTCGTCACCAAATCTCTGTTTCTCAAAATGTACGTCTATTGTAGAATTTTCAGCAAACTAAGCAAGAAACGTGATCTAGTATTTACTCAACATTACGGATTTCTCGAAATACATTAAAAAATGTGACCTAGATACCTAACTGCCCCAAGCTCTTTAAATATAACACCTTAAACCAGGGTTACCAGGTGCTCAGTCACGTTGATTGTCATGTTGTACTGCGCAAGTCAGCAAACAGTCTGGCGTAATAAACGTTAGGAATCATCAGGTATTGCCAGATTCCCGAATACCGGGCACCATAGTCCCCGTTATAGTTGTCCTTCAAAGTTGTCAAATCGCCCCTATGGCGCAAATTCGCCACACCAGGCAACTGTGCTATAAACAAACCCTGTTTATCACTACTATTTGATAGTCATATGGTAGTTGTAGCCCTACCATGATTTCTCTCAATACTGTTGTATCTCTACTGACAACAAGAATAGGGATTACAAAATCATTTATACAAACATGAAAAATATGATTTGAACCATGAAACATTAATACAATTTTAATAGTTTGACCTTTTTTCATTTTTGGAATACTCTTATGTGGAATCCGCAGCTATTTTTCCCGAAATTTGGGTAGACTTAGATTTCTTAGAAATACGACATATTGGTATCGGCAACTCTGCGAATGGGAGAAACAAATCGCATTTGTTGAGCGCATCCGTCTAAGCGGCAGGCGCCAACGCCCGTTCTGCCATCTCTCTTTTATCACTCTTCTACTTTACCCCGTTGTCCGTCACACTCCGACGCTGCCAGATAGGATCCTACAATCGAGTGTCTTTCACGCACCTACATACTTTTGTATATTTCCATCTCTCTTCCTCATCATAATGTATAATAATGGTTTTTCCGAAGGTGTATATGCCAGTTATTATTAAAATCGGATAAACACACGTGGGTGTTTAACTTTTTTGTCACTCGGTATACTATTATTGGAGTAAATATTTTTTTTTTCAGCGAACCCTAGGAAAGCTAGACTAGCAGCGATAGGTTCCCTTAGCGAAGTGGACGTAGACAGTGATCACGAGGATAAAAATCCTTTGAAACCTGACGTCCTCGTGATACCATCTCAGATCAATCCTTTAGTCCATGTGTAAGTAACCCTATTTCTATTTTAGCTGACTTGTTTCTGAAATAAAAACCTTTTTAGCGAGCTAGCCAAGGATCATGATAACAGTTGTACGAATTTTTTGACCTTGCATGCTAGAAGTGGGTAAGTTTTTTATTACTTTTCAGAATGGAATCGAATCGTTTTTCGATCGTTGAGAATGTTTACGAGGTACCCTCAAAAAAGTTTCTGAGTGCTTAAGAGTGGGTATTGCTTGTTTACGTTTTTTTAACGATGGAGTTTTTATGAAATTTTGATCAATCATTCACCTTACATGTATACAAAAAATTGGGGTAAATTCATTATTACTGGGTGTTCCTTTTTTCTATGGATTGTATTGACATTGATAATTGGCAAAATTGACATGTCAGAGCGTTTTTCATAACTAATATCATAAGGGCATCTAATTTTTCCGAAAAAAAAATCGAAAAAACACATTGCTAAGTAATATATAATCTGGGTCGAAGACGAGGAATTTTGCACCTGCACGAATGTTTTTTGTTAAAAAATATTTCTTTGCATTGTTTTTTCGACTTTCTTCACAGGAAAAAATTAGATGCCCGATTGGTATTTGACAAGATTATTTCATGACTAACAGATTACTGGTTTCCTAGGAGACCATAATTACTTGATATTAAAGGTATCGTAATTTTTGGTGACAACAGCTGTCAAGTTTTGCCGCGGGTAAACTCGAAAAAACTGCTGACAGGTGCTGTCATGCAATTTTTCCATCTAGAAACCATTTGTAATTCAAAATTACGCATTTGTGAGCGGTAGAAATTACGACGACGGAAATATACTAGGTGACATATAAATCCGAACACCCAGTTTAAATGGTTTTATTTTAATAAAAGTTGGTGAATGTATTTATCTTACTGTAAATAAGAAGTGAAAAAATTTTCAGCCTTATCAGTTGGACATTCCGGTTTTTATACTGCTTTTTTTTAATTCACTAACGCTCTAAAAATGAATATTTCAACCGCAGTAAAGAATCAACGTTGGCGGATTTTGGTTCTTGACATCCTTTACGATCGGTTACGATGCCTAGAGTACGGAGACTTGTACGATTTCGTCAACTTAGTGAGTTTGATAGGGGCCGTATAGTGGGACTTCGGAAAGCTGGACTTTCTTTTCGGGCAATTGCAGTTAGAGTGCAAAGAAGTGTAGACCCTGTGGTTAGGTGTTGTCAGGCATGGCTTCGAGAAGGCCGTACGCAAAGAGCAAGGGGCACTGGACGCCGCCGTAGAACAACAGACCGTGAAGATCGCCGCCTAAGATTATTGGCCTTAAGGGACCGTTTCTCCACTACCAGGTCCATTGCTAATGAATGGTTTGCAGAACACGAAAGACCTATTGGCATGCGAAGTGTTTACCGACGAATGAGAAGTTTTGGTTTGTTTTCATACCGGCCACACTGGGTCCTCCCTTTAACTCCTGAACACCGACGTAATCGCCTTGAGTGGTGCAGACAACGGTCACTCTGGGATCAGGAATGGAACAGTATTGTCTTTAGTGACGAGTCTCGATTTTGTTTAGGCATGCACGATGGTCGTGCCAGGGTTAGAAGGCGACGTGGTGAAAGGAGGAATCCACAATTTTTTGTTGAAAGACATGTTCATCACACTGTTGGAGTTATGGTTTGGGGTGCTATAGCTTATGGTTCCAGGTCACCTTTAATCTTCATCAGAGGTAACATGAACGCGCAGCGTTATATCCACGAAGTTCTAGAACCCCATTTTTTACCCTATCTTGACACCCTGGCAGATCCAACTTTCCAACAAGATAATGCCCGACCACATGTTGCAAGAGTCACAATAGACTTTCAACATAATGATGTCACATTGTTACCATGGCCACCAAGATCTCCCGACTTATCCCCAATTGAGCACGTGTGGGATATGATGGGTAGGAGATTGCTCAATTTGCAACGTCCTCCTCAGTCTCTAGAAGCACTTCGAGAGGAGTTGGTGGTTGCCTGGAATGAGATACCACAGGAAGACATTGACCACCTGATCAGAAGCATGCCTAGGCGCGTTGGTGAATGCGTAGCACATCAGGGTGCATCCACACATTATTAAAAGTCAAAGGGCTTTAAAGCAGCGCAATCATTTTGAAATTTTTATCATTTACTTATTATGCTTCATTAAGTACTTATACAAAATTTTATTAAAATAAAACCATTTAAACTGGGTGTTCGGATTTATATGTCACTCAGTATACTATGAGAGTCACAAATGAGCCACCCTGTATGCCTTACAATACTTCTTTGCATTGCCTGGAATTGTTCGCGTAAATTCGGAGTTATTTCGGACGATCGTGCTTTTTTCAAACAGCTTCGTTTCCAGACACATTTTGGAAATGCTGAGCGGTGAAGAAGCGGAAGTTGAGGCTGACGGCGAGGGCAGTTACTCTTCAAGGATGAGTAACAAATCGGAGAAAAACATGGCGGACTTTGACGGAGAAGACTCCGTTTGCGAAGAGGAGTTAGCCAGGTTGACGGATCGCGTAAGTGAAGGGATCGTGTTAATATAGGGTTTCCCATCAAGGACTTCTTTTTAAATAAAACGCGAACCATTTGAGATATCTCGAAAATTTTATTTTATTACGGTAATAGATTTAAAGGTGCGTTCACAGTGAAAGTTCAAACTTATCAAGTTCCTATTGAAAATTAAAAGTAAAGTAAAAGTGACACATCGACAGAACTGAAGGTTAGTCATTTTTTTACGTTCTCAACATTTTTCTGTTTCCAGGCGAACATGAACTTGCACGTACTCGCTCATTCTCCAGAAAAATCTCCGATGAGAGTGGATCCCAGGCTGTCAGCCTGTTTTAAGGCTGATAACGTGTGTCTACCCGGCAATACACTTTTATGGGATCTTTTGCAGGACGATAAGATCGTGAGTGTTGTTTATAAGCAAATGAACTATCGTTGCTAATTTGATACGTTTTTTAGTGTCATTTAGGTGAAGGCTTAGCTGTAGAAGCCGAAAAAACGCTGTGCAATTTGATTTGTTATACTCCGGATAAAGAAATTAGGATGAAATTTATTGAGGGATGTCTGAATAACTTGGCGAACAATGTGTAAGTATACATCTGCTAATATTTTTATTTAATGAGAAAAAACACCGTACGCGTTTTAACGTCTATTGAGCGGCGACATACAGGATATTCGAAAAAAAAAGTTTCTACAAACACGGGTCCGGAAAGGCAGAGTTTTCAAGATAAAAGTGATGAATTTAAAAAAATATTTACTCGATTGATTTGGCAATATTATTTGTTATATTAAGAGGCTATTTTAGCCCTAAATACGAGCCTCTTCCCACTTCAAGATTTGTACCAAAATATGCCTTTATAAACTAAACATGACGAAACTATTTACTTCTAAAACAATTTATTTTCTCAAAAACATTTACACTCTAGTCGTAAAAAATACATATTTCAAATCACTTAGACCTATAACTAATAGAACATCTGAACAAATAAACAATGTGCGAATAAATGCGCGAAGTTAACAAACCAACAATTGAAAGATTACCATTGGGTTACATCACCTTTATTTTTTATTACGGCTGAAATTCTTTGGGGCATAGCGTTAACCAAGTTTTGGAAAAAATTTGGTGTAAAACAATCCCATATTTCTTGAAGCTTTTGTCTCAGTTCGGTGATTGTACGAGCAGGATGTTGTCGTAGAACCTTTTTTCAATAGGTGACAGATCTGGACTGCTAGAAACCCATTTCAAAAGTGGTACATTATTTTCTGCCATCCATTTTATAGCCTTTTTTGAGGTATGGCACAGACTGCCCCAGACCATAATGGATGCTGGAAATTTCACTTTTCTCTTCAGGCAGTCAACATGGAATGCTTCATTTTTTTTGCGAATAACTCTACTGCGACTGTCACCAACACAAACTTCGAATCTGGCCTCATCACTCCATTGTATTGCACACCATTGTTGAGGTGTACATTGTCTATGTTCTTTAGCCCATCTAAGCCGATTTTTCTTTTGCAGTGGAGTTAATAGTGGCTTTTCTTTGGCCTATAAACAAGTTGTGCAACTTTAGGGTTTTTACTTCACTTTTTTTATAAGAAAACTTACCTTGCAAGTGCTACATCGCAGTTTGTGGGCCTCTCTATGAGTTGTGGACCTCGAAATTCTCCTTCCAAACAGCGTCACTTCACAGAGCACTTAATTGTAAATAATTGGCACGCCTGTTTTTCACGATTATTCTTCTTAATGCTCTTCGGTCGGCATTTGTGATATTACTTTTTTTCACATCTCGTGGCTTAATATTAACTGAACCAGTTACGTTATATCTTCTAACAATATTTCTCACACTGTACCGCGATAAGTCTAACAAAGTTGCAATTTCTGAGTTTGATTTCCCAGAATCAAAAAATTTAATCATCAGTAACCGAATTTTCTCACTAATAACCTTTCCTCTACCCATTTTGAAAACCTTAACTACCCAAAACTATTTTAAACGTATTCTGACAGCTGTGATTAATAAAAACAATTGTCATGACTTTTATAGACTTACTTTGCATTGGAATGAAAATAGGTTGATATGCTGTAATTGCAACATGTGTTATTTTTTATTAGGGAGTGATAAAGTTGGTGTTTTCTACTATATATTATCAAAATATTCATTGTTAATATTTCAAACATATAACACCCTGCTACATTTTTATTATTTGTGTTTGATAAGAAACAAACTAAGTTTTCAATAGTTGGGCCAACTTAACACACGCATTTACTTTTTTCAATAAAAGCATTATGAGTCTAAATATTTCCGTTGTATCTGAAATTTCGATTATCCGAAAGAACTTGGGTCCACGTTATTTCGGATAATCCGGGTTCTACTGTATTATAAATAGGAAAAAACAAATATTTCCAAAGAGTCCTCCAGCTGAGCTTCATGACATTTTATACTGTTTCTCTCTCTTCTAGCTCGGTGATAGTGTCGTTGCGCATGTTGCCGAAGCTGCTGAGTTCGTTCCGCGGTTTGGACATTCACCACGTGACCCAATGGGCGGAACGTCAACACCACATGACCACGCATTTCTTCAACAATCTCAAAACGTACACTGCCGACCCCAGCAAAGCCTTGCCTTTATACACGCACCAGCAGCAGGTTCAAGTTCGCCTGCATTTTTTGTCCGCCATTTTCTCGCCGGTCGTCTCGCCCAACAACTTCAAGTAAGTTTGAACTATTATACAAATATTTATTCAGGGTGTTTCAGATTATTGTTGCATAACTTTAAGATTCGATAGAACTTTTAAAATTAATGCGTAAGGTCTATATAAACATGCGTGGCTTCCAAAATACAGGGTGTTTAAATTTACTTTCTAAAATAGTTTTTTTTTAAATATTTCGAACAATATTTGATGTATAACAGTGAAAATTGGTATACAAGGATTTTTTGGTACGACAAAACGTACCATGGGCATAGTTTTACTGTAGCCGCTAGAGGGCGCTCTCTACTGTACCTGTAGTGTATTAAAATGATCGAAAAAATTTTCTCAGTGCAATTTTTTGCTTTTTGAATAAAAAAACTAATTTTTCGCACTTTTCAACATAAAAAAGCTCTCTTGTGAATTTTCGTAATAGTTAGCCGTTTTTGAGATACTTCGATTTTTAAGGTTCGATGCATTTTTAATTATTTATGATAAAATAACGTTAAAAAGTCAGTATCTCGATAATTTTTAGAAGTAGGCTGCCTGCAAATTTTTTTGAAATTGAAAGCAGAATAAGGTTAAACGTCAATTTGTTGACAGTTAGTTTTGTTGTCTGTTGAAACCTGAAACGTTTTTTTGCAGTTGTGAATGCACGAAATTTAGTTTTTTTTTGTAAGTTTTATAAAAATGCCATTTTTATTCTCCAACCAAGAGTTAGAAGATATTCATTTTGTGTATGGCTTTGTAAATGGAAACGCAGCAGAAGCAGCCAGAGAATACGCACGAAGATTTCCAAACAGACGACATCCAACTCGCTCAGTATTTGTAAGAGTGCATCGCCAAATAATTGAAAATGGTTTTGGAAATCTCAAAAGGGATCAAAACATAAATGTTCGTCAGCGCTGATTTACCCGTGTGATTCTGCGTGAGTTTGATAGAGATCCGACCACAAGTGTTAGGAGAGTTTCTGGTGCCTTGGGAATTTCAGCAAGCCATGTTCACCGTGTTCTTAGAAATGACCATAGACGTCCTTACCATTTGCAACCTGTGCAAGGACTACAGCCAGGGGACGGAGAACGAAGAATCACATTTTGTCAGTGGATTCTTGATAGAACTGATAATAATAGGGAGTTTTTAAGTAACGTTTTATGGACCGATGAGTCATGCTTCACTAGACGTGGAGTGGTAAATTTTCATAATCAACATATTTGGTCGCATGGAAATCCGCATGCAGTTCGGGAAAGAAATTTTCAGCATGGATTTAGTGTGAACGTGTGGATTGGTATCTACCGTAATCGACTATTTGGACCCTACCTTTTGCCTGCAAGGTTAAATGCTGCGACCTTCTTGGAATTTTTAAAGGCTGAACATGCAAATATGTGGGATGATGTTATGTTAGATTTAAGAAGATTGGCCTGGTTCCAGCTTGTTGGTTGTCCAGCTCATTATTCGAGAATAGTTAGAAACTGGCTGGACGAAAATTATCCAGAAAGATGGATCGGCCGTGGAGGACCGGTCGCCTGGCCTCCACGATCCCCTGACCTAAATCCATTAGATTTCTTTGTGTGGGGATTTCTAAAAGAAAAAGTGTACCAGACTCCCGTAACCACAAGAGATATGCTAATAGACAGAATCAGGAATGCATGTGATGAAATAAGGCCTTATTTGAATAATGCTATACCACGTTCGATCATTCGTAGATGTGAATTGTGTATTGGACAATTGGTTTTACATTTCGAGCAACTAGTTTAGTTGTACGTTTGTCCTGACTATCCAATAGCATTTTAGTTGTAAATAATTAATTTAATTTGTTAAAAATAATATTGGAAAATTAAACAAATTAATATTCTGCTTTTTGTGTTTATTTGGAGTTAGAAAGTATAGCTGTGTTTAAAAACACAATCTAAACGATCATCTTAATTACTTTTAATGCCCAAATCGAAAATGTAAAAAAAATTATTTTCCCATAAATAATTAAAAATGCATCGAACCTTAAAAATCGAAATATCTCAAAAACGGCTAACTATAACGAAAACTCACATGAGAGCTTTTTTATGCAGGAAAGTGCGAAGAATCAGTTTTTTTATTCAAAAAGCAAAAAATTGCACTAAGAAAATTTTTTCGGTCATTTTAATACACTACAGGTACAGTAGAGAGCGCCCTCTAGCGGCTACAGTAAAACTATGCCCATGGTTCGTTTTGTCGTACCAAAAAACCCTTGTATACCAATTTTCACTGTTATACATCAAATATTGTTCGAAATATTTAAAAAAAACTATTTTAGAAAGTAAATTTGAACACCCTGTATTTATGAAGCCACGCATTTTTCGACCCATGTTTATATAGACTTTATGCATTAATTTTGAAAGTTCTATCGAATCTTAAAGTTATGCAACAATTATCTGAAACACCCTATATTATAAATTCGAATATTCGTAATCACTTCATAAATATCTTGTTGCAGGCTCAGCACAGATCAAGTGGACACGTTATGGGACTGCCTCGCGCACGATTCCGAATGTTCAGACGAACTGTTCAGCTGGCTCCTTTCGCAAACGAAACCTGCCGAACCGCACGCTTTGAGGCTGGACGCTTTGCGGAGGCTGTACGTGAGGCATCTGCCCAGTTTGGCGCCGGAGAAATTCACCATGGTCGGTCTGTCTCTCTTTCAGCAGCTGTGCGGGCTGGACAAACTGCTGACGGACGGTAAAGAAGGCGAGGGCAAAAACGTGGGCATGGATCACATGTGGAAGATCGCTCTCAAGGCCTGCAACACTGGTGAGTGAAAGAGGGAAGAATTATTTTTACAGGGTTCGTACCGCTTTATCTTCTCGCGATTTTCACATCTTTGGGCCATTGAAAGGTAAGCATTTTCAGTCGGACGAAAAAGTACAAAATGTCGTAAAAGAATTCTTCAAGTAGCAGCCACAAGAATTCTTTAAGCAGGGTATACATCGATTGGTGAAACAATAGGATATGTGCCTTAATTGCTGTGGTAATTATTTTTTTTCTGGTCAATGATGGGTTTCAATTATTGAACAATTTTTATTGTGAAATGTTTTACCTACGTGCAAACTTATAGGGTATGCGTTTGAAAAAACACCCTAAAAGATGGTATTCTTTTGTTTGTTTGTTTCAGATTTATTTAGCATTAATGCTACAATATCCTTAATATCCATATTACACAGTATATCACAAAATATATTATGCCTTCAAGACTACATACTTTTATACAAAATTTCACTACTATGAATTCTGGTTTTCCATGAGATATTTTTTCAATTTCCCTTTGAACATTTTCAAACTGACACACATCTTGATATCATTACTTAATTTATTAAATTCGTACCATTCCTTTTGAACTACTGACTTGCTCGTTAAATTGCTGCTGCAGTTTTGTAAATGAAAGTCTATACTCCCTCTAGTAGAATAATTGTGGCACTCATTGTTAAAGACAATAAAATTTTCTGTGTGATTTGGTAGAAGATGATTTTTTAACTTGAATATGAAAATGAAAACCAACTAAGCTATGAAATTTTTGATATTTAACCATTGTAGTTCTTTCAGCATAAAATTTATTCTAGTATATTTATGATTAGAAATTAACTTACAGTCGTATGTGAGATTGTTGCTAAATGTTATTAACGTTTTGCACAATAGTTGCTATTTCTTCTCAATGCTATTGCAGCTCCTGATGAAGATGGCAAAGTCCATTGAAAGCTAGAGATTAATAAAGTATAAAGAGTCTTCTTTGCTTGAATTTTGTCAAAGTACCCAACAAAAGGCGGAAGCTTTATTTTTTCACCTAACTGGTCTAAACGACAATGACCACGACTCAAGTTATATATATATATATATATATATATATTAATGTATCATCGGCAGTGTTGTAAAATATCAGGAATATCGTTAATATACAAAATATATAGTAATGGACCTAATTTGCTACCCCGTGGCACACCTACCGAAATGTGTTTAATGTTTGATAATGTATTGCCAATTTTAGTTCTTTGACTTCTATTGATTAAATAATTTTGTAATAAGTTGAAATCCATAGCAATGCAATTTCGTTAACAATTTCTCCCTGTCAGTAGTCTCAAATGCTCTCTTGAAATCTAAGAACAATGTAACTGTTAACTTTTTTTCATCCATATTTCGCCTCCATTCTTCTACTACCATTTGAATTGCTGTTTCGGTATAATACTTTTTTCTGAATCCTGCTTGAAATTTTGTCAATATCTTATTTTCTTCAATATATTCAACGACTTGTGCATATATGATTCCTTCTCGATATGTGGCAGTACATTAATTGGCCGCATGTTTGTATATAACTCAGATTTTTTCACTTTCGGAGCAGGAGTCATTGTAGAACATTTTAATTTTGAAGGAATTCTGTTGAAATGAAAATTTTGCAAAATGCCCCGTTGTTTATGAAAACGTTATTGCAGATGTAAGCATGGCCGCGATACAGTACATCAACAGTTTCTATATGGGTCAGAATCTCCAACACGAAAATGAGTTTGTTTGTCAGTGTATGACGCACTTGAAAGCAGCCTCGGAAGATCTAACGTCGAATAATGGAAAGGAAGAAGCTTCGTTGTTGTGTATTCAAAGAGCGTTGCTGCTGATGAAGACTCACATAGAAACTTTCAGGAGAAGGTTAGTTTTTATACAATTTTTATACCATTGGTTCATATTGTGTAAAGTTTATTTGTTGATCATGGCAGGTAAATCGCTTATGTTTATTTGTTTGTTGAAGATTCATTTAGCATTAATGCTGCAAAGTCAATTTTGTATAATTATTCGTTTACACATTTTTCTTCAATAAATTTTCTGTAATTTTACATTCTTGCCTATTAAAATAGGATTTTGAGTATTCATAAAGTGATTTTTTAATTTCACCTTAAACATTTTTAAATTCGAACATTGTTTAATATCATTATTCAATTTATTAAAATTCAAATACTCCCTTTTGAAATACGGATTTGCTACTATTACAATTTTGCAGATGAAAATCTATACTGCCTAGAACATTATTTTCTAAATCCAGCTTGATTTTTTGTCAAAATTTTGGCCGACATCTGGCAAGACATTAATGGGTCGCATATTTGTTTTTATATTGGAACACCCTGATATACCGTATGAAAATCACTGATTTTGTCTGACTAGTGTGTTGGTAATGTCACTTCTATAAGGATTTGCTAGTGTTATGCTTGATCTGGTATATAACTGCTATAACTTTTTTTACATTCGAACATTTTTCCAAATGATAGGTACGCGTATCATCTGCGAAAGTGGGCGCTAGAGGGCAAAGGAATCGGCAGTCATTCTGCAACGTTGGGCGACAGATCAACCACTCCTATTAGGTTAATAATACAATCTGGTACATCTACGGAAAGATGCTACCTGGATCTGTTAAGTACGGATTACATCGCCGATTTACGAGCGGAGATCGTCAAGTGGTGTGAAGGACTGCAACAGGTACGGTCCGATTTCATGTCACTGTTTGTCCAGTTGAGTAACACGTCCCTTTTTTTAGATTTCTTTTCAACTACCTGTTTGCATGAGTATTCTAAATCCTTTTCGTGGTGTGTATAGAGATGACAAAAAAACAATGTTTTTATTTTTTTGTCAAAAAATTATTTTTTTGTGCATTCTTTCTGCAATCGGAACTTGTTAGCAAATATAAGTACAGCTCTGAAATTATGTGTGAATATTCCACTTTTATGGTAGAATGACACAAGTGATTACTTTCATTCTTATCACTTTTTCTTTTCGAAAAATATTTGCTTTTCTTGAAAACCCAACGTGCTGCGGGACGAGGCTTCAAGAAAATCGAAGATTTTTCGAACAGGAAAAGTGATGAAAGCAAAAGTAATCACTTGCTTCATTCTTCCATAAAATACGGTATAGAAATCTTGGAAGCACTACTTTTTTCTTTCAGACGTTATGCTTAGTTTCGGCCTTGATCAAAGCGATATGGTTACGAGGCTTCCTCTTTTATGGTAGAATGAAACTAGTGATTACTTTTGTTCTTATCGTTTTAGCTTTCCAGACTTAGACTAGCTATTCAATAGAAGTAGAGAGTCGCTCAATCTTCCGGTTTCTATGGCGTTTGTTAAGCTTGTTGAGAAGAACAAAGGTTTCTATATTTGTCTATGATTTTAAAAAAATAATTTTATAGGGTAAAAACGACGATGAGAGCCGAGCACTAGCAACAACGAAAGGTGGTGATATTTGGATACGAATCATCACTCAGGGGCAGGAAATTACTATTGACTGCGATGAGAAGACGCTAGGTGAAATGGGCTTCAAGGATAATCAGGTACATTTTGTTGAAAAATAGCTTATATTAGTACAGGCTTTATCCGTTTTTATTTACAGATGATCTATATATCAGCGGGCATGTCCAGAAGTGCAGCGAAGCGAAGAGAATGTGCCGATGCGCCGTCTTTACAACCAGCGCCACCTAGGGATTCTCTACCTACATTGTTGCTTCTCAGGCCAAACTATTTCGAACAACTGTTTTCTCTCATGCACGGGCTTAGCTCGATGAAAATACAGATCAAAGGCGGGGTGAGTTTTTTCAATTTCTCGATGCTAAATTACCATTTTCGTCTCGCAATAGATAAATGTGCTAAACGATAACTAATTACATAATATATGGATCTTAAGTTGATGCATTTTAGAACTAAGACTAGCTATAGAAGGTTAACTTATCAGATTAGAATGTTTTACAAGTTCAAGATGAAATATCTTTAAGTTATTATTTTTTTATAGCAGCAAGAAGATCGCAGATCATTGTAAATTATTGAATATCTCTCGAGTGTTGATTTTGGTATTATTAATTGGACCATGTTACCAAACAAAAAACAAACTAGAGGGTAATTTTGAGAAAACAACAAAAATCATTACACTGATCAACAGCCAAAAAATATCCTAAATAAAATCAACAAAATATTACTATTTTTAATGTGCTAAAACCGGAATGAAACTTATTTTTTCAATATTAGTTCAAGTTTTAGAGATACGGTAATTATATGTGTTCCTGCTGTGACAGTGTTAATATACTGTAATTCACAAGAATGCACGTGCTACATTTTTATATTCGGCAAGGAAAGATGATGTAATCGGCATGATTGTGTTACGTTATACATACGTGTACATTATATTGTTATATATTAGCCATTTTTTCCTCAGTTGGCTGACAGCGTTCATGCAAGATGTCTCGAAAGTGTGTAAACAATCCAGATCAGTTTTGTTACGTGTGTGGTGATGTGACTTTTGCGTCTCAGAGACGGTCTATTACTCCACTAATAACAAAGGCATGTCAGCTTTATTTCGGTTGTAAACTAGGTGATCAAGACAAACAGTCGGCACCCCACATCTGCTGTAATACATGTGCTTCAAGTCTGAGGAGCTGGTTAAATGGCAAAAAACGGTCTATGCGCTTTGCTGTCCCAATGGTTTGGAGAGAGCCTACAAATCATATTAATGATTGTTACTTTTGCATGGTACCTTGTGTTGGACAAGCCACAGGTATGTCCAAGAAAAAAAAATCGGTTATTAACTACCCAAACATACTATCTGCGATGAGACCTGTGCCTCACAGTGACGAAAATCCTATTCCAAAACCCCCAGAATCCTACACTTGCGAATCAGATCATGGCGATCGAGTGATTCGTCAGGAAGAAGATATGCCATCAACGTCAAGAGATCCTGATTTTATACCGAGCACGTTATGCCACCAACCGCACAAAATAACACAGTCAGAATTAAATGATCTTGTAAGAGATTTAGAATTTCCAAAATGTAAGGCAGAGTTACTTGGATCAAGACTGCAGCAGTGGAACTTGTTAGAAGACGATGTTTCGGTATGTGTTTTTCGTAAACGCCACAAAGACCATTTTTCAATATGGAGAATAACTTGGTTTTCTGCAGTAACCTTAACGGCTTACTGGCGGCTTTAAACATAAACTATAACCCAGAAGAATGGAGATTGTTTATAGACAGTTCAACATTGAGTTTAAATGCAGTGTTATTGCATATTGGAAATATTTTACCATCTCTTCCTGTAGGGTATGCAGTTCACATGAAAGAATCATAAGACAATATGAAGTACCTACTGACATGCATAAAATACGATGAGCACCAATGGCATATTTGTGGCGATTTGAAAGTTGTTGCACTTTTACTTGGGCTGCAGCTAGGCTACACAAAGTTTTGCTGTTTTTTGTGTGAATGGGACAGTCGGGCAAAGGCACTTCATTACACCAGACAAAACTGGCCTGTTCGTCAATTCCTAGAGCCAGGTCAAAAAAATGTACAGCATATGCCATTAGTAGATTCGAAAAAAATTTTATTACCACCACTGCATATCAAGTTGGGCCTAAAGAAAAACTTTGTCAAGGCATTAGATAAAGTTGAGTCAGCTTTTCAATACCTGCGTCAGAAATTTCCAACACTAGGTGAGGCAAAGGTTAAAGAAGGTATTTTTGTTGGGCCACAGATTCGAAATATTTTGAAAGATACACAGTTTGAAAACACTTTAACGGGTATTGAAAAAACTGCTTGGAATGATTTCCGTCTGGTGGTCACTAATTTCTTGGGAAATAGAAAAGCTGACAACTATAAAACCCTTGTCAAAAATATGCGGTTATCGTATCAAAAGATGGGCTGTAATATGTCTCTTAAGATACATTTCCTACACTCACACCTGGACTTTTTTCCTGACAATTGCGGAGCCGTAAGTGATGAGCACGGCGAACGTTTTCATCCGGATATTTCAACAATGGAAAAAAGGTACCAGGGAAAGTGGAATCCTTCCATGCTTGCAGACTACTGTTGGACTCTTGGTAGAGATGCCCCAGAAACGATCCATAAAGGAACAGCAAAAAGACAGCGCATATAGTGATTCTTATAAGTATATGAATCTTGTTACTTGTTGTAATATATCCTTAAAAATAAAAAGTTTTTTTTCTAAGCCGCAACTAATTTTTTTATTTCATTGTCATTTTGGGATTCAGCGCCCCAAAATTAACAAAGAAGTGCACTTTTCCCACAAGATACAATTAAAAAACTAAAATTTGTTGTCCAGTGTTATAGATAAATTGATAAATGAGCTAAACGATAACTAATTACATAATATATGGATCTTAAGTTGATGCATTTTAGAACTAAGACTACCTATAGAAGGTTTACTTATCAGATTAGATTGTTTTACAAGTTCAGGATGAAATATCTTTAAGTTATTTTTTTTATAGCAGCAAGAAGATCGCAGATCATTGTAAATTATTGAATATCTCTCGAGTGTTAATTTTGGTATTATTAATTGGACCATGTTACCAAACAAAAAACAAACTAGAGGGTAATTTTGAGAAAACAAGGAACATGATTATTGATGCTGCATCAATGTATTCACGCAAAAAAAAACATGTTATATGAACATAAAACCCGAACATTTATCATAAATAATAACATAGCAAAGTTGGGGTTTTCCTTTTCAGAAACAACTACCCTTGAAATAACAAAGGTAATGTGTAGTGAAACGAGGGCGACCGAGTAAAAAAAAATAAAGGAAAAAGTACTCACTCTCCAGTTGACGAGAAGGGCTAAGTACGTCTCTGCCCGAAATCATACCGCTCCAACAGAAAATGAAATCAGCTGATGCGCTACCGAGCAGACGCAGGCAAACAAGGAAGGCAAAATGTGGCGTAAAAAGTCTAGGTATTGCTTCCCGTCCAATCGATTTGGGAGAATAAATGGTCCAATGAGCATACCGTTCACCATGCCAGCCCAAACGTTCACCGAAAATGTTTGTTGGAAATGTGCCCGACGGACAGCGTGCGGATTCTCTACTGACCAAACATGAGTGTTGCGAAAGTTATTCACCCCATTACGCGTGAACGTAGATTCGTCTGTCACCAATATGCACTTCAAAAAGTCCGGATTATTGTCATGTTGATGCAACAACCACTCACAAAACCGCACTCTTGCTGGAAAATCGTCAGGTTGAAGGGCTTGTACACGTTGGACGTGAAACGGATACAGCCCCTCTTCACGCAGCGTTTGCCACACTTTAGTTTTTGATACTTGCACTTCTCTAGCCACGTCTCTAGTGCTTGTTGAGGGATTCACGTCTACGCGATTATCTCTAACGCGTGACCGTAACCGTCGGTTGAAGGTTGCATACTGACCTGACACACTGACCCTGACCCCCGACCCAGTTCTGTCGTCGGGTTCAACTAGTAGCCGGTACCAGTCTGGGATATCGCGGCGGGTCGCGGCTACAGGACGGTATTCAGATATTTTTGATGTTGCAGAGCCCTTTATCTCGGTTCCCTTAAGACATTGTGTATATGGTACTAAGAAAAATTGCTTATGTTTTCAAGATCTACACGTCGTGTAAAGGAAAACCCCAACTTTGCGGACACCCTGTTTTATAAATAATATATCAGTTCGCACAACCAAAAGCTTTGGAAAAATCGTAAAAGAATATCGACATCGAGAATAGGACTTTTGGTAACTGTCATGTTCTGCCCTTACAGTTTAAAGTTTCTCATTCCAAAATTTCATTGTCTAGCGACTCTTACCTCATACGAAGGCCCAAGTCCTCAGTCGCAGAGTTTGGGATATCCTCTCTCTGCTGCCTACGAGTCCGAAGCTTTTGCAAGGTTTTCGACATCTGGACGTCCCCCTCTCGGAGCTGTTGGACCCTTCCAGTGCCCAGAAACTCATGTACTCGCTGTACATAGTGGAATCGTTGAGCGTGAAATCCAGCAGCCAGGGGAAATGTTCCGACGACGAAGAGTCGGAACCGTGGGTGAAAAAGTTCATCCAACACGGCGGACTCAGGCATCTGTTCGACATCTTCATGTCCGGTGAGTCAACGTTTTTATCGAAAACGAAAAGTGTTACATGGCACCTCGGAAATAATCAGAATTCTGTTGGTTTTCAGAAAGTATCTTAATCTAAACCGAAATATTTGTTCTATAATTTTTGCTCTAACTTATGGGTCTATAACTTCTAGGCGTTCTTCAATGCGACGGGGGCTACGGCATCGACTGGCAACAGGACTGCCTGGCGTCTCTCTTGAAGATCCTCTGCCATCTGGGTGTCGACGCGCTCTCCCCGGAGATGAGGCCTTCTCGAATGGAAAAAATCGTCATCCCTAATCTGAACGAAGCTCTGCTAGCTTTGATCGAGGTGAAATCGACGATGACGCAGCTGACCAGCATCCTCGAAGAGGCGTCCATGCCAAAGGATCCGAATCATTACAAGACGGGCTTCTGGGGTCGATCGCAGGTGGTGCACTACGCCATGGCGTTGCTCGTCTCCTGGTTACACTGCAGAGAGGAGGCGAGGGTCGAGTTATTTCAGTCGCCGAATTTCGCTGATTGGCTGAGGAGATTGGTGAGTACGGTGTTTAGTGTTTACTTATTGACTTTGTTCGAAGTAATTGCCATCACATTCAACACTTCTCCAGTTCTTGAACCAGCTCTGCCAAGTTTCACAAGGGAGTGCGGCACACTCGTTGTCCCAAGGTCCTCATCGCTAGAAAACCGTTTTTCTTTAGCTTCATTTTCACATGCGGAAACAGTGCACAGTCGCAGAAAGCAAGATCTGGATGTAAGGAGAGTGCTCAATAAGTTTCAGTTCAGTAGTGGTCGAATACTCGGTGCTGACTTTGTCCGCAGGTTTTTCAGAGACTCTATGACTTAGGCAGGCACTGTTCCGCGTACCACTTAGCTGTGACTGTCTTCTGTGTGTCCAAAACGACACGCTCCCCAATCCTGCTCGATTTGACAAATACGGCAGTAATGTTTTCCTCTGTTACTGACGTTCGTGGTCTTTCTTCCCTCTCAGCGTCCTCCAGAGTGAAATTAGTAGTAGTAGAAAGATTTATTTAGCACATTTGGCTACATAAACAGAATAATTGTAAACAACTTAGAACTGGTAAATTCAAGCCATATGGTGTATGATGTAAATGCTGGGCAACCTATAATTGTAGATTTAACAAGTGATTTCTCAATTTTACTTTAAATTTTGTCAAAGTTTTCTGGTCTTTTATCTCCGAGTATAATTTATTATATTCAATCAACCCTTGATGGAATACAAATTTGTAGCATATGTTATACTTTTTGGTCATTAAATGGAAGTCTTCTTTATTTCTGGTATTATGTAAATGATGGTCGACATTTGATGATGTTAAATTAGTTAGACTTGTTGGAAATATATTATTTTTTACTTTATAAATGAATATCATTACAAGATATTTGATAAAAATTTTTACATTGAGCCATTTTAATTTGCTAAGCATTTGCCTAATTGGAGTATATTTATCTTTATTTAGTATTATTCTCATGCACTTATTTTGTAAAATTTGCAGTCTTTCAAAAATGGAATTATTTGCTAAATATAGAATAGTCGAGCAGTACAAGAAATTTGGAAGAATGGTGGTATTATAGATAATTTTTCTGCTATATGAACTCAGACATCCAGAAACTCGCGATAAATATCCCACTTTACTACTAATCTTAATTATAAGTTTTTCATAATGAATATCAAAAATTAATCGAGAGTCAACAAAAACCCCCAGGTATTTAAAATTTTCTACGAATTCAATATCTTCACCATCAGTATTCAGTTGAATATTTGTACATTGTTTTTTTCCGATTAACAAGGCTTTCGTTTTACTTGCATTTAATTTTAGTCTGTTAGATGCTAACCATTTTGAGACAAGCTTCAAGTCTTCATTTATACAGGGTGACTTTGAAGTTGAGTCATTAATTTTCAGATAATGATTGTAGAAGGAAGATAAACCAAAATATGTGTGTAAAAATAAAAAAAATTGAAAAAAAAATGTTTACCTTGTTTTATAAAGTATCCTCCCGACAAGTATTTCAGTGCGGACCTGTATTTGATCGTGAGGTCCCCTGTGAGGTCTTAAGTCACCTGATTCACGAGCCCGTTGTACTACATTAACAAAGGCACGAGGGGTTGGTTGCACTCGATTGGGAAACCGATCCGCATAAACATGTGCCATTTTTTATTCCGTTTGAGCCACGGAACAGACACTATTCACACGCTTTACCGACTGACACTGACTGTATGTATAACTGAACTGAATAAAATAATTGTAAAAGCATCGTTCCAAATTCCTTCGCTTTTTTGTTTCCGATGCGATGAACCGATAAGGCGGATTATATCCGTTGTTGCCAAACACGAGCACATGATATTATTATTGAGACAGGGCGGTACTCAAACTTCCAAAGGGCTATAACTTTGTTACTTTAATTTTACCAGAAAAATGGTAAAGGAAAAAAACATTTCTTTTGATCAGATCTACTCACTGTTAAAATAAATAACTCAACTTCGAAGTATAAGAGATACCAGACTGAATATTTTTAGTACTTATATAAATCATAGTGTCATCGGCGAAAATCTGAATTTTGCATTTTTTGACTATGGCAGGTAAATCATTTATGTATAAAATAAAAAGAAGTGATCCCAGGATACTGCCCTGTGGAACACCCAACGTATTTTCAATTTTTGATGAAATAGTGTTATTAACTTTTGTAACTTGCAACCTTTTAGACAAATTATTTCTAAACCAATCTAAAACACTTCCTGTTATACCATATGCCTTCAATTTACCTAACAAAATATCTCTATCAATCGTTTCAAATGCCCTCTTCAAATCCAAAAATACTGCTATGACAACTTCTTCTGAGTCTATGGCTCTTCTCCAATTCTCAGTTACCAACTTTAAAAGTGTTTCTGTGGAATATTTTTTTCGCCTCCACTAAAATTTTGTTTTCTTCTATAAACTGCATTAATTGGTCATGCACTATGGACTCTAATAATTTTTCAATGTCTGGTAACACATTTACTGGTCTCATATCGCTGCATCTTTTAGAATTTTTTATTTTGGGAACTGGTGTTATTGTAGAGCATTTCAAATTTTCAAGAAAAGAACTGCTTCTCAGTGAACAATTGATCCAATTTAATACAGGATATCCCAAAATTTCGAAACAGTTTTTCAGCATGTTTTTAGTAGTGATTTCGGCACAGTTGCTATTTGATTTTAAACTGTTTACTTTTTTTCTTAGATAATTCAATGATACGCTGTGAAATTTTGAAAGTGTATGCAACATTTCCCCCTGGAAACTGATTTTCATATAGTCAGGTGCAGCATTGACAGTACCCACAATATCAACAATACTTTCCACAAAATATTCATTTAGTTTGTTTGCAATCACCAAAGAATTTGTTTCGGTACCGTTTTTCGAATTCAACTTGATTTACACAATCATGCGGCTTTGAATTGATCAGTCTTTTTAAAGTCTTCCACATCTTTACACTGTCGCACTTGTTATTATCGATTTGTTTATCGTAGAATTTCCTTTTTTCTTCTCTAATTACATATACACATTTATTCCTAAGAGTTTTATATACCTCCCAATCATCATTTTGCTAAAATGTTATGAAAAATAAAAGCTTCAAATGAAATATTGACGAATACAGTAGCAAGCCGCAACGAAAAGTGTAGTCAGTATGACTTTGACGTGATAAATGACAGTTCGATGTTGACAGTTAAGTTTTTCTACCGACTGCGCATGATTTCGTACGAAATTTATTACGAACATTTCTTTACGTGACGCATTTTCTCACAAAATTTGGTAGCAAATTATGAACAAAACTTTGTATCGTCTTCAGACAAGGCGATCGGAGATGAACAATTAAATAAAACATACTAAGTCAAGTGCATTTTGTTGCAGGTTTTAGAGGATCCGGAGCCAGCTGTTCGACGTGAGGTGTGCTCGGCAATATACAGGCTGTGTTTAGGCGTAAGCACTAGCGGTGAACCGATGGAAAGCAGTTTAGTTGCTCCATTGCTGTCTCAGTTGCTCTCGTACCTCGACAAGGCTGAGAGCATGAGACCACAGAAAGTAGAGGTATGCATTTATACCAAGCGTTCAAGGTTAAAGCATGTTTCTGTATCCTGTTATGAAACTTTGATTTTTTTTTTTGTAGGCTTCGGAGGAGGGAAAAGAACCATACGGGCCAGCTTGTCGAGACTATTTTTGGCTTGTATCTCGGCTGGTGGACAGTCTGCCCGACGATCTGGTGAAGGAGAGTATAGAAGAACCACAGAATTGTGTGATAGATCTCAACGCGTTGACGGAGCAGATTGCCAGATCGGTGTTGTCCAGGGAATATCTGGAAACGCGCCATCGCACGGTTAGTTGTATGTTTGCTTCAGATTTATTTAGCTACGATTACGTCCTTGTAAAAAACAAAAAAATTTGCGTCTCTACGATCTTTCACTGTCCATAAAATATTCCTTTTATTTTCTTTTAAATTGTAGCCTGCTTTTGTGGGAAAACTTTTTATTCGATAAGAAAGAATGAGAAAACGTGTTTTTTTCGGGATTCAATCGAAAGTGTTGGCAGGAACGAAGAAACTCTTCGAATAAGATTTTTGGGTATTTGTGAGGCATCCAGAATGAGACCACACGTAAAAAGATCCGACTAATAGCAAAAAAGTTATGGCCGAAAACCGAGGGAAATTATAGGTTTTGGTTCTCGTTGGTAATGCGACGATAATAAGGGTTGTCCAATAGGGACGCAGGAAAGTGAACGTCAATTTGACATAGACGCCGTCTTTGTTTTCTGTCACCGACATGTCATTTTGTTAGTTGAATGTTTACCATTGATCGCTATGGAGTCGTATTCGATTGAAGACCGCATTAAAGTTATTCAAGAGCACTACAAAAATGGTGCAAAAATAAAAAACACGTTTCGCGCGCTTCGTGAACATTTCGGTCGCAACAACCGCCCAAACGAAACAACCATAGGTCGTCTGGTGCGTAAATTCGAGGCAACAGGTTCTGTGGCAAATCTGCCAGGCTCTGGCCGGCCAAGGAGCGTTCGCACACCGGAAAATATTGCTGTTGTGAAGGAGAGTGTGAGAGACGATCCGAAACAATCAACAACGCGTCGATCTCAAGAATTGGGCATTTCGTGAACCAGTTTGCTCCGCATTCTCCACAAGGATTTGAATGTACACGCCTACAAGATCCAATTGACGCAAGGGCTGCGTCGGGCCGACCATTTTTCGCGCCGAACGTTCTCAGATTGGCTCCTTGAACACCGCCAAATCGATGCCAATTTTTCATCAAAAATCATGTTCAGCGACGAAGCGCATTTCACTTTGAATGGGTCGGTAAACAAGCAAAACTGCCGCATCAGGGCGAACGAAAATCCCCGTGAGTATCAAGAGCAGCCGATGCATCCTCAAAAAGTGACTGTGTGGTGTGCATTGTGGTCAAAAGGCATCATCGAACCTTACTTTTTCGAAAATGCGGCCGCGGACGCCGTTACCGTCAATTCTGAGCGATATCGCGTGATGATAGAGGACTATTTTTTGCCGCAACGTGAAGGAATGGATATGGACGATGTTTATTTCCAACAAGACGGTGCAACATGCCACACAACCATCCATCGATTGCAGTCCTTCTTCGGTGATCGCGTGATTTCGCGCAGAGGAAATGTGCCATGGCCACCAAGATCGTGCGATTTGACTCCCTTGGACTTCTTTTTATGGGGATTTTTGAAAAGCAAAGTCTTCGTCAACAAACCAGCCACCCTCCGAGAACTCAAAAACAACATCATTGCCGAGATAAATGCCATAGAACCGACCATGTTGCAAAATGTCATTGAAAATTTCGACCATCGCGTGGACGTCTGTAAATCCAGTCGTGGTGAACATTTGAGCGATATTATTTTTCATACATAAATGGTATAAATGAACCTTCAAAATAAAGTACCCAACTTGATTTGAATATCAATCTTTCTTGTTTTAATGTGCGTTTACTTTCCTGCTTGATTTGAATATCAATCTTTCTTGTTTTAATGTGCGTTTACTTTCCTGCGTTTTGGACAACCCCATACAATGCAGCTACTTGAAATTCTTCAAATGCAAACGCTTCTTACTTCTTAATAGCCATAACAAAATTGGAATCGACTGGTTAAGTACTTTTTGAGAATTTCTAATTTAGTACTCATCTATAACAATTGTATTAAATTTAAAGTTTTTAACATTAGTTCGCTAATTTGTACGTTCAATCAATTGGGCAAGAATACTTAATAAATATAAGTGCGTCTCCCGCATTTACAAGAATTTGTTATATTTTTAAATTTCTTTATATATTCTTTATAATTATTTTTGTAAAACTTCACTGTTTCTCGCTACTTTTTTCAAAATTTCACTTTTCTCACTTAAATCCATCCTTTAGACCGCCAGGACCCCTGAAGTAATAACATATCAAGTTATGGAAAAAAAATCGATTCGGAAAAGTTCTTCTACGAATGCGAGGTTTCCACTTTCCCTAAACAATTTTCTCGCCATCCCCAGGTGGACGATGACGGCCTGATCGGCCTGCTGAACCTGCTCACCAACCTGCTGAAGCACCGGCCGCCGTTCCAGGCGGGCAAGGGCGGCCAAGAGCTCCTCGCGCAAGTGTTCGATGCTCTGTTCGCGCTACCGACACCTCGGTTACGGCACGTGCCGAAGTGCAAGTCGCCGAGGTCGCGAACGGCCGCTTTCGATCTGCTCGTGGAACTCGTCAAAGGATCGCCCAGCAACTACGAGATCCTGAGAGAGAAGCTGCTCCAGCAGCATCAACCCGGTCCGCATTCGCCGTATCCTTGGGATTATTGGCCGCACGAGGACGGGAGGTCGGAGTGCGGATATGTCGGTAAGGATTTAATTGATTCATAGGTGCGCCATCTTTTACGTCGGTATTAAAACATCGAACGACTTTGATATTTACCAGCCGAGTGATTTGGTTATACTTGTTTCTGGAACGTCAATTTACTACAATTTTAGTCGTGAATCGCTTTACACCGAAACAGCGCGCCAAAGTAGTCACAATGTAGATTGAAAATCGTCGTTCAGTTGTGTTAACGTCGAAAATATCGTGTCAAACAGGCACCGTCTGACGACACTATCCGTCGTTTGGTTTCGAATTTTTTGAGTACGGGACAGCGGGAGATCGTCAACATACCGTTCATCGACGACCAAGGCGTTCCAATGAGTTGGTTGAAGCGGTCAGAGACAGCGTTGCCCAGAACCCAAAAGTGTCGTATCGTCACCGCGCTCAGCATTTTGGCATCGGTGGAACCACGTTGCGGCCCATTTTGAAGGATGATTTGTATTTGTTCCCTTATAAGGTGCAGTTAACACAAAAAATATTGCCAACTGACCGTCCACGTCGCTTGGAATACGACGCTCGCATGGTTGATGCAGAACCTGATTTTTGAAAGCAAATTGTGTTGACGGACGAGGCCCATTTCACGCTCTCTGACGGCGTTAATATGCAAAACTGCCACATTTGGGAGACGGAAGAGCCACATGAGATCCACGAACTGCCGTTGCAAGACCAAAAAGTGACGGACGTTTGCGCCAAAACCATTTTTCTTTAACGAAAACGAAACGGTCGATGGACAGCGATATCGGCGGATGCTGGCTCATTGTATCTGCCCACAAATGCGTGAAAAAGGTCTTGATGCCACACTGCAAATGAAACAATTGAGTGTCTGCAACGAAATTTCCCTGGAAGTCTCATGTCAAAAAAGGTGTGACATTGGCTGGCCACCCAGGGCTCCAGATTTGACCCCACCGGACTTCTTCTTGTGGGCTTATTTGGAAAGTCCAGTGTACGCCAGCAAGCCCCAGACCTCTGAAAAACTCAAGGCAAACATTCTACCGCAATCGCCGCTATACCACCAGAGATGCTCGAAAAGTAATGGAAAACGCAGCAAAACGGGCACATTTTGTTTTGCCACTTGATAGATGTTGTGTTCAAAAATTAGTCCCAATAAATTGTGAAGGACTGTATTTAATAAAAAATACCCTATATATAGAAATCAGTTTTTCGTTTTCAAAGTTATTTCATGTTTACATCGGCAATAGAAAAAGAAAGACTAAATAATGTAATGAAACTAACGCCAACTACAGAGAATACCGACTGCTACAACCAATATAAAAATAAATTTATAGAGCTTGTAAGGCAAACCAAACGAAAACATTACCTAAATAAATTGAATAATAACTTAAATGATCCTAAGCAGCTTTGGACAACTATTGATGAGATTACTGGGAAAACAAAAGTTAAAGAGTGTGTCACTGAGTTAAATACAACATCGGGAACAGTATTAAAAAATACTCAACAGATATGCGATGAATTTGTACAATTCTTTACTGACATAGGCGAAAATTTAGCAAGTAATATACAAGCAAATGTACAAAATACTCAGCCTCCAAAAAGAACTTTGAACTGATTTATTTTGGATAAAGTCGAGCAATGTGAAGTATACACCACTGTTATGTCCTTAAAAAATCGGAAAAGTCCTGGGTTCGATGGTATTAAAAGCGAGCATTTGAAAATTATAGCCGAGGACATAACAGAACCACTAACTTACCTAATCAACAAATGCTTTGAATCTGGCATATATCCCTCAATTTTAAAAAAAGGTAATATAATACCGATACATAAATCAGGAACAAAAACAGATGTTAACAACTATAGACCAATATCAATAATATCCAGTGTAGCAAAGGTTTTTGAAAAAGTTTTATCTACTAGAATGATTCGATACCTCACAAAATTCAAAATTTTAAGTGAAAATCAATATGGATTTACAGAAGGGAAGGCTACATCGGACTCAATAACTAAAATTGTAAATCAAATACATCAAAATATTGATAACAGAATCCCTTCAATCTGCATTTTTGTTGATTTAAAGAAAGCTTTCGACACAGTTAATCACAAATTATTATTAGAAGCATTGGAGAGAATTGGTTTCAGAGGAAACGCGTACTCACTGATCGAAAGTTATTTGTCAAATCGCCCACAATCTGTGCAAATATCAGAATCATTTAGTAAAGAAATGTATATTAAGTGTGGTGTCCCACAAGGAACTGTCTTAGGTCCGCTGTTATTCAATATATATTTAAATGATATTTTCCAAATTAATTGTGTTGGCAAAATAACTAGTTTTGCAGATGATACTGCAATATTATATGAAGGCACTGACTGATCTGATCTGAAAAATGTAATTGAAAATGATTTTATCAAAATTATTCGGTGGTTTAACAGTAGAAAATTAAGCATTAACTACTCTAAAACACATTTTTTACCATTTGGATCTTATGCTAGACATCTGCCAAATTACACAAATTTCTCCTTCAATATTAATGATCAAAAAATGCAAATTAATAGAGTGCCCAACATAAAATACCTTGGAGTGGTCTTGGATCCTCACTTACGATGGGACATCCATGTCAATTATATTTTAAAGAAAGTTAGATTTGTATCCTACAAAATTAAATACCTTGGGAATATATTGACAGAAAAATATCTTCGAACATTATACCATGCACTGATTGAGCCTCATCTCACATATGGTATATTAGCATGGGTAGCTGCATGTTCCTCACATATCTATAATTTAGATGTTTTTCAAAAAAGTATTCTAAAAATGATATTTAAAAAACCGAAACTTTATCCCACTGAAAAATTATACGCAGATGTTCGAATGTATGATATAAGACAGCTTTATTTCTTACACAGCATCACTCACTACCATAAATTTGTAAACACCGACCAAAAAATTAAACATAATCATTATACCAGGTACAAAATTCGTGGCACAGTAGTTCCTCAACCGCATAAATCTATAATGCAGCGATCATATCTCTATTTAGCGCCTAAATTTTATGAAATTATACCTAAAGACTTAAAAGATTTACGTTTCGGAAATTGTTTCAAAAGAAATTTAAAAAAGTGGCTACATTCTATATCTAGGACTGAAATTCATAAACTCATAAATACGAACATCAACTAAATACATAATCTACTGTAGCTAATTTTTGTCCTTTTTTGTCATTTGCATTCTACAGTTTCAACTTAAATTTATTGGTCCATGTACAGGCGATGCCTTCTATTGGGCCTGTTTTGATTTTATATTTATTTACTCATATTGTTTATTATCTTTGTACATAGAGTGAATAAATATTATTATTATTATTATTATTATAGATGGCGCGCCCAAATTACGCATAACTTGAATCCTGACTCTGATTATCGAATTTCTTTGAATGTGTAACGTTTACTCTAAGAGGTACGATCCCCAAATCAAGCACATGACGAAGAAAAATTTTATTTTCCCTACGAAGACGACGTACTACAAGTAGTTGAAGGAAACCCGAATACTTCAGTACGTCATATTCAGGCTCCGCCAGAATCGAACGCATGTTTTTTAAATAGTAGTACAGTCAAAATAAGTATGGGAAAAAATATTTTATTACATCAAAATACTCAGAAATACATGCCATTTCTTTGAGTAAAACAAAATTTACGTTCTAAAAACACTGTTCTCAGACGGAGTCGTCGACGTCGAAGTTCCGGAAAAAAAAAGTTGTTCAGCAACGTCATGTCATTGTTATCCAACTATTCAATCATGACCAGTGCAAAATTAACACGTTGTGCATAATCCCCTGCCGACAGTTTTTGACAAACTTGGATTTTGTAAGGATGGAACACTAAATCCTTCTTCAAGATGCGACGTACAGGGGACGCGTGAACTGGCACGCAAACGGTTGGAACGATTCGGGCTTCGCACCGTGTCAACTCTCACTCTGTCTACGTTTTCGGGGGTTCTAACAGTACGGTTTCGCCCAGGTGGTTTGTTCTTCATCACATTACCTGTTGTGTTGAATGCTTCCACCCATCTCAAAATGGTGTTACGGTCTGGTACTGTCCCACGACGTGGAACGCGAAAAACGCGCTTCGTTCGAACGACAGACTCGCGATTTTGAAAGTACCGACGTACAGTGAACACACGATGCTCAACGTTCCAAAACGATCTTGCCAACTGAAACGGCACTTCTCCCACTATCCAACACGTCCTTCCCCACCGTCACGGGACCGGCCCACTCGATGTAGTACCAATTCGAAAAACATGCGTTCTATGAGTTTTGTCAAGCAATGTTACAGAGATACCGGGAAGATCCGCATTTTTAGATAAACTTTTCACCACGAACTAAATTATATTCCAGGTCTGACCAACCTAGGCGCGACCTGTTACATGGCTTCTTGCATGCAACACCTGTACATGATGCCGCAGGCCAGGGCGTCCATCCTGTCGGCGAACACGGAACGCGCGAAGCACGAGCCCACCTTGAAGGAACTTCAACGAATGTTCGCGTATCTGTTGGAAAGCGAACGGAAAGCGTACAACCCTCGCAGTTTCTGCAAGGTGTACACGATGGACCATCAACCTCTGAACACTGCCGAGCAGAAGGATATGGCCGAGTTCTTCATCGATCTGGTCAGCAAGCTCGAGGAGATGACGCCGACGTTGAAGGAGGTCATCAAGAAGCTGTTCTGCGGCGTGATTAGTAATAACGTCGTGTCGTTGGACTGCGATCATGTCAGCCGGACTTTGGAGGAGTTTTATACGGTAAGATTTTTTTTTTCAGGAAAATTAGATGCCCTTACGATATTACCTATGGATATTTGTATGTAATATAATTGTTGTTGTGCAATATTTGTAGTAATCATGCTAAATAAATCTGGAACGTTTTGCCCGCAGGTGAGATGCCAGGTGGCTGACATGAGGAATCTGTACGAATCCTTGGACGAAGTCACCGTGAAAGATACGTTGGAAGGCGACAATATGTACACCTGTTCCCAGTGCGGCAAAAAAGTGCGGGCAGAGAAACGAGCGTGCTTCAAGAAATTGCCGCACATCTTGTGCTTCAACACGATGCGGTATACGTTCAACATGTTGACCATGCTCAAGGAGAAAGTCAACACGCATTTCTCGTTTCCTTTGCGGTTGAACATGGCTGGGTATGTACGGCTGCTGATTAACCTATTCTTCCAACCCTATTGTTTCTTAAATTGATTTCTTAACGCTAGGTATGTGGAGAAGCAGCTGATGCCTCAGCAGTACCAGGAGGAGAAGCTAAAAGGCGGTGAAAGCGAGGAGGAAGTGGAGCAGTATGAGTACGACCTGATAGGGGTAACTGTGCACACCGGTACCGCCGACGGGGGACATTACTACAGTTTCATCAAGGACAGGACGGCAGGATCCAGGGATAAATGGTGAGTACCTTTTGGTGTCACGTATAAAGGGTGTGTCAATATTCCGCAGATATACAGGGTGTCCCAGAAGTCGACGTCAAGCCGAAACCGGGTGATAGGCAAAGTCATAACAGCTATCAGAAAAATATTTAAAAAAATTTTATGTATGTGTTTTGAAAATTATAGGTCTTTGAAAAAAATATAGAAATTTCACACCCTACGGCAGTCTGTCAACTCCTGTTACTACAAATATTAACTTTTTTTGGATTTTATTTTTACAATGTAATGATGAATAATGCATCTTCAAACTGGTGTCTGAACCTTACTGCCAACTTTTCTCGTTCAGGAAAAATTGCCACTTATTTCCCAACCAAGTATTCCAAAGTAAAACTTTGCTCAACTTTAACTGGCTGTACTGGAAAAAAATGTACTACGAGAGTTTGGCAAGTAACCTTCAAAGTTGGCGCATTTAATAACGATTCCAAAATGGTATAACACTTAGAACTTTACTCGTTAACTTATGCACAATTTTTATTTGAAAAAAAAACTGATGAAAATTTTTCAAAATTCCCTAATTAAACAGCGATTATGAAAACGCACAAGGACCCTTAAGGATAACTGTTTGCACAACAGTGGGCGTCAAAATGCTGCTGATGATGATTTACCTTCACAGCAAATGCTCAAACTGTTTTCCTTCAGCCGCAATACACGCTCGACATCTTCTTAAAAAAGATCGGGTTATTAAACGAGCGAATCCACGGTTATTAACAAACTCAGCTGCTTCCAATAGTCTTTGCCGTAGCTCAGCTACATTTTGAATCGGCTTGAAATACACTTTTTCTTTTACAGTTCCCCAGTAAAAAATCTAAAGGATTCAAATCAGGTGATCGGGCTGGCCACCGTATTGTACCAGACCGCCTTGTCCATCTGCCTGGAAAGTTTTGATCGAGATACTCTCTCACTGAGAGTGTATAGTGCGCTGGGCAGCCAATCATGCTGAAACCACATGTCCCTGTAAATACCCAGTGGCACGTCCACTAATAAGTTTTGTACATGATTTTTCAAAAAACCTAAATAAACCTCAGCAGTCAAAGTCTCTGGGAACTCAAACGGACCGATTATTTTACCATTTAAAATTCCTGTCCAATGGTTTATCTTGAAGCGATATTAAGATTTATCTTCTCTCATCAAATGTGGGTTTGCTACGTGCCACTCGTGTAAGTAATGCAGGTTCATGTACACATCTTTCTTGAATGTGGTCTCATCCGACCATAAATTTTTTTCAAAGAACCGTGGATCTTTCCTGTGTCTTTCTAACATTGTGCGACAAAAAGCAACTCGGGGCTCATAATCCCGGGGCAGGAGAGGTTGAACACGCTGTATGTGGTATGGATGAAGCACATCACTTACTTGCTATTGCACACTTTGATACCGATCAGTACTCCTTCGTTTACTGCGCATCTTTACATGTTCGTGCTTGTTGATTTCGTACTGTTACTAATTGTGGATTCGTGAACTGGACTGTTGATCGCTTGTGATTTGGATTTGGACTGTTTAATTGCTCTTCAAAACAACATTTGCTTTCCTTAGACTATCTTTGATAGTGTGATTGTGCAGTGCCGCTATGTCCGTGTACACCGTACAAGAATATGCTAACATGCACCTCATTTATGGGGAATGCAGATGCAACGCTAGTGCTGCAGCGAGACTTTACTGTGAGAGGTACCCGAATGCAGCTCGTCATCCAGATCATCTAGTGTTCACAAATGTGCACCGCTTACTGTTCTCAGAGGGCCAACTACCAAACCAATCACACGGTGAGGGAAGATCTTTCCTTCCTTACGAAGACGTGGTGCTAGGAGCTGTCGAAGAAGACCCGAGTACTTCAGTGCGTGCAATAGAACTAAAAACAGGTGTGCCTAAAAGTACAGCCCATAGAATCTTGCAAAAAAACGTGCTCCATCCATACCACGTACAGCGTGTTCAAGCTCTTCTGCCCCGGGATTATGAGCCCCGAGTTGCTTTTTGTCGCACAATGTTAGAAAGACACAGGGAAGATCCACGGTTCTTTGAAAAAATTTATGGTCAGATGAGACTACATTTAAGAAAGATGGGTACATGAAGCTGCATAACTTACACGAGTGGCACGTAGCAAACCCACATTTGATGAGAGAAGATAAATCTCAATATCGCTTCAAGATAAACCAGAGTATCTCGATCAAAACTTCCAGGCAAGATGGATAGGGCGGTCTGGTACATACCGTGGCCAGCCCGGTCACCAGATTTGAATCCGTTAGATTTTTTTTACTGGGGAACTGTAAACTGTATTTCAAGCCGATTAAAAATGTAGCTGAGCTATGGCAAAGACTATTGGAAGCAGCTGAGTTTGTTAATAACCGTGGATTCGCTCGTTTAATAACCCGATCTTTTTTAAGAAGATGTCGAGCGTGTATTGCGGCTGAAGGAAAACAGTTTGAGCATTTGCTGTAAAGGTAAATCATCATCAGCAGCATTTTGACGCCCACTGTTGTGCAAACAGTTATCCTTAAGGGTCCTTGTGCGTTTTCATAATCGCTGTTTAATTAGGAAATTTTGAAAAATTTTCATCAGTTTTTCTTCAAATAAAAATTGTGCATAAGTTAAAGAGTGTTATACCATTTTGGAATCGTTATTAAATGCGCCAACTTTTAAGGTTACTTGCCAAACTCTCGTAGTACATTTTTTTCCAGTACAGCCAGTTAAAGTTGAGCAAACTTTTACTTTGGAATACTTGGTTGGGAAATAAGTGGCAATTTTTCCTGAACGAGAAAAGTTGGCAGTAAGGTTCAGACACCAGTTTGAAGATGCATTATTCATCATTACATTGTAAAAATAAAATCCAAAAAAAGTTAATATTTGTAGTAACAGGAGTTGACAGACTGCCGTAGGGTGTGCAATTTCTATATTTTTTTCAAAGACCTATAATTTTCAAAACACATACATAAAATTTTTTTAAATTTTTTTCTGATAGCTGTTATGACTTTGCCTATCACCCGGTTTCGGCTTGACGTCGACTTCTGGCACACCCTGTATGTACGGTCAATTCACATATTTTTGTCTGTAGTATCTCCAGTTTCGAGATTTCCCAACCTGTCGCTAGTTTAGTTTTAAGTTAGCTCTGTCAATAAGAATGATTGTATTCTTCAGAAAACGAAGCATATTTATATACTTGTCTATTATTCTCTCAGGTTTCTGTTCAACGATGCCGAAGTGAAACCGTTCGATCCGAACCAAATCGCGGCGGAGTGTTTTGGCGGCGAGATGACGAGCAAAACGTACGACAGCGTCACGGACAAATTCATGGATTTCAGCTTCGAAAAGACGAACAGCGCGTACATGCTGTTCTACGAGCGGTGTCCCACGCTTACATCGGACAATTCGGAGAGCAGTTCTTCGTCCCTTGAAACGGGGGAGTGTTCGTCGCCGACGACGCCTGTCCATGCGGTTCGTTTCTTTTTCCAATAATAAAACAACCTAAACGGTGTCCTGTTAGGTACTTCGGGATTTTTCTTTTCTCCGTGATTTGACCGGGGAATTTTATACTGCATGTGTAATTTACAGACCCGACAATTCCTTTGCAGTGAATTTTGATGCAAATCGATATTCTGATAGGGTTTTATTCAATAGCAAAATTCCGAATTATCTTTTGAGGTGCTCTTTATTATCGAGTTCTCAAATAAGGCATTTCTAACGATTGGTTCAAACCTGTTTCTTTCTACCATATCCAGGTTGAGCTTAGCAAAGAGCTGGAAGACTGGATCTGGCAGGACAACATGCACTTCATCCAGGACAAGAACATATTTGAGCACACGTATTTCAACTTTATGTGGCAGGTGCGTTTTTTTTGTTCTTCTTTTATATCATAGTTATGATAATGACTATTTAATTTTGTGAAGTCTTCTAGATGTGGTGGTAATAAATGATTCTTTAATTTGAATATGAAAATGAGATCCAAATAGGATAATTTTTTTTACATTCAACCACTGTGGTTCTTCTGACATAGACTTCATCCTAGCATATTTGTTTTTATTTAAAATGATTCTCATAGCTTCGTTCTGTTGAATCATAGATTTCTATGACAAACAGAAAATAATGTCGATCTCATTTTTCTTAATTTCTGATTCATGCGTTTCGCAACTTATCGGACAAATTTTAACCACATATGCACTGTTTCGAAAGAAGTTCATTTCACAAAAAAACAAAGGTTCACTTAAAAAGCTATTCAAAATTGTTTCCATTGACTGCAATACAAGCTTGGGCGCGTCTAATTCAATTTCGGCGCACTGATCGAAATACACCTCCTTCCTGCTGTGCCTGAAGGCTCAAATTATCGGCAGTCACCGTGATTCGGTCACGCAATTCTTCAATATTCTGAACTCGAGTACGGTACTGATTCAATAATTTACGAACTTCTTAATGGCACAATCAACTTCTTTCTTAACAGTGCATATGTAGTAGTAGTGGAAAGATTTATTTAGCACATTTGGCTACATAAACAGAATAATTGTAAACAACTTAGAACTAGCTAGCTTTTCCCAGGGTGTCTTATAAATGTCCGCATGTTTCCACACCTAAGCTATGCAGTCGGTTATCTACCAAAACAAAGAAATTAATGATGATGGATCCCTCGAGCACTAAAGACTCCGGACGTAAACTCACTCCACTCTCGGAATGTCCGGGTGGAGGGTGGGCTCGAGGGAACAACATCGAAGATAAAATTTGTTTTTCGAACATCTGCGGGATCAACAGCAACATTGATGCTGTTCATCACTACCTGCAATCCAATCGTCCCGCCGTGCTTTTCTTGGCGGAGACAAAAATCTCAGAGACTGCACCGATTAACCATCTCAGCTTCCCAAACTACGAGGTGCACTCCAATCTGAGAAAGAACGGGGGAGTTGTGGCCTTTGTCCGCAGCAGTCTTTCCTGCTCCAGGGATCTTTCTTTAGAATCAGACCGGAAGGACATTCTGTGGCTTCGCCTCAACTCCAAAACATCACCCAAATTTATTTGCTGCCTTTATCGCTCTCCCTCGAACCATAACTCTGATGACCTACTCGAATACCTCGCCGTCCAGATCGACTTCCTGAACATCAATCACCCCGCTTCGGAGGTAGTTCTTCTCGGTGATTTCAATGCCCATAATGAGCTTTGGTTGGGCTCAAATAAGACCGATGCAGCAGGTCGTGCAGTCGAAGCGTTCGCTCTTACTCAAGGGCTGACCCAGCTGGTGACGAGCCCTACTTTTTTCCCCCGCGTCTCGTCACACGCCAGTAGCCTGCTGATCTCTTTCTGACCACGCATCCTGCCCCTTACAGCACTGCTGTCCTGTCCCCCCTGGGTAACTCAGATCACGGTGTTGTGGAGGTTAGGTTTCGGTCAGAAGCCGCTGTGGCAGCAGAAACTCGCACAGGCCACAAAACTTGGCATTACGGACACGCCGACTGGGAGGGGCTCAGAGACTTCTTCTCTTGCTTTCCTTGGAGAGATGTCTGTTTCACTGACGCGGATGCGTCGACTGTCTGTTCGTCAATAACCGAAATTATCCACGTCGGAATGGAGGAATACATCCCTCACACAGTGAAAGTTCCTAAACCAGGGTCCAGAACCTACTTACAAAACCCCACTGTAGAGAACAGACAAGCCGACGTCGAGTCCAGAAACAAATATAACGAAGCGGTTCGCAATGCCAAAAACCAGCATGATATAAAAGTTAGGCACAGGGTAATGTCGCAGCGCAATGGCAGTCGGTCTTTCTGGACGCTGGCCAAGCAGATTGAAAAGATCTTCTCACACAGTAGCCTTCCACCACTTACGTGTCAGGATGGAACTATTGTATTCGACCCAAAGGCCAAGGCGGACGTGCTAGCCAAGATCTTTGATGCCAACTCCACCATGGACGTCCCCACCAACGCCCAAGTGCCGTCAATTCAAAGGGTTCCCCACACTATGCGGGAGGGTAACATTCAGGCATAAGACTGTAAGACGAGTGCTGTTGTCGCTCGACATCAACAAAGCTTCTGGCCCGGACTTGATTCCTGCCATTGTACTGAAGAGATGTGCAGCGGAGCTTGCTAAAGTTCTTTCGCGTCTCTTCCAGATATCTTATGAATCCGGCACCTTCCCAGAAAACTGGAAATTTGCTCATGTACAGCCCATCCCAAAAAAAGGATCTAAAACCGACCCTTACAACTACAGGCCTATAGCTCTGCTTTCTGTTATAAGTAAAGTGATGGAGAGGTGCATAAATCGCGAGCTTCTGGACTACCTCGAACGTCACAGCTTGATTAGCGACAGGCAGTACGGTTTCCGGCACCAACGATCCACAGGGGACCTCCTAGCTTACGTCACGCAACTGTGGAGTAAACTCATCCAGTCTCATGGTGAGGCTCATGTCGTTGCTCTTGACATCACGAAAGCGTTCGATCAGCTGTGGCACGCTGCCCTCTTAAGCAAACTTCCATCCTACGGCCTCCCAGAAAAGCTTTGCAGATGGGTGGCTGACTTTATCTCTGGCCGCAAGATATCCGTCGTAATTGACGGATTCTCCTCTTCATCCCACAACGGCAACGCGGGTGTTCCCCAGGGATTGGTCTTGGCTCCAACACTGTTTCTCTTACATATCAACGACCTCCTTTCCTGCACGATCAACCCAATCCACAGCTTCGCTGATGACAGCACTCTACATGCAGGAATTCAGAGTGACAAGCCGATCTCTGCCGCTGAGCTGGAAAAAAGAAGACTAGCGACGACTTCTTCTCTGACAAGAGACCTGGAGGCTATCACTGCTTGGGGACGCAACAATCTTGTACAGTTCAATGCTTCCAAAACACAGTACTGTACTTTGACGAACAAAAAGCGTCCTAGCGCTCATACAGTTTCGATGGACGGTCGAGTTCTACCAAAGAGCCATTCATTTCGGCTGGTCGGAGTCCAGATCACCGAGGACCTGATCTGGCACGAACACATCTCTTCAATAGCTGCAGCTGCTGGGAAAAAGCTAGGCTATTTGTTTAGGGCTAAGAAGTACTTTTCTCCGCATGACCTTCTCACTCTATACAAGGCCCAGATAAGGCCTAGCCTCGAGTATTGCTCACACATTTGGGGTGCTGCCGCCCCGACTACATTGTCCATGCTCGATGCTGTCCAGAGGAGGGCGGTCCGACTGATCGATGACTCTTCTCTAACAGACAGTCTCGGGACTCTTTCGCACCGGCGGGCCGTCGGCGATCTAGCTCTTTTCTATCGCTACACCAACGGGCTTTGCTCCTCAGAGCTCTCTTCCATGATGCCGCCGCGCGATGTGCCTGCCAGACAGACCCGCCTGACTTCGGCATCCCATCCTAACCGTGTCAAACTTCGTACATCCAGAACTGGCCGATACGACCGCTCCTTTGTCCCGAGGGTGTCTAGATTGTGGAACAAACTACGGGAGGAAGTTTTTCCCAGTTCTACTAACCTTAGGCAGTTCACAAATCGTATTAACAAAATTTCTTTGGGATCATCATAGCAGTCGCGGTGTTCCGGCATTTAAACTTTGGCCTGCGCGGCTGTTTCGATATATAAAAAAAAAAAAAAAATTGTACATTTAACAAGTGATTTCTCAATTTTACTTTAAAGTTTTCTGGTCTTTTATCTCCGAGTACAATTTATTATATTCAATCAACCCTTGATAGAATACAGATTTGTAGCATATGTTATACTTGTTGGTCATTAAATGGAAGTCATCTTTATTTCTGGTATTATGTAAGTGATGGTCGACATTTGATGATGTGAAATTAGTTAGACTTGATGGAAATATATTATTTTTTACTTTATAAATGAATATCATTACAAGATATTTGATAAAAAATTTTACATTGAGCCATTTTAATTTGCTAAGCATTTGCCTAATTGCAGTATACTTATCTTTATTTAGTCTTATTCTCAAGCACTTATTTTGTAAAATTTTCAGTCTTTCAAAAATGGAATTATTTGCTAAATAGAGAATAGTCGGGCAGTACAAGAAATTTGGAAGAATGATGGTATTATAGATAATTTTTCTGCTATATGAACTCAGACATCCAGAAACTCTCGATAAATATCCCACTTTACTACTAATCTTATTTATAACTTTTTCATAATGAATATCAAAAATTAATCGAGAGTCAACAAAAACCCCCAGGTATTTAAAATTTTCTACGAATTCAATATCTTCAGCATCAATATTCAGTTGAACATTCGTACATTGCTTTTTTCCGATTAACAAGGCTTTCGTTTTACTTGTATTTAATTTTAGTCTGTTCGATGCTAACCATTTTGAGACAAGTTTCAAGTCTTCATTTATATAAGAGATACCAGTCTGAATATTTTTAGTACTTATATAAATCATAGTGTCATCGGCGAAAATCTGAATTTTGCATTTTTTGACTATGGCAGGTAAATCATTTATGTATAAAATGAAAAGAAGTGGTCCCAGGATACTGCCCTGTGGAACACCCAACGTATTTTCAATTTTTGCTATACCATATGCCTTCAATTTACCTAACAAAATATCTCTATCAATCGTTTCAAATGCCCTCTTCAAATCCAAAAATACTGCTATGACAACTTCTTCTGAGTCTATGGCTCTTCTCCAATTCTCAGTTACCAACTGGAAAGCCGTTTCTGTGGAATATTTTTTTCGAAAGCCTGCTTGCGCCTGCTCTAAAATTTTGTTTTCTTCTATAAACTGCATTAATTGGTCATTCACTATGGACTCTAATAATTTTTCAATGTCTGGTAACACATTTACTGGTCTCATATCGCTGCATCTTTTAGAATTTTTTATCTTGGGAACTGGTGTTATTGTAGAGCATTTCAAATTTTCAGGAAAAGAACTGCTTCTCAGTGAACAATTGATCCAATTTAATACAGGATATCCCAAAAGTTTTTCAGCACGTTTTTAGTAGTGATTTCGGCACAGTTGTTATTTGATTTTAAACTGTTTACTTTTTTTCTTAGATAATTCAACGATACGCTGTGAAATTTTGAAAGTACATGCAACATTTCATATGTGCTTAAAATTTGTCGGATAAGAGTTAGGGCTAAGTGGTAGAATAGCTTGTAGCTAAACTCCGCCCGAAATAAAAGTCGTTTATTATCATCATAAACAGGTGTGCGGTTACATCCCGCAAACGATCTTCCCCACCGATCCGGACGTGACTCAGAAGGCCGCCCAGCTGTCGACGTCTTTCTTTATCGAAACGTTCATCCACGCGAAAGAGAAACCCACCATGGTGCAGTGGGTGGAGTTGGTCACCAAACAGTTCAACGCCTGCCAGGAGGCGTGCGTCTGGTTTCTGGACCATATGGCGCAAGACACCTGGTGGCCTGTACAGGTAACCACCATTTCTCTTACTTGATCTTGATTTTTGCAGATGCGCATTTTGATGAATGTTATTGTCGAGTCAAAAAGACTGGAAATTATAAAATTATCGAGACATTATGTTTCAAATACGTTAAATATAAGCAGGTACCTCAAGGATCAGTATTAGGTCCGATCCTATAACAATGATTTGATAAACTTCAACATAAGTGGTAAATTCGTAGTTTTCGCTGACGGCACCACAATACTTTGGAGAGACAGAGTTATAATTATAATTGAGACAAACATTGAGAGTGATATACAGTGAAACCTACTTTGGACGGACACAACGGGACCGACTGAAAGTGTCTGTTCAAGAGGGGTGTCCCTATGAAAGAAATGCAACAAAAATTTTGTTTTTAGTGAAATTTATAATATAAAAGTTTTGCAATACAGCTTTATTTATTGACTTCGTTCAAATTAATTTCCGCCACATTTTTAATTTTTAAAAAAGTTTTACTAGACACAATTTTCAGTTTTTTGAATCGTTATGATATCCTCGTAACTGCAGGTTGAAGGTTATCCACACTTTACGCCACACCCTGTATATCTCATTGGTTTCAGGTCCTACTTAAGTGCCCGAACCAAATGGTGAGGCAGATATTCCAAAGGCTGTGCATTTTTTACGAGTTTTAAGGATTATTTAAAAAAGCAATTAAACCTGCAGCACGGAAATGGCAATTTATATTTAATGACACGTGTATCCAAGAATAGAATGAGAAAAAACCTTAATGTGTTATCACGAGACTTAAAACAGTGAGTGAAGGAATCAATTCCATCCAAATTTAAAAAACGCCAAAAAAGTTTTACTAGACATAATTTTTAATTTTTTGAATCGTTGTGATGTCCTCTAACTACAGGTTAAAGATTATCTACTCTTTACGCCACACCCTGTATATCTCATTGGTTTCAGGTCCTACTTAAGTGCCCGAACCAAATGGTGAGGCAGATATTCCAAAGGCTGTGTATTTTTTCCGAGTTTTAAGGATTTTTTAAAAAAGCAATTAAACTTGTAGCACGAAAATGGCAATTTATATTTAATGACACATATAACCAAGACTACTTATGTTAATAATAGAATGAGAAAAACCTTCATGTATTATCACGAGACTTAAAACAATGAGTGGAGGAACCACTTTCCTCTAAAAAGTTTTACTAGACACAATTTTTAATTTTTTGAATCGTTATGATGTCCTCTAATTGCAGGTTAAAGTTTATCCACACTTCACGCCACACCCTGTATATCTCATTGGTTTCAGGTCCTACTTAAGTGCCCGAACCAAATGGTGAGGCAGATATTAAAAAGGCTGTGCATTTTTTCCGAGATTTAAGGATTTTTTAAAAAAGCAATTAAACCTGGCACGGAAATGGCAATTTATATTTAATGACACTTGTATACAAGAATACTTATGTTGATAATAGAATGAGAAAAAACCTTCATGCGTTATCACGAGACTTAAAACAGTGAGTGAAGGAACCACTTTCCTCTAAAAAGTTTTACTAGACACAATTTTCAGTTTTTTGAATCGTTATGATATCCTCTAACTGCAGGTTAAAGGTTATCCACTCTTTACGCCACACCCTGTATATCTCATTGGTTTCAGGTCCTACTTAAGTGCCCGAACCAAATGGTGAGGCAGATATTCCAAAGGCTGTGCATTTTTTCCGAGTTTTAAGGATTTTTTAAAAAAGCAATTAAACCTGCAGCACGGAAATGGCAATTTATATTTAATGACACATGTATCCAAGAATACTTATGTTAACAATAGAACGAGAAAAAACCTTCATGTGTTATCGCGAGACTTAAAACAATGAGTGGAGGAACCAATTTCCTCCAAATTTGAACAACGCCAAAAAAGCTTTACTAGACGCAATTTTTAATTTTTCGAATCGTTATGATGTCCTCTAATTGCAGGTTAAAGGTTGTCCACACTTTACGCCACACCCTGTATATCTCATTGGTTTCAGGTCCTACTTAGGTGCCCGAACCAAATGGTGAGGCAGGTATTCCAAAGGCTGTGCATTTTTCCGAGTTTTAAGAATTTTTTAAAAAAGCAATCAAACCTGTAGCTCGAAAATGGCAATTTATATTTAATGACACATGTAACCAAGACTACTTATGTTAATAATAGAATGAGAAAAAACCTTCATGTGTTATCACGAGACTTAAAACAATGAGTGGAGGAACCAATTTCCTCCAAATTTGAACAACGCCAAAAAAGCTTTACTAGACGCAATTTTTAATTTTTCGAATCGTTATGATGTCCTCTAATTGCAGGTTAAAGGTTATCCACTCTTTACGCCACACCCTGTATATCTCGTTGGTTTCAGGTCCTACTTAAGAGCCCGAACCAAATGGTGAGGCAGATATTCCAAAGGCTGCGCATTTTTTCCGAGTTTTAAGGATTTTTTAAAAAAGCAATTAAACCTGCAGCACGGAAATGGCAATTTATATTTAATGACACATGTAACCAAGACTACTTATGTTAATAATAGAATGAGAAAAAACCTTCATGCGTTATCACGAGACTTAAAACAGTGAGTGAAGGAACCACTTTCCTCTAAAAAGTTTTACTAGACACAATTTTCAGTTTTTTGAATCGTTATGATATCCTCTAACTGCAGGTTAAAGGTTATCCACACTTCACGCCACACCCTGTATATCTCATTGGTTTCAGGTCCTACTTAAGTGCCCGAACCAAATGGTGAGGCAGATGTTCCAAAGGCTGTGCATTCATGTGATACAGCGACTGAAGCAGTCGCAAGCTAGTTTATACTTAGATTTAGAATCGACGGAGGCCGCCGCCGCGAGCAGTTCCGAGTCGAACGACAAGGAGGACAAGAAACAGACGGACGAGAAAATCGGCAGCGCGTCGTGCGTCACGAAATTCGTCAAAACTCTGCTGAGTCTCATGGAACACGGCGCGAAGGCGCATCTCAAGCATCTGACGGAGTATTTTGGGTTTTTGTACGAGTTCAGCAAGATGGGCGAGGAGGAGTCCAAGTTTCTCTTGGCCATAGGTGAGTTTAATCATCGGTTAACATTAGAAACATCTAGGTATATCGCAAAGTAAACAGGACATTAACAAAAGTTTTTTGTTTCGGAAAATCGAATTTATTTTATTCAAAGTTATCTTGTCACAATACCTTATAGTTCAAGATTGTTCAACAAGTGCGTTTTCGCTTTTTTTTTTTCTGGACAAACTGGGTAAAACTAAAGAATATTCCGAGGAGTTATTGGCCTTCATAAATCCCGCAAAAGTATTCGAGAAATTTCTAAACTTCAGAAGCTACCACTGTCATATCTGTGCACTACATTATTAAGAAATTTAAAGCTCGAAGCTGGACAGACAAGTACGGAAATGTTATCATACATCTCAAGAACACTTAGGAGAATAGTACGAATCATTTACCACCATTTGTCAGGTTGTGATTAAAAGTAAAGGATGGCATATTGATGAGTCAAAAATATGATTATTTTCCATCAGTTTCCTTGTTTTCTAGTAGTAGTAGAAAGATGTATTTAGCACATTTGGCTACATAAACAGAATAATTGTAAACAACTTAGAACTAGTAAATTCAAGCCATATGGTGTATGATGTAAATACTGGACAACCTATAATTGTAGATTTAACAAGTGATTTCTCAATTTTACTTTAAATTTTGTCAAAGTTTTCTGATCTTTTATCTCCGAGTATAATTTATTATACTCAATCAACCCTTGATGGAATACAGATTTGTAGCATATGTTATACCATTTGGTCATTAAATGGAAGTCATCTTTATTTCTGGTATTATGAAAATGATGGTCGACATTTGATGATGTTAAATTAGTTAGACTTGATGGAAATATGTTATTTTTTACTTTATAAATGAATATCATTACAAGATATTTGATAAAAATTTTTACATTGAGCCATTTTAATTTGCTAAGCATTTGCCTAATGTATCTTTATTTAGTATTATTCTCATGCAGTTATTTCGTAAAATTTGCAGTCTTTCAAAAATGGAATTATTTGCTAAATATAGAATAGTCGAACAGTACAAGAAATTTGGAAGAATGATGGTATTATAGATAATTTTTCTGCTATATGAACTTAGACATCCAGAAACTCTCGATAAATATCCCACTTTATTACTAATCTTATTTATAACTTTTTCATAATGAATATCAAAAATTAATCGAGAGTCAACAAAAACCCCCGGGTATTTAAAATTTTCTACGAATTCAATATCTTCACCATCAATATTCAGTTGAACATTTGTACATTGCTTTTTTCCGATTAACAAGGCTTTCGTTTTACTTGCATTTAATTTTAGTCTCTTAGATGCTAACCATTTTGAGAGAGATACCAGACTGAATATTTTTAGTACTTATATAAATCATAGTGGCATCGGCGAAAATCTGAATTTTGCATTTTTTGACTACGGCAGGTAAATCATTTATGTATAAAACAAAAAGAAGTGGTCCCAGGATACTGCCCTGTGGAACACCCAATGTATTTTCAATTTTTGATGAAATAGTGTCATTAACTTTTGTAACTTGCATCCTTTTCTGAGTCTATGGCTCTTCTCCAATTCTCAGTTACCAACTGGAAAGGTGTTTCTGTGGAATATTTTTTACGAAAGCCTGCTTACGCCTCCACTAAAATTTTGTTTTCTTCTATAAACTGCATTAATTGGTCATGCACTATGGACTAATAATTTTTAAATGTCTGGTAACACATTTACTGGTCTCATATCGCTGCATCTTTTAGAATTTTTCATTTTGGGAACTGGTGTTATTGTAGAGCATTTCAAATTTTCAGGAAAAGAATACTGCTTCTCAGTGAACAATTGATCCAATTTAATACAGGATATCCCAAAATTTCGAAACAGTTTTTCAGCACGTTTTTAGTAGTCATTTCGGCACAGTTGTTATTTGATTTTAAACTGTTTACTTTTTTTCTCAGATAATTCAATGATACGCTGTGAAATTTTGAAAGTGCACGGGTGTTCAAATACTTTTTAACGGTAGCGTACGCTTGATATTTTTCTTTCCGTTTGTATTTCATTCAAGTACGATCATTTGACAATTCATATGGTTGTTCAATTCGAAGGTGCAATCAACACGATGGTACATTTCTACTTGGGTCAGAAATCGAACGACTTCGTGGACGTCAGCGAAGGCGAGGAAGAAGAGGAGGTCGTCGCATTACCGACGGACAAATACAAACCGGCATCGTTGGACAAAATGGTCACTCTAGTCGCGTCGCTAGTGGAAAAAAGCCGCGATCCGAACACGAATAAGCTGCAACTGAGCGAGAAGGACTACGCCGCGGTGGCCGGCGGGAAGGGGTTCACCTTCCTGTATCAGCAGATCAAGGACAATATAAATCTGCAACAGACCAAGAACCTGATACACTCGTTGTGCAGGGGGAATAACCAGTTGGCGCAGTCTATTATTTGCATGATCTCGCAGGCTATCTCCAGGCATTCTGAGGTAAGACACAGAGCTCTGGTGGTGTCCATATTCCAAGACGAAATGCGACGGTTGTCTCTAAATTTGCCATTGGAAACGGAGATCTTTAGGCTATTTTTCTACATAGTCATCATTTACTCTGCGCATTTTTTTAGATGACAATACTTGAACACTGACAAATGTCAAGCAAACGTTAGAGGCATGTCTTTGTTATAAACAATTAGAATATTCTTGGAAACCATACAATATACAATGCTGAAACTTTTCATAATCTATTAGGGATTAATACCGAGCATTTTGCCTAATTTTTCAATTCGCTACAATTGTTTGACATTTGTCTATTGTGTTTTCGTTTTCTCGAGTTTATTTTCCAATATTTTAAACTCGCAAGAAATCTTAAATTTTTTTTTCTTCGCAACAAAAGGTGATAGACACATCCGCTTTGTTTTAAAATGTGTATAACAACGCACATTTTTCGAATATCGTAGCGATTCTGTTCAATTACTTACGACTACGAAACGTTTGAGTTTGTTTAGAAGAAAAAACGATTGAATCACAAAAAATGCGTTTTCTCATTCTTTATTGTCGGACAAACAGTTTTCCCACAAAAATTGCTGTACCCCTTGATCAACTTGCATCAATAAACCCAAACTTTACAATTATTTTGCTAATATGACTATAAAGTGCTGCGATATCATCGTTTCTGATTCATATATATTATCCAGAGCTGCCAACCGTTCTTCAAGATCCTCACGCTCTTGACCGAATCTCCGAACGCCCAAAGTGGCCCTAGCGCCTCCGCCCAACAGCCTTGTTTCACGCAGCTGGTGCTGCAAAAAGTTTGGGACGCCGCCGAGTGTTGCCCGTACTCTGCTTTGGATTGGCTGGCGTTGCAGGTGGTCAGGAACAGATTGGTGCACGCGTGGGTGCTCAATTCGATGGACTCGTGGCTGGAACACTTCCTCATCGCGCACAATAATCAGCGAGTCAGAAATAGTGAGTATGCAAAGCTAAGGACGGTAAAGATTTATGATTTGATCAATCAGATACGCGCGTTTTGAACTGTTATTAAAGGAAGTATTGTCAAAAATTCATAAAAGTTATTCCTAACATCTTTCTGTGTTCTGATGTACCCATGATTGAAACATAATAAAAAGCCTTTACAATGACCTGGCAGACAATCATTGATTCCAGGTTTGGAAGCATTGCGAGGCTTTGTTTGAAGAGTGGGAGGAATTGTGTGCTGTAAATTAGATGCTAGATATAAAAGGAGCATTTATGGATGTAAACACTTTCTGTGTATTAACATTAAATTATCTTTCCTCTAGCCGCCGGCTTCCTGTTGGTATCGCTGGTTCCGAGTCCTTCGTTCCGCCAGGGTTTTCGAGCCACGCACCGTTTGAACAGGGAACCGCAGCTGTCTCAAGACGCCCAAGCGATACTCCATCAGATCTACACGGCGCTGCTGCGTCTGTTGCCGGCCGCGAAGCATTATACGGACATGGCCCAACACGGCACCATGAAACTCACCACGTATTTTGCTCTCATGATGTATTGCTGCGTGACCAGGACCGAGAAACTGATGGTGAGCTTTTACGCTTCTTATTTACCATGCCAACAACACTGGTCAACACTGGTTTTGCCACACGAACTTTGACAGCTAGTTTTGTTTTATCAGTCTACCCTCATTATTACATGACAGCTGTCATATGTCTATTAGCCTCATATTTGTTGTGATACGGTAATACTCATAACTAGTACTACGGCAGTAAATTAACAGAAACGCTTACAAGTAAATCCTTATAAAAATATTTGTTGTTGAATTTGAACACTTTTTTGTGATTTATTAACCCTGTGAATATGTCGAGGAAGTGTAATAATGATCCTAACTCTTTTTGTTATGTCTGCGGAGAACTAACATTCAAAAAACAACGACGAAATTTTACGAATCTTGTGTTGGAGTGTTATCACCAATGTTTTGGTTTTTCTGTCGCCCATCAAGACAAATCCTGGGCCCCTCATGTCTGTTGCATAACGTGTGTGAAAAATTTAACTGACTGGAAGAAAGGTGCACGACCTATGCCGTTTGCTGTACCCATGATATGGACTGAACAGCGAGATCACGTTTCAGATTGCTATTTTTGTCTCACAGACATAAAAGGTATAAATTACAAGAAAAAAACCACAGTTATTTACCCTAACTTATCTTCGGCTATAAGACCAGTCTCTCATTGTAAAAAATTGCCAGAACTAATACCAGTTGCAACTACGTCTGTTGAGAACAATTCACAACCGTCCACTTCAGGTGAATGTGTTGACGAGGACGATGACTTTGAGTTAAAAGGAATTGTAAACGAGCCACATTTGATAACTCATGGAGACCTAAATGATTTGGTTCGGGATTTAAATTTGTCAAAAAAGCAGTCAGAACTATTAGGATCACGTCTAAAAGAATGGAATTTGCTACATCATAATACAAAAGTTAGCTATTTTCGAAACCGTGATCAACACTTCAGAACGTATTTTTCTCAGGATGGAGATTTGGTGTTTTGCAATAACATAAATGAGATTATGAAAATGTTGGACATAGACTTTGATCTCTCTCAATGGCGTTTATTCATTGATTCTTCGAAAGCAAGTCTAAAAGCAGTGTTATTAGATAATGGAAATAAGCTTCCGTCTGTACCTCTGGCCCATGCTGCAAATATGAAAGAAACCTATGAAAATATGAAACTTTTACTTGAAAAAATAAATTACAGTACATATTCCTTCAAAATCTGCGGTGATCTTAAAGTTGTTGCACTATTACTTGGACTTCAGCTGGGTTATACAAAGTTTTGCTGCTTTTTATGTGAATGGGATAGCCGAGTCAGAACTAATCACTATATAAAAAAACATGGTCTACGCGTGCATCGTTAGTTCCTGGGCAAAAAAACGTAAAGTATTTACCCCTTGTACAGCCAAATAATGTGCTTCTACCACCATTGCATATCAAATTAGGATTAATAAAAAAATTTGTGAAGGCAATGGATCGCAATGGGAGTGGATTTTTGTATCGAAAAGAAAAATTCCCTAAAATAAGTGATGCAAAGATAAAAGAGGGTATTTTTGTTGGCCCTCAAATTAGGGAGTTAATAAAAGATTTAAGATTTGAAGAAAAATTAAGCGATTTAGAAACATCTGCATGGAAGGCTTTTAAAAATGTTGTTTCAAATTTTTTGGGTAACCACAAGGAGTGACAGCTACAGAGAGTTGGTTAGCGAGCTATTATTGTCATATCAAGCATTGGGTTGCAACATGTCAATTAAGATCCATTTTTTAGACTCGCACCTGGATTTTTTTCCTGACAATTTAGGGGCTGTCAGCGACGAGCACGGTGAGAGGTTCCATCAGGACATTTCTAATATGGAAAAGCGGTACCAGGGCAAATGGAGCCCAAATATGTTAGCAGATTACTGCTGGACAATTAAAAGGGACCAACCAGAAGCTAAATATTCAAGAAAATCTTAGATTATTAAGTCATTTATAAAAAAAATAACTTTTGATTTACAAGATCTGTGTTGTTTCTTAATATTTTAAATTACTCAATAGAATAAAATCCTTGTCTAGCAAATTTTTTTAACTGTTTATTTTTTCTTACAATCACCAATTAAAGTAAAAATATCAAAAAAGTCCGTGTGGCACGACAAAGTTAAAATTTTGTTGACCAGTGTTATCTATAATACCGTCATTCTTCCAAATTTCTTGTACCGTTCGACTATTCTATATTTAGCAAATAATTCCTTTTTTGAAAGACTGCAATTTTACAAAATAAGTGCATGAGAATAATACTAAATAAAGATAAATATACTCCAATTAGGCAAATGCTTAGCAAATTAAAATGGCTCAATGTAAAAATGTTTATCAAATATCTTGTAATGATATTCATTTATAAAGTAAAAAATAATATACTTCCATCAAGTCTAACTAATTTAACATCATCAAATGTCGACCATCATTTACATAATACCAGAAATAAAGATGACTTGCATTTAATGACGAAAAAGTACAACATATGCTACAAATCTGTATTCCATCAAGGGTTGATTGAATATAATAAATTATACTCGGAGATAAAAGACCAGAAAACTTTGACAAAATTTAAAGTAAAATTGAGAAATCACTTGTTAAATGTACAATTATAGGTTGCCCAGCATTTACATCATACACCATATGGCTTGAATTTACTAGTTCTAAGTTGTTTACAATTATTCTGTTTATGTAGCCAAATGTGCTAAATAAATCTTTCTACTACCACTACTACTATAGATAAGGGATCTGCAGTTACCAATCTATTTATTATTATGCAATATATTTCAGAAGTCGTGGACGAACAAGGGCAGGCAGATTTTATTTACATTGATTTCTCGAAAGCTTTTGACAAAGTTTGTCAAAGCTGTCTAGTTATGTTTTTTTTATAAACTTGCACTTTTCAAATCATACCTGTCAGATAGGTTGTTTCATGTCATGGTTACAAGTCAACCCCCATTTCAGATTACGTGGTGTTCCACAAGGTTCAAACTTGGAGCCTTTACTATTCATTCTGCATATTAACGATCTTTTAGCAAGATTTTATTTTTGCGAATAATGGAAACATTTTTTCAATAATCAATAAAGTCGAAGACTGTCACTCTCTTCAAAATAACTTGGTTGTCATTGAAAACTGGTGTAATTAGAATAAACTTTTTCTCAATGCCCAAAAATGTAAAGTATATAGTAGAAGAAACACTGTTACTAATTTCAACTATAAGGTCAATAATTGTGAAATGCAACCACTTTCAAAGATCTAGGGATAATTTGTGAATTTAAGTTAACGCTTGGGAAACATTTTCCATTTTATCGGTAGCATTCTGGTTGTCATTTTTGAACGTCCAGACACAGCATAAGGAGAATACGTTAACCAATGGTGGGACAAACGTTTTGAAAATAACACCGTAAATGTTACGTTCTATTGTATTTCAGTTGTACATTTAACAAACCGCTTTATCGATTTATCTTTTTTGTAGTTTGGTCAGTATTTCCAGCAGCTGTGGCACCTGTTTCATCCGAAGCTGTCGGAGCCGTCAATACCAGCATATCATAACAAACAGGCGCTGCTAGCGTACTGGAACCACGTCTGCACCGATTGCCCAGAGAATGTTCAGCTTATGCTACAGAACGCGTACGTCACGAAGAACATAGCATTTAACTACATACTGTAAGTGTAACATCTCTAACGTGTTAATGTTAACGAATTTAATTTTTTAATGTTTCGTGACCTCTAGGATCCATGCTCTTCAGTTCCGTCGGTCTATTGACTTTGCAGCTGCGTAAAGACAAAAATGCATTTTTTATCCGTACTTTTTTCTAGAGCTGATCACGATGACCAAGAGGTGGTGATGTACAATAGAGCGATGTTGCCGGCGTACTACGGTCTGCTGAGGATGATGTGTCAACAGTCGAGAGCGTTCACGAGAAGCCTGGCGCAACATCAAAACTTGCAGTGGGCATTCAAAAATATCACGCCGCACCCGAACCAGTATCCGCAGGTAAGTGATCGATTTTATTATTTTTCGGGCTTCTGCGCCCTAAGTAACACAATGATGATTAACTCTATTATGTCTAAAAATGTATATTATAGGTACTGCAAGGTGCATCGGTCATTCCTCTGCCTAGCGCAGCTTTTCCGGTGAATTATTTTACTTGCAATACCTAACAAATTTTTTGGGATAAACAAGAAAAAAGGAAATTCTACGATAAACAAATCGATAATAACAAGTGCGACAGTGTAAAGATGTGGAAGACTTTGAAAAGACTGATCATTTTTTTTTTCAGGCTGTCGAAGAACTGTTCAAGCTGATGCAGCTGATGGTGTTGAAACATCCGGACGCGACCGAGGCAGAACAAAGGGAAATCTATAACTTTAGGAAAACTACGTTGATGACTTATATACAGTGCCTCGATGGCAGGACCAGTTGGGGCACTCTAATTTCTGCATTTAGGGTATTATTGGAGACGAGCGATGATAAATTGTACGTTGTATATAATGGAGGATTGCAAATTGTGTTCGAGGTAAGGACGATTATGTGTATTTGTTCATGCTAGCCACATTTTCGTTAACTCATAAGTATATTACTGCGGGACTCCGTAGATGACTCAGAACACTTGCTGTCTCTACGTAGAATGAAATCATAACATCTTGTAGATTCCAAGTTTGTAAAGCCTATAATTTGAAAAGTACACGACTTCTTATATATATTCTTCTGATAACCCCGTTGTGTTTTTTAGTGTTTTCAAAACCTGCACGTGATGCTACACGAGGCGACAGCGTGTCACGTTTTGGGCGATATGCTCGACATTTTGACCATCATGCAAGATTTGCTGCAGTGCGTTCGAATGTTTAGAGACAGCAAAGACGCCAGGGGCATCGTTCTGGCGACGAAAGACTGGCTAGAAGTGCTGAGGAAGCTGGCCACCTTGCTCAACACTTACAATCCTCCCGAAATGAGGACCCTGTGTATAGGTATGATTTAGAAGACGAATTACTTAAAAAATATAATAAGAATATTTTTTGCAGAAGTACTGAAGGAACTGGTGGTGACGGTGGTGCCGGAAGCGATGCAATTGTTGGCGCCGCTGCTGACGCACTGCCATGCTGCCGTGCAAGACGGCAGGGACGCGGCGCCCTTGGGACCCTACTTCCCTAGAAGGGGCTGTTCGGCCCCTTCGATGGCCGCGGCGGCGGCGAAAGGGGCCGGCAGGCCGTTGAGGCCCATGGTGCAGATGGCGGTGCCGCATGGACAACTCGAATGTAGCAGGGTAAGAATTTTCTTCAACAAAGTCGCACGTAAAATTAACGTTTTCTAAGTGCCGAGCGCAAATTACAACTTTGCCGATCCAAAGCGACAAAGCAGCAAAAACGCTCGCTAATGGTTGCTAGCGGAGAATGGTTTCTAACAGCTTTTTCAATCAGTGATTTGACTTTTTTTAATTTCGTTGGTAATGTGAGCTTTCTATGTTAAATTATGCTTTATTATAACTACTAGGTCTTTCTGGTACTGTACATGTTTAGTTTCTATTTTTTCGGTATCATTCGTGAAACTAACACTCCCGAAGCGCCACTGGAATCCAGAATTATCTTTTAACTAGCTGTACATCTTATTGCAGTAAATAATACTGCCAAAATTCAACATAATCGACACAAAGATCTTTGAGTGGATTCCACGTCAAAAAAGATGAGTAGAAAAAATGGCGACTATATAGAAAAATAGCTTGAAGATCAACGTTAAATTCGTTTTTTCCTTGTGCCTGAAAAAAATGTGGGGGCCCTATTTTTGAGATAAGCCTTGTACATAAATTAGGTTCAAGAAGGCACCTATCATTAAGTAAGACCCTGTTTAATATGCAACTATATAAACCACTTAAAATATATTTTTTTTCCAGGGCGTGGATCCCGAATACGACTTAGCCTTAGATAAGTTTTATACTCCATATCATGATTTCATCGACGTGATGTTTAGATTAGCTGTAAATAATGATTCTGTTCCTGAAGTACTGATAAATTTAAGCGCCGTGTTGGGTTTCGAAGCGGTACCCTTACATTCCACGTACTTCCCGAAACTATGGCTGGACGTATACAAAGCTCAGGTAGAGTATTTTTTCTTTCATTTACAATACGACTAATATCTCACTTTCATTTCTTTAGAGCTGTTTTTTTAGTTTGTGGTTTATTCATACACACTGTTTCATATGACATCTAAAGGAGTATTATTTTTGTAGCTATGGAAACTATACGTGAACATCTAGCAGCATTAGGAAGAAGCATTATTCATGAAATACTCTCTCACTAAATACCAACATACTTTTGCAAAACATAATTTGATTTGATTTGTTTTTACCTACTGGCAGAGGAAGGATTTTAATCGCGAAGGTTTTGAAAATTTTTGGATGTTCGTTGAAAATTCTGAAAATTCGAAATCTTAGGAATACTTACGAGCGGTGATATTTCCTCGATTTGCGAATAAACTTTAAAAAGAAACCGGTGTCTTGGTTTTATTACTATTATTATATCATTATTTCCGCGATTTTACTTGACAATATGACATTGCTTAAACCTACGATTTGAGTTTCGTCAAGACTTTAAGAATCGGTCGCAGGCTGCTTCAAATCTCGCTTACTTTAGTCGTTTCTTTTTTTTCTCAGAATATCGATAGGAAATATATCAACCAGCTGACATCTTGTAATTATTTCGTCGACTACGTGGATGCAATTTTGTTGGATGAAAGGGCGGCGTTGACTGTTGACATCATCTATGAATTCCTCACTGTGTTCTTTCCAAAGGTGAGTCATTGACAATTTATTTTAGTCTTAATAAATTTGCATGGAAAACACCTAATTGAACCAGTATCGGCTCTAACGCACATGTTCTGAATACCATTTAATGTCTGGAAAATCAGGAAGATCTTGTTCACCTGCCCCAACATATTTTGCATTAACATTATAGCCATAAATTTCCATACTTCAGCTAATACATTTCCTGCAAATTCGAACTTAGATCTTTATAAATGTCCATCAGTTGTAACGCCACGTTCATCCAAATGAGACCCGAAATGGTCATGAGGCAATATTAAACCAGCCAGTTCCCGACTAAGAGGAGCCATTCTGCGCTCTACTCTGTTATACGCACTTCTTCCAGGAGCATTGGTAGCTAAAAACAATGCATCGAGATCATGTCGCTTAAAGTGTTTTATAGCAAACCCTATGACTTTTTGATAACGTGGATTTTCATCTGGCCCTCCATCAACCGTCATGATTACCACTGGTTTTACGAGTCCATGGTCAGTTTTAGCTAATGGTCGAAACTCAAGTTCGAGAAGCGTCTCGAAATCCTGAGCATGAGTATTAGCAGTAGATGAACTATGCTTTCCACTTCGAATAGCGATGTATGTTGGTCCAGAATATCCAACGGCTTGCGGTTGTCCTAGCATATTGGAAGTGATTTTGATACCAGCATAAACAGATGGTATTAATTTATGACGCTCAGCGATTACCCAATCGTGATCAGGCAATTTGATTCTATATTCCATGTGAATTAGAAGAGGTGCTTGCTTATTTGCCGCAGTTACGCCAATAGGGACTCGAGCTTTATCATCTTGAGATATGAAAAATACTTGATCTGGTCCAAGTATGGATGCTATGTTCTCTAAATAATGGATTGATGTTTCAGCGAACTTGCTATCTAAGTGGCTCTTGTGGTGATCAGTTTGAGCCCGAATGAGCTTAACAGGGACTGTCGATACATGTCTTCGTCCCTCTGCAGAATTAGATTTTCTGGGAATCAAACGAAGATATGTCCCACTGCGACTAATGTCAAATCCTATTTTACGTAATTCTTGTGCGAGTTCATCAAGAGTTTTTACGCTGCGAAATGGTTCCGTTCGTCTTCTATCATCTGCTGCACTCCCAAATAAAGCTATATCTACGTATATTGTTTTCAATAGTGAATGTTAATTGCTTTCAAGATTAAGATGCCCCACTGAATCCCTCAGAGATAGTCTTTTTTATTTCTGGATTTTCATGACAAATATCTTCTTTCTTTTCATACCATCCCTGTGTTTCTTCTGGGCAACTGCGTTTTGAACTTTCCTGCTTAAAGACTGTTTTGCTGTTTTTATTTCCTCGCGCAACTTAATGATCTGTTTATCATGTTCAGCACGGCTTGGCAGAATACAAAGCATTCAGATTTTTTTCGAGTAGAGCAATCTTATTTTTCATAGGTTCCTGAGAAGCTTTTGCTCTCTGTTTATCTGTATTTTCATTAATTTCGCATTACTGTTGTGATTCATTACCGGGTTTTATTTTATCTTGTTCCTCTTTTTTAATATTTGAAGCTGACTGTATAATTTGTGTTTTTTCTGCAGGTTTACAGGTTGCCTAAAAATAAAAACTTTCTGTGACTTCTGCTAAAGATTTTCTTATTAAGCTACATAAATACAAAGTATGGCAATATATATGGTAAATACAAAACCCTATGGCTTTAAATCTAATATGTTTAAACGAGCAATTCGTTCCGGTCACAAAATACAGGGTGTTAGTTTTCTGTATATATGTATAAATCTAACATCCTGTACTTTGTGACCAATTGACGGAATCAATCATAAGAAATAAATCTATAATATAATGAATATTACCTCTATACTTTGAGATAGGCCATATTATTTTCTAATCAGTAAAGAGAAACTTTTTGGCGACTTCTAATATTTCTAGTACTCATAGGTACCTAAAATGATTTCGTTACTCACCTTAGGAAAAAAATTTAGTAGATTGGATTTATTCTTAGTCGCCGCTTGCAATTCTTCTTCGATTCTCTTAGATACAATAATATCTAGTTCCTTGTCGGATTTTGCTTGTAATTTGTAATTTCGCCACACTTCGTTAACTAACTTTTGTACATTTTGTACTTTCGTACTTGTATGAGATTTTTTAAAACTTTCAAACAATTTTTGGTATTACTTGGATTTGTCTATGTGAAACGACACCTTATTTAAACATTAAACTTTATCTAATGGAATCAATGGTAACACAAATGTTAACTTGCTTTACTATGCTTACAATACGTCTACTCGCTATAGTATCCAAATGAAACAATACACTGATAGAGGAAATTTAGACAAGTGAACACCGCGCGGTAATTCCCCTACTCGGTTCTAAAGCGAGTAGGGGAATTACCGCGCGCTGTTCACTAAACGTATGCATTATTTGCGGGGAATCCCCGAAAATGCGTTTCGTTTTCAAGCAAAGACAATGTGAGGGTTGCCATTCGTGTAAAAAAATTAATAACTACCGATGACGTAATCATCATCTAGACTCCCCTACCCCCCATGTCATCCAAAATAAGCAAAGCAAAGACCCCCACGTAATACTTGAACGGCCCCTTAAGGGAAAAAATGGACATATGATTCTGTAAAGTTTGCCATTTGACTCCATTTGTCTGGAACGTGCTTTCTCGTATTATTTCGATTTTCGTGAGAAACAAACTTATAGAAATGTATAGAACTGATGTATTAAACTAGAGGAGCGTTTGAATGTTTGATAAAAATTTGAAGAGGATCCACTGTCCCACCTAAAATATTCAATGATGATTATCAAACTGTTAACACCTAAACGATGACGATTTTTTTCAGGTATCTTCCCACGTGCTCTCAGAACAAACCCTAACGATGATCGACAACACCGTGGTGTCTTTGAGCGAGCAAGTCGGTTCCTTGGACGTGTTGAAACTGGCTCGACGGCTGTCCGGGGATCTGCGAGCCCTCATCCTTGTGTACAAAAGCCCCGAGGCTGTGCCTCCGCCGCTACTCAAGACGACCTTGAAGCAGCTACAAACGAGGCTGAGAGCGGAAAAGGTCAAGCTGACACCCAAGGAAGGTAAGGCGCAAGCATTCTAGCATTTCTAATGTCAACCTGTTTGTTGAAATTTCTAGATCGCAACGTTGTCATACGGGTGGAGGCTAGAAACTACAGCAGACGCTCGATAATGTAAACTCATTTAATCCAAGTGTGGTTCACATTATCGAAATGTTTACATTAGCGAACGTGATTTATATAATATTTGATTTATTAAAAGAAACGTTTAATACATACTATTTATAACAAAATAAACAAATATTCTAACAGCGTTAAGTATTTTTTTAATTAGAAGAAAAATAATTAACAATTTTTGTCTGCGTAAATTTACGCTTAGCATTGTCTTCCAATGCCTGCGCCAGTAATTTACGGAGGACTAAAATATCCGTGTATGAAACTTCTTTTCTTTCAGCCCAATCTAAAGCTTGGTTAAAAACTTGTATAGCTTGCGCGTCAGTCACTACACTTCTGACTTCAATGGGATCGTTCTCATCATCCTCACTGTCCATATCCTCCTCCTTATCAGCATCTATTCGTCTACTTATCTTCGTTCCATAAATTAATATCAGCAGGAGTACAAACAATGTTGGAATTCACTGTTTTCAATAAATCAACAACATCCAATGACACACTAATAACATTATCATTATTGGATCGCAAACGTTCTCTAATTACGCTTAAGGGGACATCGTCTTCTTCATCATCTTCATTATTGGTACAAAAGAGATTGTTCCAACATTTTTGAATAGTTTGCTGGTTAAGTTCATTCCAGGCCATATGTAAATCTAAAACAGCTTCTCGTAATGTTACTTTTTTAGAGCCTCAGATAAGTTTTCAGGATTCTTTGATAAGACAGACGAAAGTAGAAACTTCCCATAGTATAGTTTGGTGAGTCTTATTATATTCTGGTCCATCGGTTGAATTAACGGTTTTACGTTGGGCGGCATGTACATGACGAAAATTGACCCATCCCTGCTCCTCAGTTGTTGCTCGGGAGGATGACTTGGTGCATTATCCAATAGTAACAACGCTTTTATTGAAAGCTTCTGTTGTTTTAGGAAACCTTTTACCTACAAATTGAAAACACATCTTCAAATTATGAATAGAGCATTTGTGATAATTGATTGTCATACCTGAGGGAGCACCTGTGGAACCATTTCAGGAATATACTGCTAGTCATCCAAGCGGTTTTTGAACAGTCATAATCAACAGGGATATTAACATTTTTAAATGAGCGCGGATTTTTTGCTTTCCCAATTACCAGTGGCTTTATTGTTTCGTTGTTTCTCCGGCTTTCTTCCCGGGGCAGATTTTTCAAATGATGCAGCATAGGTTTTCTCTGGTAACATTTTCCAATAAAGGCCACTTTCATCTGCGTTGTAAATTTGTTCCATTCCTAAATCTAGCTCGGTAATTGTTTTCATCAATTTTTCTTTGAATGGTTGCACTAATTGTGGTTGTGCTGATAATTTTTCACCAGATATAGACAGCAGTCGAATTCCATAACTTGTTTTGAATCGTTATAGCCAGCCATCACTAGCTACGAAATTTTCAGTTTCTTTCAGTTTTTCAGTCTCGCTTTCTGTTTAAGTACTTCGCCACTGACTGGGACATGATTTTCCCGTTGTTTTAAAAACCACGTATACAGGGGATTTTCTATTTTAGGTGCCTTCGCATTTTTTAAAGTTTTTCTTTTTCCCGGACCTCCAAATGTATTGCACGTTCTTTGTAAAATTTGAGTTTTCATACGCTTAATTTTACAGATTGTTGCTTTCGATACTCCATATTTTTTTGCAAACTGTGTCACTCCCGCACCTAGTGCAACTTCGTCTATGACTTTCACTTTCTCACTCAACTTTAAACACTTTCTTTTATAGTATGTGGATGCCATAGTCGTAAAATATATTAACGCGTGCAATGTATTCACTTAAGTTCAAAAATGAAATACATACGTACGTATAAACGTATCCTAAACGATCATACGACTGACCGAATTTGTCGTATTTTATCATAAATCGGGGACTCCCCGACGCCCGACATAAATCATCGAGGCTTCAGCATTTTACCGTCGCGCTGTTTCCGTGCGCCGAGAGTTGTTTACGTTATCGAGCGTACACATTGTTTACGTTATCGCGCGTTCCGTTTGATCCCATAGAACGAAGTTTGTGCTTACATTAGCGCAAGTTTTCATTATCCCGTGTTTACGTTATCGAGCGTCTGCTGTAATTGTATGAGCCTGTTTGACTTATTTATTGTTTTTTTTTTGTAAATGTACTTGACGCCTTTCTTGTTTTCAGAACCAGCGAAAAAAGGTAATAGCGGCGGCACCGGTAAGAAGGAATCGAGGCCGGAAGATGAAGCTAGTTCATCGTCGAAAAGCGATGATTGTGTAAATAAGAAGCAAGATTCCGCGAAAAGCGATAGCGATTCCGAGATGCAGACCTCGCCAGCGAAGTCGGAAGAAGCTAAAGAACCGCCGTCTCCCGGTCCGCTGGACGACTTGGAGTTGTTGGACAAGACTATAAACGAGCTTATCGAGATCGTTGAAAAGGATCATTGATGATGAAACCAAAGTCTGTGCTTTGTACATTTTTTTACGTAAGCGTTCGGAGTTTATTTGTATCGGTTTTTCTATATAACTTATTGTACATTGAAGCTTTAAAATGATTAACTGATGTTGAAGCTTATTTGTAAGTCAGGGTTTTTGTATATCATGTTAGTTGCATATTTCTTTCAAATCTGAAAATTTGCAATAAAAATAGAGGATGTTGATTTGCTTGTAATGTTTGATTTCTTCAAAAGACTGTTAAGAATAAAGTATTTCTTTTTTATTCTGGCTTTTATTTGCGCAGTCTAAGGGGCACTGTGACAGAAAACAGAGTAAATACATGCTACCGAGAATCGAAAATAAAACATTATACAGGGTGACTTGTAATGTCACGTATTCCTGTTAAGGGGTGATCGCTATGGCGAGGTCCTGGCGGATCTTCTGCGTCTGCCATGATGATAAAGAAACCACTCGAAATGAACTGGGAAACTCGAAAATAATAATCGTGCGTAAAACGTGTGCGCGTACGCACTACGCTACTACAATGATGAATAATAACAGCTCTCACTCTCTCACTCCTCCACTAATTCAGCTCTTCTCGCTCGCTTCCGCGTCGAGTCGATGCCATAAAACAATCATGGCATGCGAGTCCTTTGAGGACAGTAACGACTTGTTCAAACAGGTAATACAAATTCCCTTAAAATCCAGCCTCTGTGGGTGTCATTGTTGTTTCTCTGCATGTACTTCAGATAATCACTGGACAACAAATTTTAGTTTTTTAATTGTATCTTGTGGGAAAAGTGCACTTATTTGTTAATTTTGGGGCACTGAATCCAAAAATGACAATGAAATAAAAAAATTAGTTGCGGTTTAGAAAAAAAAACTTTATTTTTAAGGATATATTAAAAAAAGTAACAAGAATCATATACTTATAAGAATCACTATATGCGCTGTCTTTTTGCTGTTATTTTATGGATCGTTTCTGGAGCATCTCTACCAAGAGTCCAACAGTAGTCTGCAAGCATGGAAGGATTCCACTTTCCCTGGTACCTTTTTTCCATTGTTGAAATATCCTGATGAAAACGTTCGCCGTGCTCATCACTTACGGCTCCGCAATTGTCCGGAAAAAAGTCCAGGTGTGAGTGTAGGAAATGTATCTTAAGAGACATATTACAGCCCATCTTTTGATACGATGACAGCATATTTTTGACAAGGGTTTTACAGTTGTCAGCTTTTCTATTTCCCAAGAAATTAGTGACCACCAGACGGAGATCATTCCAAGCAGTTTTTTCAATACCTGTTAAAGTGTTTCCAAACTGTGTATCTTTCAAAATATTTCGAATCTGTGGCCCAACAAAAATACCTTCTTTAACCTTTGCCTCACTTAGTCTTGGAAATTTCTGACGCAGGTATTGAAAAGCTGACCCATCTCTATCTAATGCCTAAGTTTTTCATTAGGCCCAACTTGACATGCAGAGGTGGTAATAAAAATATTTTCGAATCTACTAATGGCATATGCTGTACATTTTTTTGACCTGGCTCTAGGAATTGACGAACAGGCCAGTTTTGTCTGGTGTAATGAAGTGCCTTTGCCCGACTGTCCCATTCACACAAAAAACAGCAAAACTTTGTGTAGCCTAGCTGCAGCCCAAGTAAAAGTGTAACAACTTTCAAATCGCCACAAATATGCCATTGGTGCTCATCGTATTTTATGCATGTCTATAGGTATTTCATATTGTCATATGATTCTTTCATGTGAACTGCATACCCTACAGGAAGAGATGGTAAAATATTTCCAATATGCAATAACACTGCCTTTAAACTCAATGTTGAACTGTCTATAAACAATCTCCATTCTTCTGGGTTATAGTTTATATTTAAAGCCGCCAGTAAGCCGTTAATGTTACTGCAGAAAACCAAGTTATTCTCCATATTGAAAAATGGTTCTAAGTCTTTGTGGCGTTTACGAAAAACACATACCGAAACATCGTCTTCTAACAAGTTCCACTGCTGCAGTCTTGATCGAAGTAACTCTGCCTTACATTCAGGAAGTTCTAAATCTCTTACAAGATCATTTAATTCTGACTGTGTTATTTTGTGCGGTTGGTGGCATGACGTGCTCGGTATAAAATCAGGATCTCTTGACGTTGATGGCGTATCTTCTTCCTGACGAATCACTCGATCGCCATGATCTGATTCGTTTTCTGATTCGCAAGTGTAGGATTCTGGGGGTTTTGGAATAGGATTTTCGTCACTGTGAGGCACAGGTCTCATCGCAGATGGTATGTTTGGGTAGTTAATAACCGAGATTTTTTTCTTGGACATACCTGTGGCTTGTCCAACACAAGGTACCATGCAAAAGTAACAATCATTAATATGATTTGTAGGCTCTCTCCAAACCATTGGGACAGCAAAGCGCATAGACCGTTTTTTGCTGTTTAACCAGCTCCTCAGACTTGAAGCACATGAATTACAGCAGATGTGGGGTGCCCACTGATTGTCTTGATCACCTAGTTTACAACCGAAATAAAGCTGATATGCCTTTGTTATTAGTGGTCTCTGAAACGCAAAAGTCACATCACCACACACGTAACAAAACTGATCTGGATTGTTTACACACTTTCGAGACATCTTGCATGAACGCTGTCAGCCAACTGAGGAACAACATCTTTCCTTGCCGAATATAAAAATGTAGCACGTGCATTCTTGTGAATTACAGTATATTAACACTGTCACAGCAGGAACACATAGAATTACCATATCTCTAAAACTTGAACTAATATTGAAAAAATAAGTTTCATTCCGGTTTTAGCACATTAAAAGTAGTAATATTTTGTTGATTTTATCGAATAAGTTAGTAGAAAAATAAGAAAATCATACATTTCAAAAGCGTAATTTTAAAACTTTTGTAAGTTTTCATCATTTTATTACTTATTATGAACTATTGGAATGTCCGCTATGCGACGATAACAAAAAACCCAAAAATCAAACATGTAGTTTTTTGTATTTCAAATTTAACCGTCTGAAATCGGAATCAAAAATAAAATTAAAATAACTCAAAAACGGATAACTTCTGGATAGGACATTATAGGACAAAATCGGTTGCTTTTGACCTACTATCACCCCTCAACAGAAATACGTGACATTACAAGTCGCCCTGTATGTATGGTGTATCTGAAGTCACTTGAAATAGCACAAAAACCTTTGGTCGGCGCGTCCTTTGTAATTTCATGACGTATCATAGGCGTGCGGCATTTATTTAGAACGATAATAATAATGTTTTTATATCACAATAAATGGATTTTACTATCTTCTTATTTTTTTGATTTGGGATAAAAAATACTTATATTGGGAGTTTAATTTATGTTGACTGAAAGTTAAGAAATGGAAAAATTACAGAATTCCAACGTTTGACATAGGCAAATATTTACATAGCAGGTAGGTATATAAAAAGGTATATAAAGACTTACATTATAGGTATTTATATATCATCCTCGCCTTCGGAGCTGTCGCTAGAGTCATCTTGTAGAGGAATTACAACCGGATTTACAGGAGGCAAAACACAATATTCATTTTCTTTTTCAATAATATGCCTAGAACACTGCTTCTATAGGTCTGTGGCAGCAATATGAGATACTGCATCTCTTATTGTGGCAAATAGCGATTCACTTAATTGAGGGGTCTGATTATGTTTTCGTACTTTTTTTTTAAAGCAGCCCAGACCAACTCAATCGGGTTAAAAATGCAGTAATAGGGAGGTAGACGTAATACTTCATGGCCATTTTGCTGAAGCAGATTGTCAACAACATACTCTTTTTCAAATTTTTGTCTTTTAATAAGATCCAATAATATGGCTTTGGTTGATTTTTGTGGTATTTCCATTCCCTTATCCTTCATAAAATCAATAATGTCTTGTTTTTTGTGCCTGTATTCGGAATTTTGTTTTTCTGTCGGGAATGGTCTGGCGCATTGTCCATAATAATCACTGAATTTGGGGAAATGTTTGGTATTAACTGCTGCTCTATCCACTTTTCAAATAAGTCGGAGGTCATGTCCTCATGATAGTCGGAACATGATTCTTTGATATTTTTGGCAGATAACAGCAAGGCATTAGGTATAAATCAATTTTCACTGCCAGCATGGAGAATAATGATTCGTTTTCCACGGTTGCATGGTGCATTTAAAATGCACTTGTTGCTGTCGTCAACCCAGCCGTACTGCACAACATCATGGGTATCATACCACGTTTCATCCAGGTAAATCAGATTTCTTTTCTGCTCTCTATAGATTTTAACTTTGTGCAAAAATTCTTGGCGCAATTCAACGATTCGAGACGACTCCATAATCACCATTCTTTTATCTAATTTTTTGTATTGAAAACCACACAGTTTTACAATACAGTGCAGTGAGTCTAAGCATTTGTAATTATAAAAATCTTCAGGATAATCTTTTAATTTATCCCGTATCATTTCCAACGTGGGCACCAAATTTTCTTTATAAAATCCGTATATTATACGACGAATATCTTCCTGAAAACCCACGTCTATTCTTTTTAATTTTTGCCCTATGCGCTTTCTGTGGAAGGAATGGTTGACTACATCTCCCCTTTTTATAACCCGATAAATGGTAGACCGACTGATTTTTGTCAGGATACAAATTCTGTTTAAAATTTGATTTTGCGAGGAATCTGGATTTTCGTTTTTCAGACAATCATACATATTTAGGATTACTCTTTGGGTCTGTTCCTCTAAATCTTTATGAAAGAATTCTGCCTGCACAGGTTCATCAACCATCTCCTCGTGGCTTGGAGCATTTTCCCAAGGTCTCCAAAGAGCCATATTTAGGACACACAAGAACAATCAACACAACAATTAAATCAACAAGTAAAAGTCAAAAACACACAAACTAATAAAATCTATGAAAAAACACGGACAGACTAAAGAAAACACGTTTATTCACCGCTACACGGCACTGGCTAAACTGTTTCAATTTTCAGTAGCCACCTGCACTTGTTCGGAGCTCTGAAATACACGCTTTCTCATTGGCTATGTCCACGCATAGGCGTGCTTTACTCCACGTGGACCGGTGAAACTGCCTTTGATCTTATACGGGGGATATTTGCTGCGAAATTTGGCGATTTTTGCAGCAACAGAGCATGTTAAATATAGATATATAAAACGCACCCGGTATTTCACAGTGTTCAAGTGACTTCAGATAAAGTATACCTATGAACCGAAACACGTTATTTTATCTTGTGGGCTATAAATTTACGTATCCATACCAATTTCACAAACATAGCAGGTAAAAAAAAATTTGAAGGACAAGTTGCTCCGTCAGCACGAAAACTCATAATGGCACAGTCTGTTTAAGATTATCTTATACGATAGCTTCGTATGCGACGTCAATTGTTGCGGCTTCATAGTCGTCTGACTAGTTGGAGTTAAATAAAGTCACATTCTTTTTAAAAAATATATTAAAGTACATTAAAACCGATAACAAAAAGTAACTCTTAACACAAAATATAAATATCACTATTATAATTTATCTATGGAAGCTTACGCCTACATACGAAAAATAAATAAGTTATACATTAAACGTTACAAGTCTTTAAAAGAGCAGTTACTAGAATCTGTGAAAATCACAACAGCTTTGGGTTTCAATTAAAGCAACATATATCGCCTTCACAGAAGTCGTACAGGAAACTAGAATGCCTAGAACAATATTTTCGTTCGCATAGGCAGAACAGTTGAAGCGTTTTACCTAACTGGAGTTCATCTATAGTTCAATGCTACCAAGGGCGGATTTAAACGCCGAAATTTGCCATGCTTTTTTTACAAAAAAAATGGTATATTTTGCTGTCTTTGAGTAAACATTATGTTGCTCGACCCGAATCATGAGGCCCCTCTTGAGGGTATTTGTCTCAGAAGCTGCCACTTTTCAATCGCCGAATACATCACTTTCGAAAACCATACAAAAAAGCCGCCATATTGTATATATATATATGTATATAACTTGAGACGTGGTCATTGTCGTCTAAACCAGTTAGGTGAAAAATTAAAGCTTCCGCCTTTTGTTGGGTACTTCGACAAAATTTAAGCAAAGAGGACTCTTTATACTTTTTTTAATTCTCTCTAGCTTTCAATGGACTTTGCCATCATCATCAGGAGAGTAGTATGTGAGGATGTTGCTAATTGTTGTTTACGTATAGGATGAGGGAAACGTCCAGTAACATGGTGAGAGCTGAATACATGGTACAATGGTTAAAATTATATAAAAAGTGGCTTCACGACGTAATGCTCTAATGTTTTCTAAATAATTTTTAATCTGTCTTTAACTTGTCTTGTCATATTTTATATAATTTTAACCATTGGACTATGTATCCAGCTCTCACCATGTTACTGGACGTTTCCCTCATCCTATACGAAAACAACAATTAGCAACATCCTCACATACTACTCTCCTGATGATGATGGCAAAGTCCATTGAAAGCTAGAGAGAATTAAAAAAAGTATAAAGAGTCCTCTTTGCTTAAATTTTGTCGAAGTACCCAACAAAAGGCGGAAGCTTTAATTTTTCACCTAACTATATATATATACGTATATATATAATCTGTATAAAATTCGTTATCGGCGACAGCAAAAACGTACATACTGCATCCGGCATTTTAAACTGATCCATGCAAACATGTCCGCAATATTGAATCCGCCATTGTTTTAAACTGATATCAAACTTTACGCAAAAACGATGTCAAATTCGGTATCAGCAGCCTCAAAAACGTAAAACTCTAATTCGAGCGCATTCCTCGAACCCATATGAAGGTTTTTGTTGAAATTCAGGTAAATCTTCCCACTTTTGGCCATGTTTTACGACTGCGGATCGTTGACATTTACCTTGACAGCATTCTACACCACCTAACTAAATTTTATCGATGAATCCTGTACGTGCCTCCGCAGTCGCCGGCCGACAGTTACCTGTCACAGCTGCCGACGCTACCGCAACTCAGGCCGAGACCCAACGCGCTTTTGCCCGAGTACGATCTGTTGTATTTGAGATGGCTCTTGACCAGATGGCCGCTGGCCAACGCCGCCATTAAAGAAATTTCTCCCGCGACCACTGACGCGCATACGATACGCGCCAACTGCTTGGCGTTCGCACCGGGAATGTCTTCGTGGGGGCCTCGGACGCCTAGCATGTCCAGGCAGGCGGACTGCGCCGGCAGGATCGTGCCTGGAAAGAGATGTTTTGTTAAGGCACCGTCAGAAACTTAACAGGTGTTTTTCAATTTCCTACCATAACTCCTCTTTCCAAAGTTAAGAATTATGAGATGCAAAAGTCTTTGAAGAAGTTATTTACGAACAGATCATCCACTTTACCGAGGAAAATATACTAAGTGACATATAAATCCGAACACCCAGTTTAAATGGTTTTATTTTAATAAAAGTTGGTGAATGTATTTATCTTACTGTAAATAACAAGTGAAAAAAATTTCAGCCTTATCAGTTGGACATTCCGGTTTTTATACTGCTTTTTTTTAATTCACTAACGCTCTAAAAATGAATATTTCAGCCGCAATAAAGAATCAACGTTGGCGGATTTTGGTTCTTGACATCCTTTACGATCGGTTGCGATGCCTAGAGTACGGAGACCTGTACGATTTCGTCGACTTAGTGAGTTTGATAGGGGCCGTATAGTGGGACTTCGGGAAGCTGGACTTTCTTTTCGGGCAATTTCAGTTAGAGTGCAAAGAAGTGTAGACACTGTGGTTAGGTGTTGTCAGGCATGGCTTCGAGAAGGCCGTAAGCAAAGAGCAAGGGGCACTGGACGCCGCCGTAGAACAACAGACCGTGAAGATCGCCGCCTAAGATTATTGGCCTTAAGGGACCGTTTCTCCACTACCAGGTCCGTTGCAAATTAACGGTTTGCAGAACACGGAAGACCTATTGGCATGCGAAGTGTTTACCGACGAATGAGAAGTTTTGGCTTGTTTTCATACCGGCCACACTGGGTCCTCCCTTTAACTCGAGAACACCGACGTAATCGCCTTGAGTGGTGCAGACAACGGTCACTCTGGGATCAGGAATGGAACAGTATTGTCTTTAGTGACGAGTCTCGATTTTGTTTAGGCATGCACGATGGTCGTGCCAGGGTTAGAAGGCGACGTGGTGAAAGGAGGAATCCACAGTTTTTTGTTGAAAGACATGTTCATCACACTGTTGGAGTTATGGTTTGGGGTGCTATAGCTTATGGTTCCAGGTCACCTTTAATCTTCATCAGAGGTAACACGAACGCGCAGCGTTATATCCACGAAGTTCTAGAACCCCATCTTTTACCCTATCTTGACACCCTGGCAGATCCAACTTTCCAACAAGATAATGCCCGACCACATGTTGCAAGAGTCACAATAGACTTCTTTCAACATAATGATGTCACATTGTTACCATGGCCACCAAGATCTCCCGACTTATCCCCAATTGAGCACGTGTGGGATATGATGGGTAGGAGAGTGCTCAATTTGCAACGTCCTCCTCAGACTCTAGAAGCACTTCGAGAGGAGTTGGTGGTTGCCTTGAATGAGATACCACAGGGGGACATTGACCACCTGATCAGAAGCATGCCTAGGCGCGTAGGAGAATGCGTAGCACATCAGGGTGCATCCACACATTATTAAAGGTCAAAGGGCTTTAAAGCAGTGCAATCATTTTGAAATTTTTATCATTTACTTATTATGCTTCATTAAGTACTTATACAAAATTTTATTAAAATAAAACCATTTAAACTGGGTGTTCGGATTTATATGTCACTTAGTATAGAATTTTAACCAAATTTCAAGCTGGATTCAGAAAGAAACATTCAGCTGAGACGGCAATATAAATGGTTTTAAAGGACTGGAGGAGATTTATGGACGATAGGAAACATACAGTGACAGCGTTGTTTGACTGAAATCTGAAGCTTTCGACAAACTATGTTGTCATCCTCGGGAGCTAAAACACAAATATGAAAATAGCAACCAAGTTAGAACAAGTTCAATTTTCAATTACATACTAGTCGATGAGGTTGCTGGAGATATAAAAACGGGAAAGCAAACAAGTTATTATAGTTCTGAAAAACTCGGTATTGTATGTCTTACCTCCACCAATCGTTCCAATTTCTATAGACGGCATAGTGCATGAGACGTACAGATCTTCCCCATTTTGACCCCATGGTTCCATGATAGTCATACAATTGCTACTTGATATGTTTTGGGCTGCGTCTTGACCTGTGGCGATGAAGATGGCCGTCACTATATTCGCCGCGTGTGCATTGAAACCACCTGAAATTATAAGCGAATCATAAAGAAGATTAACTGGGTATCACAAAATGAAAAAATCGGAATAAATGCTCAAAGAATTCAAACATTAACAGCGACATCTGTTAGGAAAATAAGAGCATGCCTTTGAAATTGTTGAGACTGAACATGATTATACAGTTTTCTATACTTGCCCTATGATCTAAGTAAATGAATTATCATTTTTACCTATGCTTCCAGCTATTGCAGACCCAACCATATTCTTAGAAATATTGAGATCAATCAGGGCTTTAGTGGTCGTTTTAAGCACCGATGCAACCACTTCCGAGCTTATAATACATTCGCAAACTACACTTTTGCCTCTATTCTGCAACCAATTTATGGCGGATGGTTTTTTGTCAGTACAAACGTTGCCACTCAAACTGAGGATTTCCATTTCTGGAAAATGCCGTTGGAGAGCGTGCAAGCAACATTCGGTTCCTTTCGATATCATGTTCATGCCCATTGCGTCTCCTGTTTCTGCTACAAACCTAGACGTAAATATGTAATCAGTACCTTCATCTGTCAATATTATTAAAAGCTCTTGTTGCAAAACTAGCTTCGAATTTATAAAACTCTATACCTTATGAACAGATATCTTCCAGCAATGTGTGTGCTGATCTTCTGCAGCTTAGCAAACCTACTGGTGGAATCAAACGACAGTTTCAGAGCAGCAAAATTGTCAGTATCTTTGATCCACGTAACTGCATCACTGGCTTTTACAATTGAAGGAAATCTAACCACGGGCGCTCTTGTCATGCCATCCGAGATGAGCCTACTTTTTACACCACTCTTCTCAATTGCACGACAACCTTCAAACCGTAAAATATATATTTAATCTCTTATAGATAAGGTGAAAATGGTGAGATTATCAATAGGTTTGTCATGACAAAAACGCAGAAAGCTTATATTTGAGGTCGGCTAATATGATGCAAAGCAAAAGAAGTAGCCAATGCAAAGTGGAGACCAGTTAAATGAGGCTGATACACCTGACCCAGAAGATCCAGATTCAGGCCAAAAATATTTAAAACGCAGTTGAAATACAAGAACCTTCTGAAGTCTCCGATGTCAATGAGGTTCCAGTACCGACAGAAACTATTCCAAATTATGGTCAAGCTATTACCCTGACCAAACAGCTCAAAAGTTTTATTCAAAATCAGGGACATACAGAGTCTTTGGAGCTTCTTTCTAAATTAGAAATAAGAGTTCAAGTACATACTTTGTATATATTTAAAGGTATCAAACCTTTTTTTTCTAAAGTTTTTTGTTTATTTTTAAAATATTTATGTACATATTCATTTTAAATGTCCAAGTTCCTTTAATACAGGGTGTTTCAGTTTATTGTTGCATAACTTTAAGATTCAATAGAACTTTTTAATGCATAAAGTCTATATAGACATGGTTCGAAAAATGCGTGGCTTCCGAAATACAGGGTGTTTAAATTTACTTTCTAAAATAGTTTTTTCAAGTATTTCGAACAATATTTGATGTATAACAAAGAAAATTGGTATACAAGGGTTTTTTGGTACGACAAAACGAACCATGGGCATAGTTTTACTGTAGCCGGTAGAGGGCGCTCTCTACTGTACCTGTAGTGTATTAAAATGACCGAAAAAATTTTCTTAGTGAATTTTTTGCTTTTTGAATAAAAAAAACTGATTCTTCGCACTTTTCAACATAATAAAGCTCTCTTGTGAATTTTTGTTATAGTTAGCCGTTTATGAGATATTTCGATTTTTAAGGTTCGATGCATTTTTAATTATTTATGATAAAATAACGTTAAAAAGTCAGTATCTCGATAATTTTTAGAAGTAGGCTGTGCCTGCAAATATTTTTGCAATTGAAAGCAGAATAAGGTTAAACGTCAATTAGTTGACAGTTAGTTTTGTTGTCTGTTGAAACCTGAAACGTTTTTTTGCAATTGTGAATGCACGAAATTTAGATTCTTTTACCTGTTTTTTTTGCAAGTTTTATAAAAATGCCATTTTTATTCTCCAATCAAGAGTTAGCGGATATTCATTTTGTGTATGGCTTTGTAAATGGAAACGCAGCAGAAGCAGCCAGAAAATACGCACGAAGATTTCCAAACAGACGACATCCAACTCGCTCAGTATTTGTAAGAGTGCATCGCCAAATAATTGAAAATGGTTTTGGAAATCTCCAAAGGGATCAAAACATATATGTTCGTCAGCTTAGATTTACCCGTATGATTCTGCGTGAGTTTGATAGAGATCCGACCACAAGTGTTAGGAGAGTTTCTGGTGCCTTGGGAATTTCAGCAAGCCATGTTCACCGTGTTCTTAGAAATGACCATAGACGTCCTTACCATTTGCAACCTGTGCCAGGGGACGGAGAACGAAGAATCACATTTTTTCAGTGGATTCTTGATAGAACTGATAATAATAGGGAGTTTCTAAGTAACGTTTTATGGACCGATGAGTCATGCTTCACTAGACGTGGAGTGCTAAGTTTCATAATCAACATATTTGGTCGCATGAAAATCCGCATGCAGTTCGGGAAAGAAATTTTCAGCATGAATTTAGGGTGAACGTGTGGATAGGTATCTAACGTAATCGACTATTTGGACCCTACCTTTTGCCTGCAAGGTTAAATGCTGCGACCTTCTTGGAATTTTTAAAGGCTGAACATGCAAATATGTGGGATGATGTTATGTTAGATTTAAGAAGATTGGCCTGGTTCCAGCTTGATGGTTGTCCAGCTCATTATTCGAGAATAGTTAGAAACTGGCTGGACGAAAATTATCCAGAAAGATGGATCGGCCGTGGAGGACCAGTCGCCTGGCCTCCACGATCCCCTGACCTAAATCCATTAGATTTCTTTGTGTGGGGATTTCTAAAAGAAAAAGTGTACCAGACTCCCGTAAGCACAAGAGATATGCTAATAGACAGAATCAGGAATGCATGTGATGAAATAAGGACTTATTTGAATAATGCTAGACCACGTTCGATCATTCGTAGATGTGAATTGTGTATTGAATTGGGTTTACATTTCGAGCAACTACTTTAGATTTTGTATGTTTGTCCTAACTATCCAACAGCATTTTAGTTGTAACTAATTAATTTAATTTGTTAAAAAATAATATTGGAAAATTAAACAAATCAATATTCTGTTTTTTTGTGTTTATTTGGAGTTGGAATTATTGCTATGTTTAAAAAAACAATATCAACGATCATCTTAATTACTTGTAATGCCCAAATCGAAAATGTAAACAAAAATATTATTTTCCCATAAATAATTAAAAATGCATCGAACCTTAAAATCGAAATATCTCAAAAACGGCTAACTATAACGAAAACTCACAAGTGTGCTTTTTTATGTTGAAAAGTGCGAAGAATCAGTTTTTTTATTCAAAAAGCAAAAAGTTGCACTAAAAAATTTTTTTCGGTCATTTTAATACACTACAGGTACAGTAGAGAGTGCCCTCTAGCGGCTACAGTAAACCAATGCCCATGGTTCGTTTTGTTGTACCAAAAAACTCTTGTATACCAATTTTCACTGTTATACATCAAATATTGTTCGAAATATTTAAAAAAAAACTATTTTAGAAAGTAAATTTAAAGACCCTGTATTTCGGAAACCACGCATTTTTCGACCCATGTTTATATAGACTTTATGCATTAATTTTAAAAGTTCTATCGAATCTTAAAGTTATGCAACAATAAACTGAAACACCCTGTATACTCAGTTTTTATTAAAAACATAATTTTTGTTTTATTTATTTTATATGAAACCCCTCTTAACAAAAAGGAGAGAAAATTTTAATTTTGCATTTTTTGACTGTAGTTATTTTTATGTAATTTGGAATGAATTTTCTTTAAAATGTGGGACGTGGATAAAATTTTGATGCTCTGTACATTCAAAAGATATTTTACAGTTGCATGTTTATAATACAAAAAGTGACTGATAAACTTTCTTATCAATTATGGCATAGTCCAGACATTCAATTCACAACAATTGCGAAATACATTGATAACAGCATCCTTTGCATATTGAAATGATTAATTTCTTTATAAAGATTTACATTAAGCTGATAGTCGAAAATACATCTAGTTTCAGATTTTTTCCTAATCAAGTTTTTAAATTAAAGTAGGTCAAATATTGATTTACCTCTATTTGTACTAGCTATGAGACATCCTTCAGTTGTAGCCATAGGAATATAGTACTTTTTATCATCTACCAGCAGTGGTCCAGCAACTCCAATAGGAACTGGAATATACCCTATAACATTTTCACAACATGCTCCTAATACTTTGCTATAATCATAATTTCTATATGGTAGATTAATCAGAGATTCTCTCTTCTTAAGATTATTTTCCAAAATCTTTCTTCTTATTTTCACACCTCTCTCGGGGTTTTTCACTGCCTTTTCCAAGTTATATGCAGGTATATGTTTGGTGTCGACGAGCATAACGATTTCATCATCTGTTAATTCTGACGTTTCATCTGCTCTGTATATCTTCAAACAATCCGGTAGACTCCTTGGTGCATCACTAACCTGTTCATCCGAATCTTCTGTCTCAATAAAACGGTTGTACTCTACATCAGTCTGGACTTCTACACTGGATGAAATTGTACGTTTTGCCTTTGTATGCCCCTTTTTATCTCCCTTATAGTTTCCGGCTCGATGTGTTCTCTTAAAGGATCTTTGCTTTCAAAGAATATAAACTTGATCATAAGCGTTATCAACAGGATAAGGATGACTATGTGATCTGCACTTAAGGCAAACTGTTTCATAAGATATCCATAAAATGAAGTGTCCTCCCGGTAATCTACTGTTTCTGTTTGGTTTTTGTTTAAGCCTTCTTGAGGGTTACCGCTCGTAACAGACCATCTGCTGTGAATATGAACTGCCATAAGCCCTATCGACATTATCAGTTTCACTCTCTGGACTGCTGGGTTAGATTTTTCGGTTTCTTCCAATAACATTTTAGTGACTCCAGCTTTTTCCTCTCCATAGAAATTTGATACTTTGCCTAGCTCCATCATTAACGACAAGCACGCAGGGTAAAATGTCATAAAAATTATATAATTTACTATCACAGACAGACAAGCAAAATATGATAAGATCTCAAGTCTATGAACTCCAGATAACGTCCCCACACCTATCACAAGTGTTTCCACAACAGTATCTAAGGTGATGGTGGGACCTAAAATAGATACCCCTTTTGCGATACATGATGCAATCTCATCCTCACTCGACGATATTAGAGCGAACTGAGCTAATTTGGCAGCTTTAGATAAATCTATTAGCAACAGGAAGAAGAATAATGCGTCTTTGAGATCCACTAGTTCTATCTGCAAGATATTGAGCACCGCAGAAGTGAAAACAAAGCTAGAGAACACAACAAACAAACCGGCTATTCCGAGGATGTATTTCGAGCCTAGATTCTGAAGGTTTCTAAACTGGTGGTAGCTGTAAAGTATAGCTAGGCATCGGATTATGGTCATCACAACAACATCGGCAGCATGAAAGTGGTCTTCTTTGCACCCAAGGCATGTCGAAGGCGTGGTAATCGGAACAGGTTTCTGAGATTTCTCCATGGTTAAAAAGCATGCCGTTAACGTTATGACCGCTACAATAACCTCCCAGGGGCGAGAAGCGCACACTCTACCGTACATACCAAACAGACGAGACATTTTGGAGGCTCCTGAGACGTTGCTGCCCTCAAAATTGAAGTAATGTTATGCACTGGGTCTGGAAATAAATTGAATGAAAAGTAGGTTGGCGGTTCAATTCATGTCTCAGGTGCTCTTTTCACTATTAAAATGAAGGTGTCCCAGATAAATTGGCCTTGCTTAACGGCATACTTCCTCTGACCTTGCAAAGTCCGTCATCTGTTGCATGTCAAAGATGTCAAAAGAGTGATGCTGGTAGTGATGGGATAAACAAAATACTCATTCTTTGTAATCCGAATACAAGGTGGATTTGAATAGGTGCTGCCACTCACACTAGGCTGAAATTATTAATCAAATCCAAGCGAATAACCAAAATTTCTGTGTTATGTGCCGCGGTTATAATATGGTTCAAGATGACACACGGATTGATGACGTCAGTTACACGAATCGCTTGAACGCGTTGGTTTTAACCGCGGTTTTGTTGCAAGTTGTTTATTTTAGAAAAGCGCGTATGTAATCTCTGATTATTTTTATTATCACTTAATAATCGGTGCTTTTTCGTCTACAACTGTATATGGAAAGTTTAAATAAGAAACCTTTCATAATATTCATGGGAGAAATGTTTTTTCAGATTTTTTTTTAATGATGGAACCATGGCTTTGTAGCTATGATAACTTTCAATTCTCTAAATTTTTGCACATGTCAAAGAAAACATTTATTGATTCAGCAGAAATGATGAAAAAAGATATTAGCAAAACCGTATACAGGTGGATATCATCTAGTGAGTTTATATGGCCATATTTTAATATTCTTGTGGTATATGGCTACACAGGATACTTTGTTAAGCATAGGAAGTACATTTAAAGTGTCCCCAACAACCGTAATGAGTATAACTAATAAGGTGCTCCACTTTATGGTAAAACTGAAGTCAGCCTGTATCATTTTTCTCAAAATGAAGCTGAAGTACAATAACAATATCCAATACCCGGCAAAATTCTAACTTGTCACATTTCAAATAATAACCAGAAATATAAAACTACTTTCGAGTTGGGTAAATACCACAATTTTGCGGTGATAACTATGACATATAACAGCTGATTCGTGACGTCACGGATCTTATAACCAAACTGATACACTCGCTTGAACGGATTGGTAAATAAATACCATTTCCATTTGGTTATCCGCTTGAATTTGATTCTTGGCAGGTCATCATCTGTTGCTTGTCAAATATGTCAAAAGAGTGTGCTGATAGTGATGGGAAAAACAAAATGTTCGTTCGTTGTAATCCGAATACAAGGTGGATTTGAATAGGTGCTGCCACTCACACTAGGCTGAAATTTCAGTTTATAATTTCAATTTAACGACAGACTGTCAATTTACAACCTTGCTAACATACAAAAATTTACAGTAGAGCCTCTAGATTTATGAAGACATTTTAAAAAAAGGTAACGTAGCAATGCATTTTGGATGAAAATGGCGGCCTTCGAAAGGGGAGCTGCATATCTGTGTCATTCTGTTTCCGTGATTTGTTGTTGACAGAATTGAAAATCAAAACGCGTCAAAACAAATGTGACGTGGACATGCAATTTTAAATACAATTATCTAGTTTTTTTTAAAATTTATTGAACATAATGGAGGGATATTTGCTTGTAAGTGCATTTTCTTTACCTATATGCAAAATACTAATAATACCAATTGTAGGAGCCAACCTTATACACAATAAAAGGTATTGCAATCTTGGACAATGATGGAAACAGAATACTGGCCAAATACTACGACAAAAACACATTCCCTACTGCCAAAGAGCAGAAGGCGTTCGAGAAAAACCTTTTCAACAAGACACACAGGGCTAACGCTGAAATTATCATGTTAGATGGTCTCACATGCGTGTACAGGAGTAACGTAGATCTGTTTTTCTATGTTATGGAAGATCACACGAAAACGAGGTTGACTTTTTATGAAAAATACTCCTATATGTTACTGAATATTGTTATGTTTCAGCTTATATTGATGAGTGTATTGAATTGTTTATATGATTCAGTCAGCCAAATACTGAGGAAGAATGTTGAGAAACGAGCAGTTCTGGAGTCTCTTGACATTGTCATGCTTGCTATGGATGAAATAGTTGATGGAGGGTAATTAACTACCAATTATTTGAACAAAATAAGCTGCCACTTGCAAAATTTCACCGTAATATAAACTTTGGATAGTTTTATATAAAATCATATTCAAATTACAATTTTGTTTTTTAGGATTATACTAGATGCTGACCCAGGTTCTGTAGTGTCAAGAGTAGCCTTAAGGAATGATGACATTCCAATAGGTGAACAAACTGTAGCTCAGGTAACAAATGCAATACATTCGATATTTTGGTGAAACCTTTTTTATGTAACAATTATACAGTATTACTTTTTTGTAATTAAATATTTTGTTTATTTATAGGTGTTTCAATCTGCTAAAGAACAGCTGAAATGGTCCTTACTCAAGTAAAAATAAAGAGTGTATATATCTTCTGTAAATTTTTATTTCAATTCCTACATGTTTCAAGAATTTGTACTTATATTTATAAATAGAGGTATTCAAAGTGTGCAAATGTTTCTTCTACAAAAATTTACTATTAATGAATATACTTTCTTGATTGGATTTGTCGCTTATCACGTAGGCAGGCGGCAGTTTTACAGATAAATCAGTAAACCTGACAACGTTGCAACAGGAGTCTGAAAGGACGATGTTGCTTCCGTAGATCAGTAATAGATGGCAACACTTAAGAGTTCCTAATGCACCACGTACAAAATTTATAGTGACTGTTTAAGTGATGAATCGTTATCCTGCTCTTGTAGCAGAATCATTCTTTTTTTAAAATTTCTCGTGGGAGGGGTGACCATCACTTGTGGTTGCCCCATTATAACAAGAATTGCAAAGTTAATAATTTAAGTGGCAATAATACTAATTCAATATCTGAGACCAAGTGGTGACCACTGACCAGGGTTGCCAGAACCAGAAAAGTAACGGAATTTTCCAAGTGGTAGCGCGGTAGCGGCGGAATTGGGATTTTTCGTTAAAAGTAGCGGAATTTTGTAATTTAGATTTAGGCACATATGGTTTTTATAGTCAAATGTTTTTTATTAGTCTCTCCGCTCCCCCTCCCCCACCCCATCCCGCTTTGACGACTACTGAGGTGAACAGCTAATCAGCAAGTGACAACTTTATATTAGTCTGTAACATTGGCAATAATGAATCGGGCTTTGTCCACCTGGCGTTGACGGATCCGTCAGAATTATGTGTCATTTCAAATATTACTAGATAATCAGTTGTTATTCTACGCAAAGATTAAAAATCGGTATAATGTCAATTTGTGTACTAAGTAGTCGCTTGCCCAATCCTCGCTGTGAGCGCCACCTGTGAAGGAATGGCTCAACGATCATGTTGCTTAATATGCTCTCATTGCATTTCGCCAGCATGGTCAGACGTGTAAATAAATACAAAAAGGTTATGAGGAATAAGAGAACAGAAACAATTTATTTATAAAAAATTTCAAATGATAACAATTTACCCAAAATATACAGCAGACATGCAAAATATATATTTCATAATATATTTTAAAAAGAACTAGCTCTAAGAAAAAAAATATATTGTCATGTGGTTTATAATACTGCTATGTTAGTAATTTCATTATTTTATAGTTGAATATATGAGACAGATGTTCTAATCATATACTGGGTGTCAGTAGGAAATATTTCATATATTTGTTTTTGTTTATAATATTGGGAAAACTTTTTAGTGCCATAAATGTTTATCAAGAAAACAATATTTTTATAAATCTGTTGAGATAATCGCATACCTAACTAATAATTGACAATTTTTATTTTTTTCACTTTTTAAAAAAAGTAAATAAATGATTTGAAAGACAAACTAGTAACATATACTTAATTTTGTGTTCAGGAACATACAGATTTGCTTAGATATGTAACCTTTTCTTACTTCCATTTTTGACTTGGCCCCAATGCATCATTTTCCTGAAAGGTGCTGGTCCATTCCAATGCCCTGTTGGATAAACGGGAAAACGTGGGTTAGGGATTATATGAAAGTAATGAGCTTTGATTTGTCCGACCACTGACGGCTAACCATGGCTAGCTATTTCGTGCTTTTCGGCTACTCTTCAGTACGGTGTACGCTCGGTCTCGGTAGGACAATGAACGAAACCTCTATTGAGAGTATAAGTAAGACAGCACAAAGTGCCATGTATTACCAGAATTTACCACTCTGCTAAAACAACGAGCTGTCTGTTGAAGCTGAAAATGCGAACTGATGTTTTCACTCGCTTGGTGGTCGATTCTGATAATATATGGCACTTTGTGCCGTCTTATTTCGATAGGGAAGAAGGGTTAAGGATTATTAAAAGGGAATGTGAAAGGAATCAATCCTGCTTTGCCGGGTTCCTCTTGTTGCCATATGCGAAATCAAGGTGCATTATTTTTCTGAATAGACTCGGTCCATTCCAGTAACCTGTTGAAAAATAGTTTGTTTTTAACCCCGGACCATCAAATATTAAAGATAATAAACAAAGAATACAGAGTTACCAGTAGAAGAGGCACTCGCGAATTGACCTTTGATCATCAAACTCCTAAAGATGAAATTTTTATCCTAAAATTCGGATCCTTGTTTAGTTGCCTTAGTGGAAGAGATCCCGCTCTTCTTATCGCTTAAGGACGCCGTATTGGATTTTTGCGTTTTTAATTCCGATTAAAAATTTGAAACACCCGTTACGTTGATGCTTCGAGTCTTATACTTACCATTCAACATAAGATGCCAATATAACGGCGGCATAATGGACTTTTTCAGCATAAACATGCTGCGCATTTCCTTATCCTGGCTGAAAGGGAAAGTTTCCAACGGGCTGAGGTTGTAATCGAACTCCGCCAGGATGCATTTGTCGTAACCGGTCACCAGAGGGCAGGACGCGTATCCGTCGTACTTTTCTTCCGGCGTTCTACCCTCCATTACGGCACAGAGGTTTTTGTGGATTATTTCGCACTGGGCAGCTGGAAAAATTAAAGTGTTCCAAGAATATATTGTAACAATACTTTTAGAATTCAAAAGGGCATTTGAGACTATAGATAGGAAAAAATTGTTAATGAAATTGCGTCACTATGGCTTTAAAGGATCAGTATTACACATTCTACAAAATTATTTAGTAAATAGACGTCAGAAAGCTAAAGTTGGAACTATTATGTTAAGTGTTCAAAATATATCAGTAGGGGTGCCACAGGGGAGTAAATTAGGGCCGTTACTATTTATTATTTATATAAATGATATCCCTGACATTTTAGAACACTTCAAAATTAAAATATTTGCGGACGATACACTTATATATATATATATATATCAGTGGCGGCTCGTGGTATTTGAGTTTGGGGGGCGCAAAATCTAATTCAAAAAATGTTATGCCTCTGTATTAAACAATTCGGCTGCCTGTAAATGACCTCGAAAGAAAAATCTATCTTTTACTTGCATTGTTATTATGTTGCACACTTCTTTGGCAATGACCCCTCGTATACTGTCGTCAGTTCTTCTTCTTTTATTAGATTCAAACTTTGTTTCGGTATATTTTTTAATATCATCAATTTGACCTCTTATATTGTCGGTACTCTTTTCAAAAATTACTAAGTCCTTTTGTAATTGAACACTATCTTGATTTCTTGACTGCAGCTGGTTATAAAGGATGTCAACATGCGGAAATATTTTATGGAATACTGTCAACCCAAACAAGAATTCTTGATCTTCTAACGCTCTTCTCAAACTTGAAGCTTCATTTAAAGTAACACCTCTATTACATCTCTCTTCTATTTCTTCAAACACCTCTATGAGTTTCTCACGATGTTCATAGACAAAGTAAACTGTACGAATGTTATAGTTCCATCTAGTAGCAGCTACTGTGGGGATTTTCTTATTTATAATTTCTTCTAAAACATCACATCGATGGGTAGAGTTCGAAAAAAAAGCTGGTATGGCCGACAAATTATTAAAAAACACACGTACTTTTGAATTTTGTGATGCACTTTTTTGCATAATAAGGTTTAGCTGATGGACATAACAATGTATGAAATGTGCATTAGGATATTTTTCTTTAATGTCAACTTGAACCCCACCGACAGAACCACTCATGACATTCGCACCATCATATGTTTGTGCTATCAACTTTTCAGGACTTTGTAAAAGAAACGGATCAATTTCAGTTTTCTATGCAAGTTTTTAAACCTACTGATGTCTTATCTTTAACTCTCAAAAAACTCCAAAAAGTTCTTGTATGCCGCCTTCGTGGAAATATCTGAATATTAAAACCATTTGCAGTGGCGGCTCGTGGTATTTGAGTTTGGGGGGCGCAAAATCTAATTCAAAAAATGTTATGCCTCTGTATTAAACAATTCGGCTGCCTGTAAATGACCTCGAAAGAAAAATCTATCTTTTACTTGCATTGTTATTATGTTGCACACTTCTTTGGCAATGACCCCTCGTATACTGTCGTCAGTTCTTCTTCTTTTATTAGATTCAAACTTTGTTTCGGTATATTTTTTAATATCATCAATTTGACCTCTTATATTGTCGGTACTCTTTTCAAAAATTACTAAGTCCTTTTGTAATTGAACACTATCTTGATTTCTTGACTGCAGCTGGTTATAAAGGATGTCAACATGCGGAAATATTTTATGGAATACTGTCAACCCAAACAAGAATTCTTGATCTTCTAACGCTCTTCTCAAACTTGAAGCTTCATTTAAAGTAACACCTCTATTACATCTCTCTTCTATTTCTTCAAACACCTCTATGAGTTTCTCACGATGTTCATAGACAAAGTAAACTGTACGAATGTTATAGTTCCATCTAGTAGCAGCTACTGTGGGATTTTCTTATTTATAATTTCTTCTAAAACATCACATCGATGGGTAGAGTTCGAAAAAAAAGCTGGTATGGCCGACAAATTATTAAAAAACACACGTACTTTTGAATTTTGTGATGCACTTTTTTGCATAATAAGGTTTAGCTGATGGACATAACAATGTATGAAATGTGCATTAGGATATTTTTCTTTAATGTCAACTTGAACCCCACCGACAGAACCACTCATGACATTCGCACCATCATATGTTTGTGCTATCAACTTTTCAGGACTTTGTAAAAGAAACGGATCAATTTCAGTTTTCTATGCAAGTTTTTAAACCTACTGATGTCTTATCTTTAACTCTCAAAAAACTCCAAAAAAGTTCTTGTATGCCGCCTTCGTGGAAATATCTGAATATTAAAACCATTTGGCACTGATTTGATATGTCGGTCGTTTCATCGCATTGAACTGACAGGAAATTTGCGTTTTTAATTTGCTGCAAAATTTCTTCTCTACAAACTTGTAGCATGCTATCTAATATGTCATTTTGAATGCTTTTAGAAGTTCCCTTGAATACCGTGGCATTTTTTAAATGATTTTTAAGGGCCTCATCTAACTCAGCGGTAAAATCAACTAATTCTCTAAATATTCCTCGATTCAAAGACTCTTCAGTCTCATTGTGACCTCTAAGTGCCAATTCAAAGGCACTGCAAAATTTGACA